AAAAAGAAAGAAAAAAAAGAAAGCAAGCCTGTACGACACCAAATCACAAAATATTGTTACAGGTAACTCCGTACTTGCAGCTTACGTGCAACGACCAAGGCAAACGGCATGCGACCGACAGGGGAGGTTTCAGCGACGGACCTGGCCTCGGGCCCCTGCAGGTGCGGCAAAGGGCGAGCGAGGTATGGAAAGTTGTGGGTTGCCGTTCCCCACCCACCACGGCAAGAAAGAAGAAGGGCAAACTTTGCAACGATGGTAGAGAAGGCGTGATGTTGTTCGTTGGCAGTGCATTAGGTGTCGTACTTGTCGAGCGCGCATCGACAGTTCCTACGACATGTGCGTACGCATGTACACAGTTGATATAGGATTGGGTTGTGAATCTTGACGATGCAGCGCGGACACACACACACACACACACACACACATACACACACATACACACACATAGGAGTGAATGGATAAAGGGTGGGAGGGATCCACTGGACAAGCACTCTCGTGGGGTCTCTGTCATGATCATTTGTCTCCGTATTCGTGCAGGATAGGGCGGGAGGAGAGAGAGAGAGGCAAACTAGAGTTGCGTAGTGTTGGAGGGAGAGGGAAGACATAGAGAACAATATTCTAAAACCTCTGCTCCTCACATCTTACAATGAATTAGATGAATACAGACTCGAATGAATAATACAGAAATTAGAAAAGGCAATTTGCAATAGATACTCGGTTGCTGTTGCTGCCGCTACTCTCTGTCTCTCCACACACACACATCGCCCTTTTGCCTATCAGTCGCCTTACCATGGACGCGGCATTCCGAAGAGGACACCCTAGTTTTGGCTTGAGGGCAACTGACCAGTCAAGAGTCAAGACAGTCGGTTTTGTCTCTGCCAACTCTTTGAGGGGTCTCTCAAGTTGATTCGCCATGGGGGCTCATGGGCCCCCCCTCCCCTCCTCTACTCGTAGGATCCGAGTCCTAGGTCTCGGGTGTTTTTGGGTGTGTCTCTTCTTCTCTCTTCTTCTCCTTCTCTTTCATTGATTCTTTTAAGTTTCAAAATCACCGAAGCACCGCCACAATACGAGTACATGTATGTACGTACTCGTAGTACTACTACATACAACTGATACATGCTCGTATGTCGCACGAATAGATTCTAAGAGACCCACTTGTACAGTATCATCGAGACATGGTCATACTGTCACATCACACACCTTATACACATACGCGCGCACACACACACACACGCGCATACACATACACAATACAGATTACACACACACACACACACAGCACCTTTCCCATGTGGCCATATCCTGTCCCCCCCCCTTTACTTATATTATTACTTCAAGCTTCCATATTGTACCCTGTCGTTATAATCTCTACACACACACACACACACACACACGACTTTACAAGACCCACCCGGCCTTGTTCCCCGTCAGTCCTCCCCTCCCCTCCCCTCCCCATCCTTCCTACTCTCAACTGTTTGATATGCGCACGAGTACGTACGAATACGGAGTGACCGCCCACATCAGAGAGTCACGATATGCAACCACTTTCTCATCGTATGCAAGTCCCCAAAAAAAACCGGCCAGAGAGAAGAAAATCGACTTGCTATTCCTTCCGTATATTTCTATTCCCCGTTCTAAACCCGCTCAGACTTCGATCTACCACTCTTTCTTCGATGCCGTTGTAGATTTGATTTTCCTTCTCCATCTCTTCTCTCTCTCTCTCTTTCCAACCCTGCGTCTCTTCTTGTCTTGGCCCTGTTTCTGTTCTCGTCCATCATCTGTTCCGGTCTTCCTCTTTTCTTTTTTTTCCTTTCCCCTTATCTTTGTCTTCCGTACTTGCCCCCCCCCCCCCCCCCCCCTTCTTCCCTCCACTGGATGAACCAGGACACACACACACACATACACATACACTTTCCTCACTGAGATGTTAAAGGGGGTGGAGGGGTGCAAGATTTTCCTTTCGATCCATCTATAACTTTCAATACCGTACTTTTCAACTCCCCATTGGTCCGGTCCGACTTTCTCTCGCCCCTCCCCAACCCCCCAACCCCCTCCCCTCCCCTCTTCCACCTTTTAAGAACGATAAAAGAACCATTGAATTTTTTTTTAAATTTTTAAATTTTTTTTATTTTTACAATCACACAACAACACAACAACGTCACCCCCGGGCCATGCCACACCTTCATGTTAGATGGTTGATTAGATACCTACGGATGAGTAGACTCCCAACCATTTTCACTTCACCCTTCCCCTCCCCTCCCCTTTTCGTTTAACAGTTTTAACATATCTTGATCGTGCTTCACCTCCTGACCTTGACCTGTTGTGTTTTCCGCATAGCCTATATATTCCTGACCACTAAGCTGCTATTAGCACAATGCCTCCATCTTTTCAAGGGTACACACCATCATGTGCTCTCTGTATTCGGTCCCTGCCCGTTAATATTGTCTGTCTTATAAGAGTTTTGGGGTAGCGATATAAAAAAACGTCCATGTGCCGTGCCAGGACGGATGCAACACATGCTCGAACAAAAAAGTTATTGCATGATTGCCTTACTCTCTTCCTAAAATCCCGCCCACCCTCACTTCATCCCCCGCCTCACTCCGACGTGGAGGGGTAAGAAGCCGGACAAAGATCTGTGGTTGAAACCCTTGGCACGCCGAGTTATAATATAATAATACTTACTTGGTGAATGAAAGAATAAAATGAAACGGCAGGAGAGCACAAATCGAGAATCTAATACACCGCCAGATATCACATTGTATAGATCCTTAAAACTACGCCGTAGCAGGCCACGGCTGAATGCTTTGACACGCACTCATCGCCATTGCTAGGTATCGTCACCATCACCATCATCATGTCCATGTTGCCTCTGCTGCCCATCACCGTAGTCACGGTCATCGTGACCATATTGTGTTACCATCGTCCCCCCCCCCCCAATCTGAGCCCAGACCAGAGCCCTGCCACCCATTCATATATACACACACTAGACTTTGTGGTTGTCCAAGGTTCGAGACGCTTCTCGAACCTTGGAGAGCCACAGACCAGATAACAAACATGTGCTTACTATATATCGATATATTAAGCATCAGAATACTAATACTAGCCTGTCCTATTTAGTGCTCCGTTTCCTTGCCATTTCCCTTGCCTATCAACGCCGCCATCATCGTGTGTGTAACCCCCTATGATGTCCTCTTCCTAGACCTAGACAGAGAAACTGGTGTCCAGAGTGGCTCTCATCGTATAAATGTGAGTCCAAAGATGTCAGAAGAAGATACGATGAGGAATGATGTGAAGAAAAAAAAAAGAGAAAGCAGGTCCACCCGAAACTCTGTGCCAATCCTAATCCTTTCACGCCTTCGTAGCCATCTCATCAGAAAGAAACCGATACCAGAAACCATCATGTCGAAACCCGTAATCAAAAGAAGAAGAAAGAGGAAAAGAGCAGAAAGGACATGATTCCTGTAAACCGTGAGGTCTCCAGGCTGTAAACGTGCAAGTCTACCAAACATTCTGGCGGCGCAGAAATGCAAAACAAACTTTTGTGTGTGGTATCATGGTTGGAGAGCGTTTTCACCATCTCTCAGCCTAGAAAGGCTCGTTGTCATCAGACAAATCACGAAGCTGCACTTGTCGAGGGCCACCTTCACCATGAGGTTGCCCTCATGAAGTCACCCCTACAATATGGCACATCGCAACTGTTGATCCCTCAGCTTCTTCCGGCGGAACTTCTTGAGCGCTCCATCGCGCCTCGAGTCTTCTTCTTCGTCCACGACTCCATTCTCATTGTCCCTCCGAAGCATCTGGCGACACAGATCGATGAACACCTCATCGACATTGGCTGTGAGATTTACAGGTTAGAAAGAGAAACCCGAACGATCAGAAGACGAGATGCGGCACATTCGTCACCGGGGTAACCGTCAGTAAGAGATAAGGCAGGGCGGAGCAAGCTCACTTCTTGTTCGTGCGCTGGATTCGTAATACGGAGCCTCCCATCGCTGCGATATCGAAAATCCCTTTGCCCTCGGCACGGCGCGGTTCTCTTCGAGATCAGCCTTGTTGCCGACAATGACGATGGGCACGTTTTCGTCATCCTTGATTCGAATGATCTCATCTCGGAGGTTGGCAAGCTCCTCGAGGGATGATGATGATGTGATGCTGAAGACGAGAAGGAATCCTTGCCCGGTCTTCATGTAGAGATCCCGCATGGCAACTGTGAGATGAGATGATGAGCACTGCACCTGCCAGTGCTTTCAAAAAGTCCGGCTTGGAAGACGTACCAAATTGCTCTGTCCCTGCAGTGTCGAGGCTTGGAAGAATGTTAGCTCTCATCCTCACGTGCATGGTAAAGCCTGAGTGAGCTCACATCTCTAGCACAACTTGCCGGCCCTATACATGTACCAGGTCAGTCTCTCAGTCTCTATACACGTCCCGCATTCTGGAGCCGCCTCACCCATGCAGGGCATGGTTGTCACATACATCGACTTGCAGCTGGGTTCGGTACGAATCCTCGATGGTCGGATCATAGCTCTCGATCCATTCATTGTGGACAAATTGAGCTGCTTCGCTGTTAGCTAGCCAGAGATATCACTCAGAACACACCAAAGGTCTGGGGTGGGCTGCCCACCAGTTAGACAACTCTTGCCGACACCGCCTGCGACGAAGATGCCGTGTCAGCTCTCACGCTCACGCAACGGGGATCAAGTGAGCCAGCCGGCTTCATTTGGACCGTAACATACCTGCGCCCAGCACCACGACGTGGAATTCACGACTGAGTAGCAAACGGTCAGCAATGCGCCTCCATAAGTCGCGGGACTCCCAGAAGGGTGCACCGTGGTGCATCTTCCACACATACCTGGGCTGGAACCGGTAACCTCGGGGCGGCATTGATGCAGGAGCTGAGCTGTGATGTGCTGCACGCTTCGTTAGCGGATGAAAATCGGATGATGCATCGTCGGGACAGGACGGCGAGGACAACTCAACTCTTCTAGACGGCTAAGAGGGAAGGAAAGAAAGCTTGGGCAGCAACATACAATGAGGGTTGATTGAAGCGTGGCCTCGAATGCGCGAGGCTGCCAGAGTTGTTGACCCCTGGTGGCAGAAAGAGACGCAGCTACCGATCGGCCCGCGGCTTACCGGGGTGACGCGACGGGGTCCGAGCAGCAGGAGCACCAGGCTCTAACAGCAGGACGGGAGAGGATGATTTCCGCCGGACAGCACTCGTATTGGCAATGGCAAAGAAAGGAATCGATGGAGAAGGGATGAGAGAGGCGCGAATGATGTCGCGAATGAGTGAGGTAGCCTGTGATTGAACGCGTCATGCGACAGCTTTTCCCGATGGGAGGAGGACTCTGTCCAATCCGGAGTTTCGTGCAGACGGCAGGTACTCGAAATGGACAGGGAACGGAGGCAGGAAATATTGACAGATGTAACCGTGAGCACCCTCTGTGGCCAAATAGCCAACAATGCGCAGCGTACTCTCGTACTTGTAGGCGTACTCGCACTCGTAGTGGACGACGTAATATACAATGTGGATTTACAGACAGATGGTATTATGTTGGGTGAAACAATGCGCATGCGGCCAGCAAGGACCTGGGGGTGAGAAAAGCGCGCGACAGCGAATGACGAGTCGGAGGAGGAGGATGGGTGCCAGCCGGGCCAGGGTCGAGTTTTTTTTTTTTTTATCGCCTGGACCGGGAGCTATCCAGGGGTGGTGGAAGGGGAGGCAGAACCACAGCACGCACTTCTCTCGGCCCTGGATAGTGCTGGTGGTTTGCTGGTGGATACCAGAAGAGGTGAGAGCTGCAGGCTAATAATGATACCCGGGCTGCAGTAAGCTGGAGAAAATGCGAATGCGAATGCACGTCGAAAGGAATATGCAAATGTCGGCTCTCCTAGTGAGAAACTGTGAGCGATGCCAGCTTAACGGTAATACCGCGCAGGTTGGGAGAGCGACACGTGGAGGTTCAAGGGATGTATGCGTATGTGTGTTGTCTCGTGCTGGAAAAAAAAGAAAGAAGAAGAAGAAGAAAAGGGCAGTGGATGGCGGCTGTGCGTGGCCTGATCTCAGGAGAAACGGCAAACAAAACAGCCAAGGTCCAGATAGAAAGAGAGAGAAAGTGAGGGGCTGTTGTTAGGTGCAGGAGCTGTGCGGGTAGCTCTGTGGGGAAGCACAGAGCCAAACCAGTCAAGAGTCCAGCTCCAGGGCACAGAGGGGTTTAACGGGCCATGGGCCATGGGTTGAAGGGTGATGGGCTCTTAAGGATCGCTGGATCAGTGAACTCACATTGGTCTCCGGTTCGGTCACGGACCTCCTTCTACCCTCTGCAGAAGAATGGAGAAGGCAGTACACGCTCCCGTCGAACGAGCCGAGAGATAGAGGGAGTGAGTGAGGAGGGTTGGGGAGAATGCAAAGCGCCAGGGTTATCTCGATGCCCGTTGTCGCGAGTAGCACGTCTGCTATACAGTGCCTTGATTCTGCTGCATCGGCATCATCCTCGAAGCAAGTATCGAAGCGAGTCAAGACGAATGAGGAGGAAGGGAAGAAGAAGGGGAATGATCGAGACCACCAGAGAGCGACGGACTATGCCCGTTGAGCCAACTTGTTGACAGGGAAGGAGCGCCCCGCCCTCGTGCCTGCCGTCTGCCTGGTAGTACGGAAAGTGCCAACACTAGGCAGACATTGGACGATTATCGTGATGGTTTACTCTCAGAACGGAGTAGTACGAGTGCTGACTCATTAGCATAGATGACGGTAGATGGTGGCAGATAATAGTAGAAATAGTCGACGATAGCAGTGCTGCTAGACAATACTACGACTAGAAGCAAAACGGAGTAGTATCGCTCGGTATCACGGTGAGCGGTATTGCGGCTTAATATTAATAGTAATACTTGGGAGAAACATGTCACTTGTCAGAGGCACTGCGACAAGACGAGACAAGCCTACGTCGTATCAAGGACTACCTTTATTTATCAAACGAATACTACCCCTACTCCGCGATACTACTCTATTTTCCTCATGTACCCGTACTTCCGACGTACATGAAATCATAACCCACAGGCTACATCACAACATGTACGGACATGTAAGTCGGGCAACGTGCTTTCACGGCCCAACCCAGATCTGGCAAGAACCGTCGCCCATTTCGGTCGCCGCGATACCTAGAGGAGGGGCGAACCTAGGTGGCGTTCGAGTGACCGACTCCATCTTAATACCTAGGTCGGTCGGTACTTGATATCCTTCTTGTAATCCTTCGACCTGCCCTGGTAATACCCTGCATCCGGGGCGTCGTTCAGGTAGGAGAGGGGGGAGGAGGCTGCATGTTGATGCTGCAGTGATGATGGTCGATGCGCGGAGCAGTGACCAGCTTCGCTGCTTGCTCTAACCCTTCTTCCTTCCTGCTCTTGCTCCCCGACATCGACTGAACTCGTACGGACCTGTGATGTGAGACCCAAAAAAACTAGCGCGGGAGTGCACATGCGATTTACATATTAATCTGCACATGTATTGGTTTTTTTTTTATCGGTTTTTTTTTATGGAGTCTTGATTGTAGGAGACGAAACGAACGCCGTGATAGAGGGGTCGGAAAACCCGGCACCGTTTTTGATGACATCTCCAGAATTCTGTATAATGTTACGAGCAACACATCACGGAGCGGGTGCGCATATTAGCTACTATCATTGCTGCATTGCATACGGGACAGCCCGTTGATGTCATGGACTGCATCTGCTGCCCATCCGTGATGCGTACACTGCCTGCGCGCGCACGTCTTCGTCGTCGTCATCGTCGTCGTATATTATGACTAGGTGCACTGTCATAAGGTGGCGTGGAGGGAAACTCGAATCCACCGTCCTACTCGTGTTCTATTGATCGGCCCTGTCAATCTCCAATCCCTTGACGTCTACCTGCTGCAATCTGTGCTGATATTAATACCCATGTCGATGTATCATTACTGGTACAGCTGCTGATGCCCGCCTGCCAGTACGACATATCCATAAATATTCTTCATCGCCATGCGTTTTTTTTTTTAAAATTTATTTTTTTTGTTTTTTTTTCGCTTTAACCTGGTAGGGTGACACCCTTACGACCAAACCCCACCTTCCGCCACGTGCTCGTCGCCGTTGCCGTGTGTCAGTTGAGCTACGGATGCCACACGGGGCTGGAAGGTTTCTATGTATGCAGACGAACGGGGGACTTCTGGAATCCCGTGTGCTCGTGGAACAGGATTGACCATCAACGCAGACGGTGGCCAGTCCGATCCTTGCCGCCAACCTGTGGGCATTACATCGTCAAGTGGAGGTGAGGTGGAATAGCATGCTAGGTGTGATGTATTGTCGTAGTGTCCCGTGCGCCTTTTTCCAATCGTCGTTTCCAATGTCTGGAGCAGCTGCCTCCCACTTCTTGCCCATGCTACGTGGCTGGCATATTAGAATAAGGCAGAAGAAAAGAGAACGGATCGTTCCCATCAGACAGGATGGACGGCTACGCGGGACAGCTCGAGAAGATGAAACCCATCTCCACGTGTGTGTGTCATCTGGGCGCATTGACCACTGCCCTATAGTCAGGTTCTCGTCGTTGCAGCATCCAGAGCTCCGGAGACTCCTGGATACGCACGGGCTTGAGGATGGCGTGTTCGTCCCAGTTGCTGCCATCGTGCTTCCGAGTACCCGTAGCGTCCTCGACGACGACGATCCTCTCGGCCTGCCCAGATGCCGGAAGCACCTCGGCCTCGAGGGCCACGATGGCAGGCTCCTCATTGGGAATGCCAGTCCAGTTGTGCCGGAAGCCACGGCAGTTCTCGACGCCGACACCGAGGTCACCCGAGTCCATGTAAGCGTGGAATACCGCGGTTCCGTCGGCCGTATACTCCGTCACGGCACCCTCGGAGCCCTCTAGTTGACGATTACGTTGCCGTTGGGGAGCACGCGCGTGGACCCTTGCGACTTGGACAGCAGATCGTTCTCGGGCGGGTAGAAGCCCCGGACGAGCTCGGCCTCCCATGACGTGGTGTTGACCTTGATGATCTTGCCGCTGCTCGTCGGCGCCGTGTGCACCTCGGAGCCCGACCCGTGCTCCGTCCCATGAGCGCTGTTGTCGTACAGGCTCATGACCTCGACGTCGTCGTGCTGCTCGAGGAAGCGGGCGTCGTGCTGGAAGCAGAACTTCGTGTCGTCGGGCACGGAGAAGTCGCTGGCTTTTCCGTCGAGACGCCAGATTATGCTGCCGTCCGTGCCGTCGATCTTGTGCACGGCGCAGGCGTCGCGGGCGGAGACGAGGTAGTCGCCGGCCCGGTCCTTGTCCACGCTGTTGATGTGGAGATAGTCCCATGCGTCCGAGCTGTTGTAGCCCGATCCAGCCTGGCCGGGGTTGATGGGGAGGACAGCCTCTGAGACGTGCGCCAACAACCATGTGCTGCTACGGCCTGCTGTAGAGTATGTCCTTGCCGTCCCAGCGGCCAGCCTGGAAGTTGGTCGGCCAGATGCTGTAGTAGCCGTAGCCACTCCAGATAAGGTCGCCGTCGTCCCGGAAGATGTAGGGGCTGGCCTGGCGCGCGCCGTGCTGCTCCGTGGGGGTGTCCTGGTAGCCTGCCAACGGGGCGACGAAGATGTACCCGCTCTCGGCCTCCTCGGTGGCCGGGATGGTGATGTTGAGGCGGGGAACTGCCAGGTCGGTGCGCGACTTGAACTGCCAGTCGGCGATGGCGAGCCCGGAGAACAGGGAAGCCGCGAGACCGGAGCGTCTGCTTGAGCTCATGGTCACGGTCATCATGATGGACAGATCCTGTACGGAGAGAGAGTGAATAAGTTAAGGTGAGGGCCCGCCATGATTTTGAATATTCTTGTTGGCAATTGGGTACATTGACCTCTGATGGTGTGCGCACCAACCCTGGATAATCGGTCCCTTTCCCTTGGATGCCTGGGGCGAACGGAAGATAAAAATAGATGCAATGGTTCGGTACTTTCAGAGACGAAGAAAACAAGAAAGAAGAGAAGAGAAGAGGACGAGTAAACTCAGTCAACACTGAGGTAGGGGAGAGATGCAAGATGGGAAGGGTGGGGACCGACGAAAGAGCACGAACTGCTCAAAGAAAAGCTTGATATTCGTCTTACACCGCACTCGCCGTCCCGAATCGGAATAGGCATCAATAGAGTCTTTTTCCGCATGTAAGGCGTGATTTTGGCGGGGAACCCCCCAGTCGGCCAATTAGACAATGTACGCATCACGTAGACGCACATTTGTATCTTGATCTTATGTATATTGAGTCACCGCTTGCACTGGCGTTAAGTCGCAAGTGGGCGGCGGCATGCCATGAACCCGCCCGGGTGGCACCCGTTCTCTTCCTATGGCGGACCGAACGAGGGAAGCCATTCCATGCAGCCTACTCTGCAGGTAATGGCAATGAGTTGATTGAAAATTTTCTTTCTTGGCATTTTTAGAAGAACGACCGTTACAGATATCCAGTCTTCAATTGTATCACTCGACTGCTGCCGATCCCCTCCCTCCCCCGGATTGCTGGCGTTGAGTCTTACTCGTTTTTAGTCTGCCGACCCCCGCTCCCCCTCCCCCGAGCATCAATTATCAATTCTGCTAAGACGAGTGTTTAATACTGCAGTGGTGTAACCATGGATCGTGCTCTCACGGCTGCTACCAGCAGTGCGGGGCCGAATGCCGTGGCGGTCGAGAATGGGGAGCGACAGCCCCTCCTCGGCAGCAAGTTGACGGCTCAGCAAAGGGATCGAGAGATTGTCCCACGTGGGGAGGATGAGGAGGAGGGTGCAGAGGATCGGCAACACGTGGAAGGAGGAGAAGAGGAGTGGAAGCTACCCCGGCACTTTGTCTGGATCCAATTCGGCATCATGTCCAACGTCTTCCTCTCAGGCTTCGACGGCACCATCACCGCCTCTACCTATGCCGTCATCAGCTCCGAGTTTGGCGCGACGAACACGGCCTCGTGGCTGACGACGTCGTACCTCGTCACCAACACGGCTTTTCAACCCCTATATGGCCGTGTCTCCGACATTTTTGGCCGTCGCATCTGCTTCTTCGTCGCGACCGTGGCCTTTGCCCTTGGCTGCCTGGGATGCAGTCTATCGAATGACATCATCCTTCTCTACTGCATGCGCGCTCTCACCGGCTTTGGTGGAGGCGGTCTGATGACAATGGGTACGTCCGATATATTCCATCATTGCTTTCCTATGCGTCTGACAACGAGCGTAAAGCCACAATCATCAACTCGGACATGATCCCCTTTCGCAACAGGGGCATGTATCAGGCCCTCCAGAACTCAACGTACGGCCTTGGAGCCATCTGCGGCGCATCGCTTGGCGGCTCTATTGCCGACTCCATCGGCTGGAGGTGGTGTTTCCTTCTTCAGGTCCCAATGTCTGCCTTTGCTCTGTTCCTCGGTTACACGGTCATCAAGAACCCGTCTCACTCTCTCATCGGAAGTAGCAATGGCGGACAGTGGACCTGGCTCGACGCATACAAGAAGGTGGACATATCGGGATCGCTGCTTCTCGTCACTGGTATTTCCATCCAACTTCTCGGTCTGAGCCTCGGAGGCAACGAGCTGCCCTGGAGCAGCCCCTGGGTGGTTGGGTCTCTGGTCGGAAGCGTCATCATCTTGGTCACGTTCCTGATAGTCGAGGTTACGACCAAGGCTGTCCCCATCATCCCGTTCCGCCTGCTGCGCGGAAAGGTTCCCATCGCTACGCAGATCTCCAATGCCTGTGTTGGTCTCGCGGTCTATGGCGTAAGCTTGTCCCTTGACCCTGCTCTTCAGTTTGAGGGCACGCATGATTGATACTGACGAGTTGATTCAGTACATCTTTATGCTTCCCCTATTCTTCCAGGTTGTCCTGCTGGACTCTGCCACCAAGGCTGGGGTCCGTCTGGTTATCCCCTCCATTGCCACACCTATTGGCGGGGTCATTTCTGGTGTCGTCATGTCGCGCTGGGGAAAGCTTCCCACTCTCGTCAGGACCGGCTGTTTCCTGATGGCTGTGGGAATCGGGCTCGTTGCTTCTTTGAGCTTTGTTGACTCCCACTGGAAGTACTTTACGTACATCTTCGTGCCAAACCTGGGCCAGGGAATCGTCTATCCTGGTCTTCTCTTCACTTCTCTTGCCACCTTTGAGCACTCAGGTAAGCCCGAAACGTCCCTGACAGGGCGGGGTTTAGAATACGCACTGATGATTTGGACCTCCAGAGCACGCTGCGACTACCTCGACCGTGTATCTCATTCGATCTTTGGGTACAGTCTGGGGTGTCTCTGTTACCTCGGCGATTGTGCAAACCACGCTCAATCTTCGACTTCCGGATGCTCTGGACGGGGTACCTGATAAATGGAAGGTGAGGCCATCCGCCCAAAGACCTACTGATGGCGGCTTTCGGAAGACGTACTCATCACCGTCAGATAGATCATCGACGCGGTGCGGCACTCGGTCGAAGAGCTCCGCAACCTCCCCCCTGACGTCCAGCTCAAGGCCCGGTTGGTCTACTACGACGGTTTTCGGTATTCCTTCATTGCCTCATCGGCGGTCGCCTCGGTGGCCCTCGTCTCGGCGTTCTTCATCAACGGAAAGAACCTCAGGACGACTGTTAGAAAATGATCTTTGGGTACTTTGCAAGATGTATGATGCCAGCGTGTTGAGATATGTAACATTGGAAAGGAAGAAGAGAGATGAGAGAGATGAGAGTCGAACAGTCTGGATTAGGCATTTCTGGAATTGCATAGATTATAGAGTTCCGGAGATGATGAAGATAACAGGAAACAAGGCCTGCAGGTCTCATTCCTCCTTGGCCTTCAGGATCACATCTGTAAACTTTGAGCCAACCTTGAGCCACCAGCCTGAGACCAGGACTGTGAGTCCTCCAACAACGACACAGGTGTAGTTCATATTGTCGGGCTCTACAGGCATGACATATGGGAAAGAGAAGAAGACGACTGCAAACACCAGCCAGCACACCGTAACTGTGTTGATGACCGATCCCAGTGTGTTGTTCATGTGAAAGTGGCCATGGTGCATGTTTCTCCGCCCCGTTAGCAGGTTGGTCAGGATCGGGATCAGGTAGGAGATGTTGTTGATCGTGACTGCCGTTCCCAGGAGCGAGTTGAATGCTGTGGATGACCCGAGATACAGGCATCCGAGAGCGGCAATGATGGCCGTCACTATGAGCTGCGCGTTCAGGGGGATTTTCAGCGTCGGGTGGACTTGGCACCAGCTTTGTAGCATCCATCCTTAGCCTCGCACATTCTCAAGAGGGGAGGGGAGGAGGGGGGAGATATCGGCGTATACTTACAGGCGTGAGAAGGGCACGGCACCGTCCCGTGAAAATGCCCAGAAGATGCGGCCGGTGCTCAGCTGAGAGCTGACAACGCAGGGACCAAGAGCCACCAGGAGGATGAATGTCAACCCGAAGGCACCCCCGGCTAGACCGGTGACTTGTCGAAACAGCTCTGCCAATGGAAGCCCAGTGTTGGTGCCGGACAGTGCGTCGAAATCTTGAATTGAGAACATGAGAGCGACGAGGTACGAGAGACCGGTGCAGAAGGCAATGCTCAGAGTGATGGCGATCGCGATTGGGGCATTGCGGGAGGGCTGTGGCGTGCGTCAGAAACATATCCCATCAGATTGACGCGAGGTCCTCCTTACATTGGGCATTTCCTCAGTGATGTGAGTGATGCCGTCAAGCCCCCCCAGACTGTATAGGGGGTTCACCAGGCCGGTGATGAAGCAGATCACCTGGTTTTCCCATCCGGTGCTGTTGATCCAGGTCTTGAAGACAAAGTCGGCGCTCTGATACGAAGGAGCGCAGGCCACCACCGTGACCAGGACTACCAGCCAGCCAATCTGGAGATAGAAGAGAGAGAATTTGTTGAGGCCCGGGATGATCCTGTTCCCGAACATGACAACCGCCGCCGTGATGAGGTTGAGTCCCTGGTAGACGATGAAAGTCTGCCAAGCCTTGATCTCGAGCGACTGGTGGTAGATTGCGACCAGAGCCATGACGATCTGGGCGAAGATCAGGTTCGTGGAGGCAGTCGTGAAGATCCCTGCAGATGGATATGGTCAGCCGCAAGCCCCCGTCTGCCATGTGCGTCGAGGAGGACTGGGCGTGGGTGGCAACTCACATCCCAGAACGCTGAACCATCCGGTGAAGAAGCTCAGTATCCCGGTAGTCTTCTTGGGTGCGACGGCGGCAATCCAGTGGTACATGCCGCCTTCCGTAGGGTAAGATGAGACGAACTCGGCCAGGGAAGCACCCAGGAAACATTGGAGGATGGTGACCAGGATGAAGCCGTAGATGACAGCGCCGGGACCGCCTGCGCCGATCTCTGTGATGAGTCCGAGGCCCAGGCCGGTCCACGAAATGGTGGTCGTCGAGGCCAGACCGATGAGGCTTATGGTGCTAAAATGTCGTTTCAGCTCCTGGGTGTGGCCTTGTTTGCATCCCTCCCATCAGCATGCTATATTCTCTCCTCGTGTGCTCGATCTCAACCTACCCATCTCAGCCAGGCGAATCTCGTCGCGATCCGCGGACACCTTCAGGTCAACATCGTCGGACTTCTCCTGCCGAATCGACATGGAAACTCCATGTGAGGCGTCCATGGCGTGTACAAGGCAGTAGAGCTAAGGAACAGAAGCTGTCGAGACCAATCTTCCCTGTCGACAAGCAGGATAGAAGTTGAAGAGCCTCCTGGTTCCACGACACTGAACGAGTATCGAGCATGAGAAGTGAGTCAAGGTCTGGCGACGCGGTCGACCTCCAAGGTGGTGGGAAGGCCTGGATGTAACCTGATAAGCTTCAAGATCCGGTCCATGTTACATGGGCGCATAGAATGCAACATTGGAGCACCACGGCACGGGGTATAGATAAGTGTCTCTGCCTCCCTGTGCATCGGCGCGGTCCCTATATTGTCCTGCATCCCCACATTCGTGTAATTGTTGCCGATAACTGCACGTGCTCAGCAGCTCAATGCTATATATTATTACTCGTATAGTCATGCTCGTATGAGAAGACTGGTATCTTCTTCGTGTGTTGATTGTGCCCACAGCGGGGAATCGGTGGATCTCGCGACCGAATTTCTCGATAAGGGGAAGGACTTCCTTGTCGGTGTATAAGTAATAATATTACCGAGTAGGGCGACTCTCATGACGGCAACCACATCTAGGCAGCGGCAATTCCCGCATGTTGGTTATCACCGTTGCAAGGAACTCGTATGTAGCTCATGTCGTCCGTCGGCTGTTCTATCCTGAGTACGGCCATTCGGGAGGGGTATAAACGTGCGGTCTGAGCTGGACCCAACTCGTATTATCTATTACCCCATGCCTAATGTCGTATGAATCGCGGGGCTTTTATCCATCTTTGGCATCTTGGTATCTCTGGGGATCAGATATATGGTATCCTTTGCTGTGGTTTTACGATTATGCTATCATGTTTGTCACCATTCAATCTTCTGTGCTGTACTGCTATTTTGGAAATGTACGTATTCTCCTCGACTTGACGATACGTACATCCATCTACATGCCCTGATATCCAGTATCCAGGGATTGAATGAACGAGTTGTTTCGTAGTACCGAACCCCGCTTACACCGGCTCAAGCGTCTTTTTTTCTTCTTCTTCAATTGTCTACTCTAGTTGCATATAATATCGCGTAGTAGTAGATGGAGTACATACATACGAGTACCCACGATTGAAAGCGAGCACTGGTAGGACACCCGGCTGATGAGGGGAGCCAATTTCTAGCCGGGCCATTTATAATGCCGCTTTCTGCGCGCCCCATTGATCCAGATACTATCACTCTTTCATTTCATCTGACTCTAGATCCATGTTCACGCTCACTCTACTACAGAACAGCTCGCCATCTCACTTATGATGCCGAGTTTCACTCAATTGGCATTGGCTCTCATGCCTCTTGCCGGCACTGTCCTCGCTTCCTCCTATGTAGAGTCACTTCCCGAGAATGCCCAATCGCTGTTCTCGGAGAGCATGGGGTGGATGGACCAATACTACGACCCCGAGGCTGCATATCTGTATGATTTCAGCGGCGCCGCTGCCCTACGACATGAGACCCGCAGCTCGGTCTGGTACGCACTCGGTCTATTGGCACGGAACCAAGGCGACGACGTAGACAACGCCGAAAGCATAATCACGAACGTCATCAAAGCCCAATACAAGAACCCGGCAGATGAATGGTACGTCGGAACAGCACGAGAAGGACCGAAGCTGCATGGAACTCATGGAAATTGACCGTAATCGCAGGTATGCCACCTACCAGCAAGAGCCAGAGGAGCCTCTGGTCGGATCGCCTGCGTACCCTCCCAAGATTTACGGCTCATGGGATCCCAATTGGAGAGGCTTTGTGGCGACGACCCTGATCCTGGCCATGGAGAAATTCCCCCACCTCATCAAGAACGGAACCCAGGGGCTCATCCTAGAGTCCCTGCATAACTCGACTAAAGGAGATGAATACCGATTTGGCCATCTTGATCCCGACGAGGACAACCTTTACCCTTCTTATAGCAACCCTGTGAGTGCAGGATTCGGATCCTTCAGCTTGGGAAGCCTCATTAACGTGAATTTTTCTCCAAGGCTATCATGCGAGCATTTGTTTCTGGCTGGACAGGTCGCCGCCTGAATGAGGAGAACATGACCGAGAGCGGCGAAAAGTATGCCGAGGAGATCATTGAGCTCTTTGATCGTGGGAACACCCTCCCGGAATTCAATTCCGGAACCTACACTGGAGTCTCGCTTTTCGGACTGGTCCTGTGGAGCAGGTACCTGCCCAAGGAATCTGTCATGTCCTCGGCAGGGCCGCGGATGATCCAGCACACCTGGGAGTCGGTGGCGCAGCTGTGGCATCCCGGTATGAAGAACATGGCCGGCCCTTGGGATCGTGCCTACGGCTACGACATGAACCGTTATGTCAGCCTCATGGGTCTCTGGTTTTGGACGCTTGTCGGGAAGGAAAACTCATCGCTCATCAAATATGTAAGTTGCCACAGGCCGGTGGAGACAAGGTCGACGGATGCTGACGTGTCGAGGTAAACCCGACAGCCCCAAGTCATGTCGCACATGGCAGATTATGCCTGGGCTCCGCTTCTTGCAGTCTTGGCTGAGGAGCATGAGGAATTGATCCCCAAGAATATCTCCACTGGCCTCGGCAAGTTCCAGGGGGACCACACCTTTACCGCCAGCGCCTACTACCCTCCGTTCGATACGACTCCGCGGAACATCACCACCTGGGTATCCGAGAACCTGACGATCGGTGCGGAATCCTATGATGAGATCGTTATAGGCGGTCCCGGTCAGAATCAGGAGGCCTTCAACCCCGTCGTCGTGCAGTGGGATACTGGCCGCGAAATCTCCTTCATCTCGGTACGCTCTACTGTCCCCCCCTCCCTCTCTTCTCTTCCTGACCGAGGTGCTAACGTCTCTTCAAGCTTTATCCGACCGAGATGGCCCTGGACGTCGTCGTCACACCTGGAAAGCTTAACCTCACATACCCCTATGGCAACGCAACTTCAATCTTTTCCCTCCTTGTCGGGACCTTTCGAGAAAAGCCCACCATCGCAGGGTGGGGTGACATCCCGCGGCTGACGGTGGACATCGACGGAAACATCGACAAGAACTATAGCTTGAGTTATGGTGGACAATATGGTGGCGCCGACTCCACGGTACGGGATTTCGAATTCTGGAACTTTACTTACACGATGCCCAAGGATTTCGTGGGACTTCCTAACTTGATACTTGAGTTAGAGGCATAGCTGTCAACTCATCAAGAAGAGATTACATTTGAAGTTGGCCTCTGGGCTGAGGAAGATGAAACATGCTGCATCGTCGGCTCCCTTCTGTGCAAGTTTACGACACTGCATATACGTGTCCGTTTCCACCAATCGGCAACATGCAGGTGCAACTAAACATATCTGTCCAGGGACTGTTACCCAACATTTATACCGAGTCCAGTGACGACGTATCCTCGGAGGTAATTGCGGAATATCAATGTGGATAAACGGAGACTAGACTTAGCTCGGACGAGGACCACCACGACCACCACGACCACCACGTCATTGTTCTGTCCGCCGCCGGCGTGGCAGATGGCTGCAGCCCTGGCGTCAGCAGCATGGGCGGCATTGACACCAGAGGGCAGCCAGGCAAGGATACCGCCAGATACCTCCTCGCCCTGGAAAGTGTACTGAACGACAAGGTCCCTGATCGCGATGCCACCAGCAAGAAGGGAGTCATCGGCGCTGAGGGTGAAGGGCTGCTGGTTGCAAATGTACGGGCTGTATTGCGTCTCAACCTGGTAAATGAAGTCCTGATCAGAGTACACCTGGCCAACGTACGAGGCAGTGACATCGAACATGGTGCGGTCTGTCCTCTCCGCAGCGTGGTGTGGATGTGCTGGGTGCGGCTACTAGGAGAAGATTAGGGGCGACCGATATTTTTTGAGAAACACTTCTCTGCCCCTCGGGACATACCTGTAATGGTCTGGGGATATCGTCCTTCAACTGAACCATCCAGGTCGGTGAGCTGCGGACTACGGAGAAAGATGTTGCCAGTGTTCTCCGGGGCGTCGGTATAATAGTTGCCGCCGGAGGCCACATCAGAATAAATGCCGGGCAGCGTTACAGCCTAGACAGCAGGTCAGGACACACATGTTCTATGGAGAAGCGGTATCTGATGATATACCCCAGATCTCCAGCCGCTTCCCTGGGATAGGCTCGCATGTCTCCACATCAACAACGGCGAGATCGATATGAAGAACGGCACCACCCTGATCCCCCGTCAGAGCCATGCCGGACGTGTCCACCGCCGACCATGGTATTGTACACCATGGTTGGTTGCATGCGAGGTGCTTTATCCTGTTGATTTATCCCATCCGGCTGCCAAGCGTTACTCGCATCTCGTATCCTCGGAACTGAAGTTTCTCATACAGATATAGACGCATATAGGGAGAAGACCGGAGCAGTTGTCGGGTGGTGTCAGCTGAAACCCTGACCGGTTTTCCGATGATCATGGCTGGTCTATCGAGCTGCGAGACTTCCTAGCAAGCTCGGATGTCGGACTGGCTGTTGACCCCGAAGGCTTCACGAGTGCATATGTAACTGGCAACTGCGCATTGCCTTCACATTGCCATTCGGGCTCAGTCCCATGCTACAGGAATGCGTGGGTCGGCAAAAGGACCTTTTTCACGAAGATGAGAACTTTACGGTCTTGCGGTGATTGCAACCTCCTTGTACGGAGTAACGGGTGGCAAGATGGGCCGGGCCTGTACCGTGGCAAGAGATCTACGAGCACCGCAAGATCAATTTGTGTGTCATGTCTTCTCTTGCCGCCATCGAGCATGATAAGGCACGGCGTAAGGCATCCGCATCTTCGCCCTTCGCCGTCTCATTTCACGCCCGGCAGCGGGTCCCGGCAGCGGGTCTCATAAGGATATTGGTAATGTTTCCCAGCTCATGGAGGACCACTTTCGCAGGATTATCATAAAGAATAAGGGGATGCCGGTTTCATGCTGACCTCATGCCCGTCGTCCGTTACCCTGTTTGCTCCAATAGGCGGGTCCGTTCCATAGGCGGGTCCGTCCTATGACGGCATGGCTTACATGATGTATTAGTAATACGTAGACAGCCGCGTAAATGGAAAGTTACCTTGTTTGCTGCTGACTGAGTCGCGCTGGATGTCGCCATTCTCGGGGGCGGGGTCATTCTCGCAAGACTTCACAATCGTATTGCCCGCAAGTGAGAGAGGAGCGCGAAAAGCTCAAGCTGCTTTACTAATTCTTATCAACGTCGGAAAAGCGCCAAGTTGAAGATGACACGAGATATAGTGCTAGACCCACATATAAGATCACATGACGCACATAGAAGTCGGAAGGAACGTTGTTCCGGTCGGAGAGGAGTCAAGGACTCAGGAATTCAATACGACAGTGATTAGCAATGAATAATCTCTCATAGAACAACTAGATATATATCCAAAGCCCTCAATAACGCTGTCATCGGTATTTCTCTCTCTCCTGGCCTGGGACATTCACTCAGTTCCTCTACCGGGAATCCTACTCAGCTCAGACGCACCTCAAACTGAGCTCATTCCCTGCACAGCTGTGTCCGGCACCAAACCGTTGCGTACATCTGAGTCTTCAGCTTCCTAGCTAGTTAGCATAGGATCATCAACATCATCAGTTCTGTCATCTATCTCTGCGCATTCTACACGTTTCACAGATGGCCACGTCAAGCACAAAGCCGGTCCTGATCTCAGGGGCTGGCATTGCGTCGCTGCTGCTTGCCCAAAGCCTGCGTCGCTCCAACATCCCCTTCCGCATCTTTGAGCGCGACGCGTCCTTTGTCTTCCGCGCTCAAGGGTACCGTCTGCGTCTGTCAGCCGAGGGGCTCGACGCCATCGAGTCGACGCTGGAACCATCCATCTGGGACAAGTTCTGGGATGCATGCGGCAAGACGGCCGGCGTCGGCGTCGCGGCGTGGAACGCCGTCACGGGAGAGCAGACGGAGCTCCCATCCACCGGGGGTTCGCTAGGGTCGCGCGACGGCAAGGTCGTCGGCATCGCGCGCGGCGACATGCGCAGGATATTTGCCTCGGGATGCGAGGACTACATTGAGTGGTCAAAGCAGGTTACGGGCTATGAGCTGCTTGACGACGGCGTGGCTGCCATCTTTGCCGACGGCTCCAAGTCCGTCGAGGGCTCGTTGCTTGTCGGCGGTGAGGGAATCTACTCGCGCGTGGCCAGGCAGCTCTCGGACGGCAAGCTCAAGGTCTTCGACACGGGGGCCCGCGGCATCCACGGCCAGGCGCCCACGACGGCGTTCAAGGGCCTTGGCGAGGGCGTACACTCCCTGCGTGACGAGTCTCGCGGCAGCGGCAACGTCGTCTTTGCCATCACAAACGTCCGCCCGGGCGACATAGATGATCCCAACCTCATGTTTGGCTGGACCATGGGAGGGCATCCGGGTGCGATACGTGCGCCCAACGACGACTACTCGCTTCTGGGCGAGCCGGCGGCCAAAATCGCCAAGGATCTCACAAAGAACTGGAACCCTCGGTTCAGGCCGCTCTTTGAGAACATGGCTGTCAACGAGGCCGCCTTCTGGAAGATTACATGCTCCACGCCCAGCGGTGTTCCGGAGTGGAAGAACCAGCCCCGTGTCACCGTCATCGGTGATGCGGTGCACTCGATGACACCCGCAGCCGGTATTGGGGCCAATACGGCCGTGCGAGATTCGGCTCTGCTCGGCAAACTGCTGCGCGATGCCGGAGGGTACAAGCCAGGAATCACGGCCGAATATGAGAAGCAGATGAGGGTGTATGCCAGCGAGGCCGTCAAAACCAGCTACACCAATGCCGTCAAGCAGTGGAATATCAAGATCGATGAGGAGACGACGCCTACAGTTTGACAGGTAGATGAAGGCCTGAAGTCTTTTCTCTTTTCCTCTTAAATGTTCTATAGATTTCTCTGTATCATTGTGAGCGCCCTTCCCATGTAGACGGAAATAAATAGGTCATGCGAGTTGATGAAAAGTTGATGGGAAAACCCACGTGAGGTGGTGGTGAGGGCCACCGAGAGGTAACGCATTAAGCTTGAATGCGGAACTCTGCATCGAAAGCTTCCAATTCCCCAGGCGGGAAGACACCTACCCCTTATTCTTTTCATGAGGCGCCATTTTATTCCTTCGTCACGATGGCCGATGTTGCGGTCTTTCCATCTCCAGCTCTCCCTTGCGTCTATCTGAGGAACTCTCTTCTTTACGCGCGTATGGCCAGCCACAGGAAACCGTTGGTGGCGCATGGGATATTCAGCCGATACTTGCCAGACAACGAGTCTGCGTGGGACAGGAGCGGGTGAGATGAGTGACATGGTCTGCTAGGTGACAGAGAAAGCAATGGCGATACAGCGGTGAAGGTGCTAATAGTCAGGGATGTGTATTGATGGCTGGCCCCCTTCCTCGACCTCCGTAGAGGAAGGCGGCTACTTATATAACCTCATCAGTCCCGTGTGTCCCACTTCCTATGGCCTCCTCCACCGATATTATGTCCTGACACATGACGGGTTCGTCTCGCGACTAAGCGCACGGCTATGAAACGCACACTTATGCCTTGCGGTCGGGCCAAGCATCATAGAGGCCCTCGTAGACCTCGACGTCGCTGAAGGTCACCGAGCCGGATCCGTCCTGGAAGAAACGGATGTCGGTCGAGTTGGCGTACCATGAGCGGGCCCAGGTGCTCAGGCCAAATCGCTCATTGGCGTGCACCTCAAGCACACCGCCGTCCACGACGACGGTGAGTCTCAGCGTCTCGACCTGCTGCTCCTTGGCGCCGTTCGGGATGACGTCGAAGAGACGCAGGTAACCTGACTCGGTCGCGGTGGAGATGCCTCCCGTAGGAAGGGCTGCAGCGCTGGTGTTGCTACGATCGATGCTGATGGACTCGTTGCCGAAGGTGTAGTAGATGGTGGTCGATTCCTTGTCCGAGGCGAGGATCTGGAAGCCGGCCTTGAGGTCGGTGTCGCGGGCAGACGAGGGGAAGGTGAGGTTGGCGGACAGAACGTAGTACTTGGAGGCGGGGGGGTTGGCGAACGGGATGACGTCCGACTTCTCGACCGTGCGGCCGGGCTCGGTCACATGCTTGGTCGTGTTGGGCGACGTGAGTGCGGCCAGCGGCTCGCGAGCAATCTGCTGGCCCAACGTCGAGAGCTCGAGGAGGCCGTTCTTGCCCTCCGAGCTGACCGTCCACGTGGTGTTCTTGGCACGGGACAGCTCGTTGTCGACAACATTGGTGATGTGGCCGACGCTCAGCTCGCGCGGCAGCAGCAGCGTGCCCGTCCAGTTCTGTTGCGCGCTGGGGAAGTCGACGGCATTTCCAAAGTCATCGCCCGTCAGCCAGATGTACGAGATGAAGCGGTCGTGTACCGTCCCGCTCTTCTTGGACGCGACCGACGAAGCCGGCAGATCCTTGCCGGCAGCCGCATACGACGAGAGCCCGGCATCGAGATAGCCAGCGGCGGTGGGCGTGAACACGGGTTTGCCGGTGGCCTCGTCCAGCGAAATGTCGCCCGTGGCCCACAGCTGGGAACGTATCTGGGACACCTGCTCCTGGATGGGCGCCTGCGTACCTTCGGCACCGAGCGTGACGAATATGTCACCGTCCTTCGAGTTGAAACCGTTGCTATCCAGGCCAAAGATGTTGGCCACCTCAAAGTTGTAGCCCCAGCGGCCGGCCCAGGGAATCTCCTCGTTCCAGGTGGAGTTGCTGGCCTCGTGCCACCATTCGCCGAGGTAGTCCCAGTACTGGAATTCCGGGTCGGTCTGGCGGTACAGGAACAGGGCCGGACCTTGGTCGTGCACACCGCCCGAGATGACGGTGTACCAAGAGTCGGGCGTGGTCGTGTTGGTGACATCGTCCAGCCTGCTGCTCTTGAACACGTACGGGTCGCGGAAGCCGGTGACGTTCAGTCCGAAGGGGGGGTCGGAGATCACCGGTCCCGAAGGCACCCGGTCAAAGTTGCGGCCACCGTCGGACGAGACTGCCAGGGACTGGGTCTCGCTGCCGCGCGTGTAGTTGATGGTCCAGTGGATGGGTAGGAACTTGACGGACGTGTAGAACAGGGTAGGCAGTCCGCCCAGACCCTCGGGGATCACGCAGCCGTCGAATACAGCCAGGGGGTCGTTGAGGCCGCCGGCGGTGATGAAGGGCTGCCCGTCAGGGTTGAGGTCCTTGTAGGTCACCAAGTCACCCGTGGTGGCGCCGGACGTGCCATTGCTGTACAGGTAGCCCACGTGGAAGAGCCCCGTTGACGGATCCGTGTATCCGGCAGCAGCGTCACCGACTTTTCCGTTGGGGGGGAGCACATGGGCACGAGGCCTCCAGGTGTCGTACAGGCTGCCATTGGACAGCGATGACAGGTTGGGCGGCGCCGAATTGTAGTCGACGGTGGTCCTGGCCAGCAACGGACCGGCGGCGGCAGCAACTGAGGAGAGCTTCATGATGAACTGACCCACGGGGAGGCAGAAGGGGGGAAGGTGTGCGATAACACGAAGGGGCGAAGGTTGGTTGCGAAAGTGGCCATCGCGTGTAGGTTGGCTTTTATATACGAGTAGATTCACAGTAATGTTGCCTATTGCCCGTGCACTCTGATGGGATGATACATGCACGAGCATGTACAGAGAGTATCATTACGGAGTATCACGAGCATCCAGCTTAAATTCAACTTAAAATCCCGCTTCTCCAGTTCTAGCAGCCTCCACATGGTGCGATGATATCCACCCTACCCCATTCTCCAGGTCCACCTGGTAAATTGGATTGGGATAGATATTATTACCTGTACGATGACCACCGCGGAGAGACGAGAGAGAAAAAAATATGACGGTACATCGTAATATGAAATATAAACTAAATCAAGTTTTTCTTCTCCGCGATACTGCGGTAGTGGAGTGCGATGGATCGCGTACAGGACGAAAGACCGAACGAAAATCCGTGCCAGATACCGATACCCACTCCATGTGTCCGTAAGGCTAAGCCACATATGGCGAAGCCACATATGGTGTGATGCCGACTAGATTGGAGTCCCGTGATCTGGGGATACATGTAATGGTTTTCATTGTTTTTTTATTGTCTTCTTCTACGCATGCAGTAGCATGTTCTGCTGCAGGAAGAGAGGGAAGAGAAACGAAAGGAAACGAAGAAGAGAAACACCCGGAAAACGGGGGGAGGAAAAGCGCGGGGAAGTACAGGGACTATGCGTTGGGCGGACGCCCGGCGGCAGTCAAGGTATCCTCAAAGCCTAGTAAGAATGGATCCTTAGACTTACATATCCTAGCTCGAGTCACTGTTTGCAGAGATACTTTCTCCCATCAACATCTTGGCGGGAGGGCTGAGCTACCGAGATGCCGCCGAGCCGAGCAGTCTGCGTGGACACCGATACAGATGCGGAGTACGGAGTACGGAGTACGGGAGTATCAGTGCAGTAAGTATTACTGCCATTTGCATGTATGACGGTACGTCGGTCCTAATAGAAACAACTCGCGACAGCCGGGAGCTTGGCTTTGATGTCGTAATTTCGATTACCCCGACTTCCCCGGGGTTTACAGACAGAGCTTGTATTTCCAGATGCTTGCGATTACTACGCGTGGCAGAATCCCTGCACCTATTACCCATACCATACCGCGCCAATTCACGAGGTGAATGGGGTTGTAAACCATCTGGCAATGGGCCGCACTTCTGCAACGATGGTGAATCTGCGGGCTAATAGCACGTAGGCTGAGGACTATGGAGTATGTACGAGTAAGTAAAATAAAAAACATAGCAGCGCCGCGGTCGGATCATGGGTTCACTAAGAGCCAGGTTCCACCTTCCCACCTGTTCTTGTAAGGCTTTCCATGCATAGATGTCCGTCAAAGGTTGAGCGCCCGCGTGGCATACGAACGTGACCCCGTAGTCTTTGGACTGTAGGTATCATATCGTCACTGGGGTAGAATGCGAGAGCGAGGGAGACGGGAAACAGGAGAGGCGAATGGAAAGACCCGTCCGGTCTGGAGAAGCATGCAACATGTCAGGGCGGCTACATCCGCTGCTGTGCTGTCGATTGGTATGCATCGAGGCTTTCATTGTTGCCATTGGCCAGACTCCATCTATCCGTTTGTTTCTCTCCGGTCTTCGCTTCTCTAGCAGTGTAATGATGATTGGCAAGCGCTCAGCTGTAGTCCTCCATGCGCTTCTAACCATGACCGTCTGTGCCATCTCACTTGCGCTGAAAGAGCCTCCTCACCAGGCCCACGAGCTTTCCCAGGCTGCTAAACACCGTGCCGAACCCGGACGATGCAGATGAAGTGATGCACCATCATACAGTTCAGGAGGCAGAAGGAAAGGAAGATGCCCAGGTCTGTGATGCAATGTCAGCCAAACTCGTGAAGCTCCCTCGAGGAGAGAGCTGACGGATTCCTCTGCGGCGGTGACATCTGCCTTGAGCCTGGCAATCGTCCTCCGAGATCCGATCGCCTCGCTCTCGGCAGCCTCCTTCTTCAACCCGACCGCTCTTTGGTCGATCCGGTTGGTGGTCTCGGACCCCTCGCCCCTGTCTCGTCTTCTGATCTCGCTCAGAGGGTAGATGAGGTCGTCCACCTTCTTCCCGACCGGGACCGCCTTGGCCTTCTCCTCAAGGACCGCATCCCGTGCGTCGATCAACGGCTGATTGACGATCTCGAGCTCACCCGAGCTTCTTCCGGGGCGATGTCCCATGGGCGGACCTTGAGGGCGTTTGCTTCGAGTGCGGCAGTGACGGTGCCGAGGCTGTCTGTAGGACGAGACCGAACGGACGGCTGCAGCCTGTTGCCGGGTACATGGATCAGACCATTAGACCATTGTAAGGGAGGCATCGCGGTTTACAGATCTTCAGATCTGCCAGAACTATCGGCAACTGTTTCGGGGATGCTACGAGTAATATAACCCCCCGTACAAGGCTCACGCTGACATTAGGCGGACATCTCGGAAACGACGGGAACAGTATCCTTACGGTTACAGTGTGGAGTGGTAGCATCAGCACATGCATTGTTTCGAATCGATCGATTGCGCCTGGAGAGTATCATTACATCCAAGTGTCTATCGACTCTCCAACGTGTTTATATACTACGCGTAAGGTTCTGTAACGTCTTCGTCCTTCAGAGTTGCCATAAACAAGACTTTAAGCTGTCTGTTTTCGTTCAGAGGAAGCAATCATGGTTATATTTGTAAGATAGGACTACGTCAGTACCAGCAGGTCAGCCTTCACCTTGTTAGCTATTCCGTAGTTAGCATAGCATCATGAATATCATCACTTTTATCGTCTATTCCTACGCGTTCCACCCACCTCCACACTACGGAGTACAGTTATATATGTACTAAACATTGCCTCGGAGGAGAATGATATGGAACAATCAAGGTCCCGTCTCTTTTTCACCCTAAAAATTGATGAACCACATATTGAATTGACAATGGAAGCATAGAAATAAAGAACAAAAGAAAGGGTGCTGGCCTGCAAACAACAGCAACCACATGTATATATTTGTACCCGTCGGGCTTGATCCTTCAAGGGGTGTTTATCTGTGTATATATATATATATATATGTGTGTGTGTGTGTGTGTGTGTGTTTTTGCGTATAAGACTCTCGGAGATTTGACGAAAGCAAAAGAGGAGACTATTGTTCTATCTAAATAGGAAAACGAAAGAAAAAAAACCGTACCAAGAATATTTTTGAGGGGGGAAGAGTAAGAGTCCTATGGGACATCTGTATGTGTGAATGAACAAATGAAAAACATTGAAAAGAATGTTCAACAAGAGATTTTGACAGAAGACACACAAAGAAAATTGGGGGGGAAAATCAAAATAAAAAAGGCAGAGAGATGGACAGAACAAGTCAAGAAGAGAGGAGAGAAAGAGGAGGTGGTCGAGAAGAGGAGAGCGCAAGAAAGATCAATAGGGCGGTTTAGTAACGTTGCCCAAGCTCCCCTCACCAGAATGGCTATCGAGACCCCTCAGCAGATCCTGGAGGTCCATGGACCTCACATGTCCGGACTGCTCCGTGCCCATGAGAATGGACGGCGCATCCCCTCCGTGCCGCGAGCTGACGCTGCTGCGTCCGCGGCTGCTCACCCTGCGCTGAGGCACCTTGCCTGATGGTGCTGCGTGGGCAAAGTCGTGCGCGGCCGACGTGTCAGCGCCGGCAACACCCGAGGGGAGGACCGGCACGGGCGGCGGAGCACCTCCGTTCCCGAGCTCGTCATTGTCGTTATCCCAGGTGGGCGTGCGCCGGTGAGGCGGGTTGGACGATAAGGGTCCCTGGCGAGACATGGATGCGGATCTCTGAGGAGTGGGTCCGGGGGCGCCAGCCGTCGTCGTCGTCGTCGTCGTGGGCGAGACTGGGTCCGCATCCCCGTCCGTGGGTACGTACGGCTGCGGCTGCTGGTCCATCGTGTGCGGCCTGCGGGGCGGGTTGAAGCTGGCCTCGGATGGGCTGTAGTCGTAGCTCACGACGCTGTCGTCACTGTCGTCGGACGCGCCCGCATTCATAGCTAGCGATTGCGTCGACAGGCTACCCGACAGAATCATCTTGAGCTGGTCCACAGACGCGATGGCTGCTCCGGTCACCCCCGAGTCGGACGGGGTTATGCCGCTGCGGATGCTCGACTTGCCCTGGCCGCGCGACGATGGCGACGCGAACCGGTCGCGCTCACCGGGCACCCGGGCCGACGTGGGACGGAAGTTGCGCGGGCTGCCGTAGGGCACCATGAGGCCCTGGCCGTTGCCGTTGACGCCGGCGGCCGTGCTGATCGTCAGCCTGTTGCGGTTGGTGCCCGCGGTGATGCTCCGCGAGCCGTTGAGCGATTCGGCCTTGGCCGCCGAAGCCAGCGTCGCGGCCGTCTCGTCTCGCGACCACTCTGTGAGCATGTCCTCGCGGTAGCTGGTGGGGAGATCCTGCTGGTGGCTCTGCCCGTGGTCGCCGCCCATCGAAGCCCCGAGGGTGGGCCCCGATGCGGTCCGCGAGGGCGCCAGGGATGGGCTCCCGGGCGGCGAGAGGCTCATCTCCGAGTAGTGCGTGGCGATGCACTCGACCAGGGAGATCCTGTCATCAAACGGCAAGAGCTCCTCCCTCTCCAGCGTCTCCAGATCCCACGTCTGGCTCGACGCCGTCGTCTGTCCCGGCAGGCTCAGCGTCTGGACGGGGGGCGGCGGCACCTCGATACCTTCGACCCAGAACCCCTTGGAGCGCCTCCTCGACACCTCGTTCAGGATAGCCCGGCCGACGACCGAGGATTCAAAGTCGAACTTCTCCGAGAGGACCCAAAAGTAGCCATGGCACATGGCAGCAATACGGACCTTGTTAGCGGGCTCCTCGACCTCCTGGATATCTTCCTGGAGCTGGTACATCATGGGGATGCCGTAGCGCGCGGCATTGACGCCCAGGCGGAGGACCAGCCTTGCGAGGAGGGCGTGCAGGAGCGCAATGTCGGCCTCGTAGTCGACAAACTGGAGGGCGTTGTCGTACACGGAGATGTGTAGCAGAGGCAGGAACTGCGACGTGCGCGCATTCCTGACGATGCGGTCTCGGTTTGACGTAGCAGACACGACGCGGCGACCACCGGCGTGCTCGGCGCCGCCACCCGTAGCCCGACTTCGGCTTGAACCGTCGTCCTTTGCCTTCATGTCACCCGGTGTGGTCTCGCGATCCAGCCAGGTGGAGATGGCGTCGACATACGCCTTGCGGACCGCACCTTCGGGGTCCCGCAAGAGCCATTGCGTTCCCTCCCAGACCTCCAACGGAACGCGGTTGCGCGAGATCTTGAGGTTCCCACTGATCTTGGTCTCGGGGTTAGCAACCAGCAGGATGGCCTTGATGACCCTCAGGCCGCAGGCGCGTCCCCTGGTATGGGAGAAGTAGGCGTCGATGCTGGTGCGCTTCTCGCCACCCAAGTTCTGTGCGGATGTGCCGGGTGCCGGAGTGGAGTCGTCGTTGGCCTCGGCCTTTTCGCCTTGCCCGCCCAGCGGTGTCGACGTCATGCTGGACGAGTGGCTGGGAGTGATGCGAGCGATGATGGCTTCGATCATGTCCGTTATCTGATCAGCATAGTAGACGTGCGTGGCCAGGTCTCCCAGACACTGCTCCAGGCGCCGAAGAAACTCGAGGGAAGCCGGCGACAGCGGAGGGAGGCTGTCATCGCTACCGGGCCTCTTTTCGGACATGGCTGCTGCGCCGGTCGGTTGCGAGTTGGCCGCTGGGAAGAGCACCTTCTTCAACTGCCTCACGAGGCCGAGAAGGATGTCCATGACACTCAGGCCGATGAGGTTGACCTTGGACCTGAGGAGCGCTCCAACCATGGCGACCAGGACCATCTGCTTTCCCATGCCTTCGTCGCTGACGGGGCAGCGGATCAGCGTCTCCAAAGCCACGACAAGGATGACGAACCGGTCCTGCACGGGCGCCCATTTGGCGACAGTGTTGAGCAGGGTGATGGCCCAGCCACTGTCGTGGGTCCCAGGCTCTCCGAGGTCAAGGACGGACTTGCCCATGTGGACCTTTTCGAGGACAAACTTGAGCAGCGAGGCGGTGGCACCCTGGATCTGCGACCGGTTCGGCACCTCAAAGATGTTCTTGAGGCAGTGCGCGGCCAAGACGCCAATCTCCTCCTCGGCGTGCTTGTCAAGGTCGTTTGCGGTGCTGGAAAGGTCGGCGAGGCGCGACTCGTCACCCTCGTCGACGGTGCCGGCTGTGGCTGCGCTCTGGCGGCGGCGCGACTGCTGCTTCTCCAAGTCGGCCTTGTCGTCGGATTCCATATGGTGCAGGACGGACTCGATCCAGTGCTGGCGGCCGGCATCGTCGATATTCTCGTTCCAGATGTTCTCGACGATGGCGGGGATGATGACGTCGATCTGACGGCCAGTGACGGTAGCCAGGGCCTCGGAGGAGGCCACGCTCCTGATAGCCTTGAGGCCGACGCTCCTCCACCGAACGTGCATGGGCCGGCTGACGGGTGCGCCGGTGGTTGGCGGATTCGCAGACGTGGACGCCAACGCCGCATAGGACCGGACGATGGCCTCGTACTGGCGAGAATACTCGCGTTCACCAAAAAGGGGCGAGCTGTCGTGGTGGCGGCAGAAGGCCTCAAAGGTGAGTAAGGACGACTCGATCATGGTGATATCTTTGGAGTGGAGGATAAGGTCGAGGATCTTGAGGACGCAGGGTGCAATGAGGGTGGCATCCTTGTGTGATTTCTCCAGGAGTGCGGCCAGGATACCGAGGGTGACCTGGACATTGCTGCACAACGCTCGAGAGTCAGTACGTGGGCAGAGGAGGAAGGAGGAAGGAGAAAAGGCAAAGAGGGGAGGGGGTTGAGGTACCCGATACGCATACGCCAGACATCGCTGGCAGTCTTCTTCTCTAGAAAAGCGCCGACCTTGACTATCTTGGAGCGTCGGCTGGTGGCGTAAAAGAGCAGATAGCTCAATTCGCTACTGTTCGGCTTCACGTCGACGGCGGTCTTGGAAGCACGTGGGTAGCACTTGAGGACCAAGACCTGGTGCTTAGGACGGCACTTTTGCTGTATGGCGTTCATGATGGTCGCGGCGCGCTGCGGCAGTCAATCGGAGGACGTTGCGGTCTTCAGACCCCCCCCCCTTTGGCAGGTGATGGTGGGCTTCAGGCTCCGCGCGCCGATGGAAAAGGCTCTGCTGTCTGCGTGGGGGGATGATGGATTCAGGAGACGCCCTAGCCAAAGGGCAAAGCCATATGAGTTCTGTTTCGAATGCCACTAGCACATGAGAGGCGATATATACACTAGAGCTGGCGGCCGGAAGCAGCGAGGGTCGGAGAAGAGGGGCGGGGAGAGGAGAGGAAAGACGAGGCCGATGGTTGGGCTCGGTGTCGATAGCGGGCGCGGTATATGGAACTACTACGATGGATTTATTAGCACCGGGGGTAACGGAATGTCGTGTGGGATTGGGCGGATGTGTCATCAGCCACCTCCTGTTTAGGCAATTTCCACTTAACCTGTACCTGTCGGTGCTACCTGGATTTGCGGAACTGTACCTGTACTTGGATGCAATCAATCGTGGGACGAGAAGCTTTTTTACCTGCTAGCATTTTTTACTCGCTCCCTCCCGGCCATTGAATAAATCTGGGTGGTATTTCAGATGTTCGTGTCGTCTAACCAAGTATGTTGAGGGGTTCGGTAAGAGCGGATGAGCACATTAATCATTGGTCTAGACGTCGTCTACCTGTAGTCTGTACATAGGCACACACACTGCGTCGCCGATCAACTGCAGCATCGCCATCATCTTCGCCCCGCCCTTTCCCCGCCTGCTCTGCATGCTCATATTAGCACCAGATGCATGGTAGCTGTCGTTGTCGTCGCAAAGCTAATCCACAGTAGCAGGAAGGCAAGGTGCTGCAAAGAATTCTGGAATTGGAATTGGGCCTCAGTCTGGGTCCCACAAACATCATCGACAGCTTTGCCCCCCTCGCTTCATGGGGAATCTATCTGGTGGAAGGACGGTGCTGCTTCAGACAGAAGACCGGTTCCATATACTTGTATCCTGTCTCTACCAGCCGCTGCCGGGCAGGTCAAGCAATATTGCAGTAATACAAGTATAGAATCAGGTACATGTTAAATCTGTAATCTGTACGGAGCAACCTGTACAGGTACTCACGGTCCCATGCAGATGATGACGTAATGATACTATTGCCTACTATTACGAGTATCTACGGACAGCTATTAGTTTGTCTAACCCTATACGGAGTATACTGGTCCAGATATGAGATGACTGCTAGTAATCTGTAATCTGCAGTGTTGACAACAAAACAACAACGACGACGAGCCTTGACATGTACTGTGCGAGTGGTATCGTAACATGATATACAACTCTATGTAACCACGAAGTATCCTGGCCACAAAGATATGAAGTATACTCCCCTTGTCCAACTACTGTACCGCGCGTAAACCTGCCGAGTCACGCAAAATCTTTGGTTTCCGCCAACAGACCCCGCACAATTTGGTAGATCTCTCTCAGACTCTACGAGTTGCTTTCCTCCATTCCACCATCGCAACAGCCCGGGAAGGAAGTATACTCTACTCCGCCAGAGAGAACAGACCATGGCTTCGACCATTGCCCGCTTCACCCTGACCTTCTACGCCCCCCCAGCCTCCGTGGCAGCCTGCAAGACGGCCGTCTTCGCCGCCGGCGCCGGCCGCTACCCCGGCTCAGGCGGTTACACCGAGTGCTGCTGGTCCGCCCTCGGCACGGGTCAGTTCCGTCCCGGGGAGGGAGCCAACCCGTACATCGGGTCCCGAGGGGTTGCTGAGGAGACTCCCGAGGTGCGGGTCGAGACGTTGTGTCTTGGTCGCGACACGGCTCGGAAGGCTGTCGATGCTCTGAAGAAGTGCGTTACTTTTGTCTCTGTCTTGCTTCATCGCAACACTCCTCCTCCTACCCGTACTGACGCACAAGCACACAAAAGGGTACATCCCTATGAGGAGCCGGTGTATTTTGTCACCAAGATTGAGGATGAGTTTTGATGATTATTCTTCTTCCTTTGTCTCTCCTCACCTTGCTCTCTTCTCTCACGGCACCCATCTTTTCTTCGCATTATGCTGAGAAAAAGGTTAGAAAATATATGCATTCCCAGTCTCTCCTTTCCCCATCTTGAGCTCCGTATAGTTGATGGCAGCAGCAAGATCTCTAGAGAAACGTCCCATCACGAATATGAATACTAGTATCGGAACCATTTTCACACCACACTCCTCACTCTTTCTTCTTCTTTTCTTCATCACCCAGCCGTGTTGCAATTCAACCATTATAAAAAACATCAACGCCCGGTTATTGCCTATTTTCTCTCTCTACCTCTCTATGCCACAGCCGCAATCACCAACGCAGCGACATTCTCCTCCTCACTCCTCGCCGTGATCTTGGTCGTAACGCCAGACTTGGACGAGAAAGCCATCCTCACCGTAGCCACCACGCGGCCGCCCAGCACGCTCTTGCCCATGAGCTTGAGAGTGTGTGTGTTCTGGTTGATAGGGACGTCGGTTCCATCGACGGGCTGGAGGGAGAGCGCTTTGGCGAGTTGCTCGGTAGCATCTACATTGCCACAATCAGTATACGGGGTCAAGACCAAGGGTTGAAGGGGAATGCAGGAGGGGTGGGTGGGTATGAGAACGTACCCGCAATACTCTTCATGCCGCTGAGCTGCAGAGTCTCCTCGGCCTCCTCGCCGGCAGCGCCAACCTGCTCCCAGAGGTGGTTGAAGTTGCTGGCAAACGTGGGGATAATGTAGTCGCTGCCCGAGAGGTCGAACTCGGACACCTCGTACTCGTCGTCGTAGCCAGTGTCCTCGGGTTCGCCCGTCGATGGGTCAATCTCCTTGCTCGTGAACTTGAGCACGTTGGAGAAGGTGCTGACGGGCAGGGAGCCCTCGCCATTGACCTTTTGGAACGCGACGTACACCTTGCCGGGCTCGTCCGTAGGCAGACGGTCGGCCTGCATGATGAAGGCCTCCTCGAGCTCGTCCTCTTCCGAGGGCGTGGCCACGATTGAAACATTCTCCAGGACCGTGTCGGGCAGCGTGTTCTTGACCTCGAACTGCAGCACGATGTGGCTCTTGAAGATGTGTTTGACCAGTGTCACGACATACTCCGTCTCGGCCTCGGTCAGCTCGATGACGGGCGACGACTTGAGAACCGCGCCAAATTCGTGGATCTCGGGAATCTGCGACAGCTCCTGGGCAAAGCGCTGGGCCTGAGCCGACGCCGAGGCCGCCGCCTCCGCGCCCGTAGCGGCGGACTTGGTCGGGCCGACCTTCGGGGCCTTGAGCGTGGGGGCCGTAGCCGTGAGCTTCTTGGTGCGGTCTTCGGCGTCGGCCTGCTCGCGCGTAACGACAGGGATTTTGCTGATGTCGAAGGGCTTGTCGAACAGGGACTTGTCGTCGGCCGTCACGTACATGACGAGCTCCTGCTCAAAGGTGGGGAGAGAGAACATGGATTCTGTTATGGGTCAATAAAAAGAAATCTCTCGACAGACGGGAAGAAAGAGAGGGAGGGAGGGGGGGGGGGGGGGGAGAGAGAGAGAGAGAGAGAGAGAGAGAGGGGGGGGGGGGGGGGGGGGGGAGGAGAGGGGAGAGGAATGTGTGACGCTTATCTTACCATTCTTCACAAAGTTGCGAGCCATCTCGTCGTCCTCCTCTGCCATGAGCTTGAGGTTGAGAGCAGCACGGTCCCTGACCTCGTCGTCGACATCATCCAGGCAGCGGGTGAGGAGCACCTTGACGCTGCTCTTGACCTCTGCGTCCTTCTGGCCGACACCGAATTTGGCGAGGGCGGTGACAGCGGCGGCACGGACAATGGCGTTCTCGAGAACCACACGGTTGTAGATGTAGCGGATGTACTTTGTGGGCTGGGCCGTTTTGGGACCCTCGAGACCGATGAGGTGGAGGATGCGGACGGCCAGCTTGGTGAACTCGCAGTCCTCGATGAACTCGCACAGATGGGCGAGGGCGTCCTCCTTGGAGTCGGGCACGAACTTGATGAGGTCAAACATGCTCTCGACGACGGCACACTTGAAGTCGTAGCCGCCCTCGTCGCGCAGGATGCCACTGAGGAAGGTGAGCATGCCGGCCTGCTTGCTCGGGAACTTCAGGCACAGGGTGCGGATGGCCTCGACAATGGTGATCTTGAACTCGTCCGTGATCTCGGACATGAAGCCCGAAACCTGCTTCATCAAGCGGTCAACGCTGGCCTCGTTACCCGTCTTGAGCAGCGTTGTGATGGCGAATGTGGCAATCGACCGATTCGTGTTGGAGATGAGCAGCTCAATGTCCGGGTTGCAGACGAGGACAGCGTGGGGCTTGAACGAGGCAAAGTTGTGCAGGATGCGCAGGGCGGCAAACTTGGTGACGGCGCGGGGCGAGGTGAGAAACAGCTGCAGGACGTGGACGGCCTGGTTGACCTCCTCATCGGTCACGTCCCTCATGTCGCAGATGGCCTTGGCAGCTTCGAAGTTGACCATCTCACTCTTATGGCGCAACCAACCATCGAGCAGCTGCATCATGGGCTTCCTGAGCGAGGCGTCCTCCTCGGCCAGCTGGGCGGCGAGACGGACGAGCATGATCAGGGCGGCGGGGCTCTTGACGGCGCCGGCGGCTCCGAACTGCTGGACCATCTTGACCAGGGCCATGCGGTCGTGCATGCGCATCTGATAGAGGAGACCGATAGCATGGTACTGGGACATGTTGGAGTTGTTGACGGGCATCTGGCCGCTCGACGTCGAGAACCCGAGGGAGAATCCGCCCGACGACTTAGACGAGGCGGCGGCCTCCTGCGTCTCGCTCTGCCAGCGGCGGACGACATCCTTCGCTATGGGGAGCAGGTGGTACGAGGACACGAGGGCGGCGGAAGAGACCGAGGGGTTCTTGTCGACAATAGCCGTCTTCATGACGCGTTCGATCGATTGTACGGTGGTAGCCTAGCGCACATGCATCACCAGGTCAGCAGCCGGTCAAGTTGCGGTGTTCACCTCCTTTCTCTCTCTCCGGAGAGAGGAGGCGGCGGAGGGTAAAGGGGGCCAGTCGGGAAACGAACGTCGATGATGCGGCACAGCGCCCTGATGGCATTGGGACGGAAGATAGCATCTGTACTGCCACCGGTGTCCTTCATGATTGTGCTCGTGACCATGATGATGTCTTCAGCCGAGTTGGCCAGCTCCTTGATGACAAGGTGGACCATCTGGCGGAGGCTGGCATCCTTGTTCTGGAAGAGCTTGGAGATGCCAAAGAAGAGGGTGGTGGCTTCGTTGGTGGGAAACTTCTCGCCGGTGTAGAGGAGGAGAGCAATCTTGGTCAGAAGAATGCGGCATCGTCGCGGCTGGATCGGAGAGCTGTTGAAGAGTCGGGCTGTCGAGTCGGTCTGTTAGTTGGGTGTGTGTGTGTGTGGGGGGGTGATGGTGATTGAAGTTTGAAGGCGACGGGCGGCGGCGTATGTCGTGCCATTCACTAACCTTCCTGGAAGACCTGGGTGCGATCTACCTTGACCAGGCCCAGATCGCCATCTTCGTCCTTTTTGCCGTAGCTCATGATGGGCAGCTAGGTCCGAGGGCGCGTTGGGGAGTGGACGATGTAATGAGTTCGGAGACCTGGCCCAGGATATCACCACGTCGCCTTAGCGGGTTCAGGGATGGGAACAACTGGCTGGAAGTGGCTCGCTGTCCATCACGTGATTGAGAGGAGAAGCTTGGCCCCACCAACGACATAGGTACTCGGATACGCGAGTAAAGCTCAGGATTCCGATGATCGATGCTAAGAAAAAGAGCGTGCCTGGATCCGGTCAGTTTAAGTTTTTATCTGGTCAATTGAATCAGCGGAAGAGAGGAAGAGTATCGTGTGTTCGCGGTGGTCCAGAATGATAAGCTGAGGCTTGCTGCTTTGCTTCAATGCTAGAAATGATTGAAGCTACAGCGCCTGTGCTGCGCATCCACTGACGAGGCCGCCTAGAGGAACCGGGGACAATATCGTTAGGAGCCAATTCAATACTAATCAATACTACGTACTGATAATACTGGGCTACTATCATACTCCATACTCGCCCAAGAATTGACAGGGACAGGAAAGAGAATACGAAAAGCTCAGATGAGTCAACGTGTTATTGCAACGTCGTCGTAAGTGGCATGTCCTATGATGCCATGGCGTATCCAGGCCGTGAACCCTTTGTCTCGCCAGCCAGGAGTAAAAGCATTGGTTCGAGGTGATTCTCCTCTGCCGCCTTCTCTAGAGCCAGTCGACGTGTCCGTCCCCCACGATTGATGTCACTCGCCCTTCCTGTCCCCCAAGCCAGAAATTAGACCCGCCCCAGCCAGAAAAAAACCTACGAACCTTGCTAACATCTGTTACCCGTCTTCTCCTAGACGTTTTCTCCGCCACAACCCCGGCCCGAACATCAACACATCTACAGCACATACAGAGAAGAAAGAGCTCCCTCCCTCAACGGCACAATGAAGCTCCCCGCGCGTGTACCCCTACGCACCCTGCCGCGTCTGGTTCACAATGGCGGCGGCGGCGGCGCGTCCACCATGCGCCCTCTGCACTCGACGTGTGTCAGAGCGGCCAATGTCGCCTCCGTTGTCGGCACGGGGCCGCCCCCAGAGGCACCGGTCACGCCCTCGGCCGACTCGTACCAGCGTGTTGAGCGACGGCGGCGACAAGCCGAGATGCTCAAGACGGCACGGGAGATTCGCAACGTAAAGGACGGCAAGGCGAGCGGTGGGTTGAAGCCGAGGTTCTGGACAAACGTGGACGTGCGCCAGGTCGATGGTACGTTATCTTCTTCTGTTCTTAACAACTTTCCTGATGAAAAAAAAAAAAACACCCTTTTTTCTTTTCTACACGACACGTCACATATCGCAGGGGATACAATGTAACCTCACATACTGACGCATTCCGTCCAGACAGCCTACAGGTATTCCTGGACCAGCGACCGCTACGACACCCGTCGACCAAGGCCATCATCAAGCTGCCCCTGACCAAGACGCACCTGGCCACGGCCCTGGCCCTGGAATGGGACCACCTGACGTCAGCCCAGGAGGCGACGAAGCAGCACCTCATCCCGCTGACCAGCCTGGTCTGCCGCGCACTGGATATCGAGGCCGACGACGCCGATGCTAGTAAGCCCGAGTCGTCCAAGCTGCGCACCGACGTAGCCCACATGGTGCTCAGGCACCTCGAGACGGACTCGATCCTGTGCTGGGTGCCCCCCGCGGGGCCCTTTGACGTGCGCAACGACGCCGGCGAGTCCCTGCGCGACGTGCAGAAGCAGACGGCCGACGAGGTGGTGTCGTACCTGACGACTAACGTGTGGCCCGGCATCCGCATCGAGCCCATCCTCGACGGCCACTCGCTCATGCCGAGGGATCAGCCCGAGGGCGTGCGCGACGTCGTGCACGGCTGGATCACCGGCCTCGACGCCTGGGAGGTGGCCGGCCTCGAGAGGGCCGTCCTCGCCGGCAAGAGCCTCATCGCCGCCGTCAGGCTCATCGCCGAGTGGAGCGAGGGTTCCGCCAACGCCTGCTCCTTCCCCGTCGACGCCAAGCCCTTCAGCGCCGAGGATGCCGCCAAGGCCACCGGGCTCGAGGTTGACTGGCAGTCGGGCCACTGGGGTGAGGTCGAAGACACCCACGACGTCAACAGGGAGGATGTCCTGCGCCAGCTGGCCAGCGTCGTGCTCCTGGTTTCCGGGACCGCCAAGCGCTAACGGTCGATCTTCTCTCCCCTCACCTTTGGGAAGGGAAAATAAAGAAGAAGAAAAGGAGAGGAGGTGCTATGTACTATAGAAGCTATAATAGAGTGTATGTTCTATGGATGACCATGTTGTATTGTTTTTTCTTTGAGAAAAAAATAAAAGCTTACCTGTTCGGGTACGGACTGGATGCAACCTGTATTTGATGGTGATGGCATCTGATGCACGGTTCTTTATCTGAATATCAGCGTTTCTCTCTACCGATTGACTTTATCGAGCGTGCCAGGTCTTGCCAGCACAGGGCAGACATCTGGTATCAATTACTCCGTATATATGTACATGTATTATACAGTAGTGGAAGGGTCTATCTACATGTATGATGGGGAGACGCACGTTCAACCTCCCGCCGAAACGTCATTCCCTCGTTTTATACGTCCAAGAGAGGTGCGCAGGACTGAAGCTCGGCCTGCTAGTCGAGAAGCTGAGAGGAGTCTGCTGGTGTATGACTTGGCAAGCCCTGCGGCCCACCAGTCAAAGCTAAGGAGCGAATACATTGTCGGAGACTCCTCTTCCCCTTTGCCTAGTGATGCTACCTGAACTAGATCGTAGAAGTGGTGGGTAAAAATAGAAAATCAAAACAAGGAGATTCGTTTTTTTCCTCTCACGATACACGTTATTCTCGGGTCGGCAACTCGAAAGTTGGAGACTTCTCCCCTGCAAACCCACAAGTTCTTAAGCATCCTTCTCAAATCCTGTGACCTCTGACACCCTGGCCCTGCCCCGTTCGTGTATGAGCATCAGCAATGCCTCGGATGGATGAGACAAGTCGGGGGGGTGCTCCAAACAAGCGCCCAGCCGCGACAGGGGTACTCCTCTTTCCCACACACACACTCTCTCAGCCAAAAGACCCATACGGAGTAGACAAGATCCCATCCTAGCTCCTTGGACCCTGGCGACCAAAACTCTTGGCACAAGTGTTGCCTCCTGCTATTTTCAGTTCCGTAGAATATTTAAAAACCCCTCGCGGTGCCTGCATCATGTCCTGCCTAGAGGGAAAGCTCTACAGACACGCATAATCTACGTCCGAGATGAAAACAGTGGTATTGTCGATGGGTGCGGCACTCTTGGCGCTGCTGCCCGCCACTACGGAGGCGGCCAGCTTCCCCAGAGCCGTGAGCGGCAACGGCTATCTGAAGGTGCCCGTGGGGACGGTGGATCGGCCCAGGAAGACGAAGAGAGACGGAGGCACTGTCGAGACAGTACTGGAGAACAAGGAATTCTTCTACGCCATGGATCGTGAGTTCTTCCCTTTTCACAGTCCAGTCGAGGTTGGAAGGGGGGGAGGGAGGAGGCGAGAGCGACGGTGTGGTGCCTGCTTCATACCTAACACTTTTGTACGTATCGCAGTCGATATCGGTACCCCCGGACAGACAATCACAGTCCTGGTCGACACGGGATCCAGCGAGCTCTGGATCAACCCCAACTGCAGCACAGCACCATCCGAGTCGCAGGCCAGGGAGTGCAGGACATTCGGGCAGTACGACCCGGACAAGTCGACGACGCCGCCCGTGGGGCCGTTTGGAAGCGAGCAGCTCAACTATGGCGACTCGACGGACCCAAAGACGCAGACATCCGTGTCGATACAATACTACCGCGACACGCTGTCGATAGGGGACGCTTCCATCACGAATCAGACGTTTGGCGTGGCGGTCAGCTCCAACGGCCAGTCACAAGGGATATTCGGCCTGGCGCCGGACCTGAATTCGGGTTTCGACAGCGACCTGCCCTACAGCCTGGTATTGAGCACCATGGCGGCGCAGGGCGTCATCGCGAGCCGTGTTTTCACGCTGGACCTGCGCCACGCCGTAGATCAGGAGGGCGCCGTGACGTATGGCGGCATCGACCGCAGCAAGTTTATCGGATCGCTGCAGCGCACGCCCATCATCAAGGGTCTCGGCGGCGAGAGTCGTCTGGCCGTCAGGCTGAACACGCTGGGTATGACGCTCGGGGCCGACGACGCGGACGGCAGCACGCCTCTGAGCTACGAGCTTGAGGGCACCGACGGAAACGTCCTGCTCGACTCGGGCACCACTCTCACGCGACTGCGCTTCGCCGTGGCGCGCCCCATCCTCTCCATGCTCAGGGCCGTCGAGGACGGCCAGGGCTACTACTACGTGCCGTGCTCGACGCGCGAGGCCGCCGGCAGCGTCGACTTTGGCTTCAACGGCAAGACTGTGCGCGTGCCGCTGAGCGACTTCATCCTCGACCTCGGCCAGCCCGACGTGTGTGCCGTTGGCATCGCAGTAACCACGGGTCAGCAGATTCTCGGGGACACAGTTCTCCGCGCTGGCTTCTTCGTCTTCGACTGGGACAATGAGGAGGTACACGTGGCGCAGGCGGCCAACTGTGGGGATGCAGACATTGTGGCCGTGGGTTCCGGGACCGACGCTGTGCCGAGTGTGACGGGCAACTGCAAGGAGGACGACGGTCTTTTTGCCGGAGGTCCGGTGGTAAGTGCTATCCGCAAGATAATGATTGTAGCAAGGAATCAGCAAGAAAAACTGACTCTAGACTCCCTGCAGACCACGGCTACTACGGCAAGCAGTACCCAGGCGACTAGTTCCGTTACGACAACATTCACCGTCTCATCGTGTGATCCATCAAATGCAGCCTGTCAAACGGGTGTGTTGACGACACAGACTCTAGATGCAGCGGCGGCAACGGCGACAGTGACGGCAACATCTGATTCGGACAGTAATAACGAAAACGATGGTGAGAGCTTGGGTGTGGGCAGGACCGTTCCTAACCTCACGGCATTCGGCATCGGCATTTTGGCTATATGCATGTACAACGTTATGAACTGAAGAGGGTGACTGGATCCCCTCGATGACGCAACGAACTTGTTTTTTTTTCTTTTTCTTTATTGGGGGGGGGGGGCTGGAGGGAGTGTATGTGAGGGGGAAGAGGATGATTAAAAAAAGGAAATAGACGGGTTTACTGGTCAAGCTGGGCCCAGTATGAAAGTGGGGAAGACGCGTTGCTGTGTCTCCATATCTTTCTCCTCACTGAGAAGGCGAGGCGAGCACTGAGAGGGTCCAGTGGCACAATGACGATGACGGGGGTCAACGGGCGAGCTTCTTCAGGCACTACAGTAGGTGGGTACGAGCAGGCAAGAGCCCCCCTAGAGCACTGATTGCCAGTGAGTCAGTGGCTGAGCCCTTCCAGCCTCCCCCCCACCCCCGCTTTCTTGTCCACCCTGGAGTCCCGGAGCTAGTGTAATGCGTCCCACAATATTGGTCATCATGGTTGGGCCTAATCCAATCCGAGTCCCCGACGCCGGCACCAACTTGGGGTATTATCTGTATTGTCTGTACTTATGGCACCCAGACTCCTCATGGCATCTATCTGGGGTATCCGAGGCACAGAGACTGCAGGGTCGGCTATCAACGAGTAAGAGGCACTCTTTACCTAATCACACTGACTGCTCATGGAATATGATACCCCAATCTACTATTTCTTTCCACCTCGGCTCAATCGAAAGATGCACCGAGTGTAAATACAGTGTCCCACCGCTTCCTCTCTTCTCTGCTCATCCCTTTAAGAAGGCTGTACTTGCCCTCCTTCACCCTAGTACTAATACTGCTAAGCGATTGTCTCGTCTTGCTTCGTGCGCAAACCACCACTCCCCCCTTTTCTCTTCCTGCGTTATTTGCCTATTTATTGCTCTCGTCCCATCTCATCCCTTTGTTATTCTGTTCATCTTCAGAGATACCGGGAAACTGAATCACCCCTTCATCATGGTCTTCCACCCCCCTTCATGGGTTCCCCCGCTCCCCCACATCCCTGACGACATCACCCTCGACCAATTCCTCAACACTGAGAATTACGGTCGCCATGCCCTCTCGTCCTCCCGGAATCCCTTCACCTGCGGTCTGACAGGAAAGACGTACACCGCCCAGCAAGTCGTCCAACGCGTCGATTACCTTTCGCGCGCCCTGGGAAAGCGGCTGTCTATCGACTCCGAGGACGGCACCGAATGGGATAGGGTTGTCTGTCTGTTTTCTCTCAACACGGTGAGCAGACTATACACACGCGCGCACACCCGCACACGCGAGCAGAAGTCTTCGATTGGTTTACTGACAACCTTCCCAAGATCGACTACATCCCATTCACAAATGCCATCCATCGTCTCAATGGCATCGTCACCCCCGCCAGTGCCGCCTACTCCGCCCCCGAGCTAGAGCACCAGCTTAGGTCTTCTGGCGCAAGGGCCGTCTTCACCTGCTTACCGCTCCTTGACACGGCTCTCCAGGCCGCCAACGCAGTCGGCATCCCCGAGGCGTCCGTCTTTCTCCTCTCCCTCCCCGGATTTGACGATTCCAAGGTTCCCTTCTCTACTCTCGACGACCTCATTGCCCAGGGAAAGAGTCTCCCGCCTGTCAAGCCGCTGAGGTGGATAAAAGGTCAGGGAGCGCGTCAGACTGCCTTTCTCTCTTACTCGAGCGGTACATCTGGACTTCCCGTATGCATTCTATACCTCCCCTCGCACGCTCGCCCCCTTCTCTCTACAAATCTCACCCTCGCTTTCTCTGTAAGGCAAAATGGATACTGACTTACTCGCAGAAAGCAGTCATGGTGTCCCACCGCAACGTCATAGCCAACATCATACAGGTCGGCATTTATGACGGGGTGGGACGGAAACAGAAGGGCATCAAAACCCAGGTCCACCTGGGTCTCCTCCCGTTGAGCCATATCTATGGCCTGACCCTCGTGGGCCTGTTAGGCCAGTACCGGGGAGATGAGGCTGTCATCCTCCCCCGCTTCGAGTTGAGCTCGTTCCTCTCGTCGATACAGCGCTTCCGCATCGAGGCTCTGTTCATTGTACCCCCCATCCTCATCAGCATGCTCTCCAACAAGGACAAGTGCGACAAGACGGACATGAGCAGCGTGCGACACGTCATGAGCGGCGCAGCCCCGCTGGGGAGCGAGGTTGTCGCGGAGGTCTTGAAGCGGTATCCAAGCTGGACCGTTAGTCAGGGATATGGTAAGTACACATCATTTCTCATACATAAAAAAACAAAACAAAACACCCCCCCCAAAAAAAAAGTTTGTCCCCCGGCGGCCCTACCAGGGGCTGGTCTCACTTTGCTCGCAATGCAAATCTCAGATCGAATTGACGACCGCTGACAAACCTTAGGCATGACGGAAGCCTCCCCCGTGGTAGTCACGTCGAGCGAGCTGGACATCTCCATCGGTTCCTCTGGCTCCCTGATCCCAGGCTGCGTCGCTAAGATCATCGACACGGACGGCAACGAAGTGACGACCCACGAGACCCGCGGCGAGCTGCTGGTGCAGTCCCCTTCCGTCGTGCTGGGCTATCTCCACAACGAAAAAGCCAACGCTGAGACATTTGTGTGGCACGACGACGGCCGCTGGCTCCGCACGGGCGACGAGGTACTCGTGCGCAACTCCTCGCAGGGCAACGAGCACTTCTTCATCGTCGACCGCATAAAAGAGCTCATCAAGTGCAAAGGCCACCAGGTTGCCCCTGCCGAGCTCGAGGCTCACCTGCTGTCTCACCCGCACGTGCAGGACTGCACCGTCATCCCCGTCGCCGACGACCGCTCCGGCGAGGTGCCCAAGGCGTTCGTCGTTCGGGATCCCTCTGCATCGTCTGTTCCCGATGCTGATCTCATCAAGTCCATCACGAAGCATGTCGAGGACCACAAGGCGAACCACAAGTGGCTCCGTGGCGGGGTCGAGTTCATCGATGCCATCCCCAAGAGTCCCTCCGGTAAGATTCTGAGGAGGATGCTGCGCGAGAAAGAAAAGGCCAAGAGGAAGGAGCAGGGAGCTAAGCTGTAGACTACGTGTTCATCGTTTGACAAGCTTCCTTTTTACACCGCACGAAGACGAACACACAAATGTTGGATTATAGAACGAAGGGCACGATTGGTAAAGCATGTATGAATGCTGTCCACGACAAATATACCGTACAACTTCAATGAAAATGAGATGAATAACAAAGTTCTCTTTACTACTCCTAAAGAATCCTTCCACAAAAATCGCGCTATAAGGACGTGTTTTCCCACTTTGGATATTAATATTACAAGACCGGTGGTAGAGGGAGTAAGACATGGAAAGAGCCATGAATTTCCTTAACAATCTACCACAACCCGAGTCCATCGACTTTGTCACCAAATTATGTTTCGTAAGGATCGTAAGAAAGGTATGCAAGTTTCTTTGTCCTTGAAAGAACCTCTTTACCCACTAGGGGTTAAAAAGGGACTCAAGACAGAAACTGATGTGAAGGTGGGTGTCCAAAATAGCGAAATTATGTGTGGTAAACTTGGCTTTTCTTTTCTCTCCGAGTATTATCTAATAAAGAGCAAAACAAAGACAGTCGGGTCTCTTTTTGTAAGAACAAAAACTAACAAGGAAATGAGCGTGAGTATATAACTGTGTAAAGAAATAAATATTGAAGAAAAGGTTCGTTTGATAAAACAAAGCTTCATAGTCGCTTAGAGAGCAGCCATGGCGATCATGACGACGGCACCGAGACCCATACCGGCGCGGACCTGGGCAGCACCGGCCGTAGGGACGGGGAGGTTGCTGTTCGTGGCGGCGGGCAGACCGATGGTGCCGATGGAGGTGGCGGCAGGGCCGTTGGGGGTGAAGTAGGCTGCCGAGGTGACAGGGACGACGACGCCGTTGGGGGCGGTCGAGGAGCCGATAACAGGGATGGCAGTGCCCTGGGCCTGGGTGGGGTTGGGGATGGAGACCTGGGGGACGGTCACCTCGGTTGAGATGACGCGGGTGGTGGTGCTGCCAACAATGGTGGAACCCTCGGTGACGGCAGGCTCGGTCACCGTGGTCTCGAGGACGACGGTGGTGTAGGGCACGGACGAGATGACGGGGGTGCCGGTGACGGTCAGGACGCTGGTGACGGTCTCAATGCCAGTGACAATGGCAGGGTTCTCCTCAACGTAAGGGGCGCAGACACCCTGGAAGAACTGGACGGCCTCGGAGATGACGTCGTCGGACTCGCCGTGGGCGTACAGGCAAGTGTAGGTCTTCTCGACAAAGTCCGAGTTAGGGCAGTAGCAGGCGGCGTCAGAGTTGTCCTTGCAGTCCTTGACAACCTGGAGCCAGGTGTTCAGGCACTTGGGGACGACAGAGGGGCAGGGGAGCTCCTCATCGGGAGAGCTGGGCGAGCCAGAGCTGGGGGTACCAGAGCCGGAGCCGGGGGAGCCGGAGCCAGCGGTGGCGGTGGCAGAGGGAGTGATGACCTCGGTGACGGGGCAGACGGTGGTGCTGACGGGGATGGTCTCGGTCACAACGACGGGGGTACCGCTGCTGGCAGGGCAGTTGGTGACGTCGGGGGCGCACGAGGTGATGGTCTTGATGGAAGAGGTGAAGACGGTCGAGGTGGNGAGGTGATGGTCTTGATGGAAGAGGTGAAGACGGTCGAGGTGGTCAAGCGGACAGTAGTCTGAGGAGTGGTTGCAGGCTGAGTCTCGCCGGTGGTGGTGCCGGGAACACCAGGGGTGGGGACACCAGGGGTGGGAACACCGGGGGAGTTGTTGGGCAGAGAAACAGAGGGGCGGGAGCCGCCGGGAGTGGTGCCGGGGGCGCTGGTGCCGGGAGCGGTGGTGGCAGGGACGCCGGGGGTGGTGGCAGGGACCTCAGGAGAGGTAGCAGGGACCTCAGGAGAGGTGGCAGGAACATCGGGAGAGGTAGCAGGGACCTCAGGAGAGGTGGCAGGAACATCGGGAGAGGTAGCAGGGACCTCGGGAGATGTGGCAGGAACATCGGGAGATGTGGCAGGGACACCGGGGAAGGTGGTGGGGGTAGGGACGAAGACAGATGCGGTGGTGGAGGGGGTGTTGTCGTCACAGTCAAAGTCGATCTTGGGGATCTCGACGTTGCACTTGTCCTTGGGCTTATCGGGCTGAGAAGGGTAGACGACGTGGACCTTCTTGGCACCGCCGCACTGGGAGTTGGAGATGGTGTTGGTCGAGTCCTTGAAGCAGTCGGAGGATTGCTTGCAGGTGGAGCCGTCGGGCATGGAGTAGTGGAACTCGAGACGGCAGTCGAACTCGACGTTGACCTGGAACTCCTTCACGGTGAACTTGTCGACCTCGCTGTCAGAGCTGCAGCCGAAAGAGGGGGCAGTCGAGATGTCGCTGCCGCACTCTCCGCTGATGAACTTGCTGGAGGTACGGGAAAACTTTCCGGAGAGACCGGAGCTAGCGGAGCCGCAGGACCAGCCGCTGAAATCGAAGCCACCGTAGCTGGAGAAAGAACCGGTGGAGAGGTCCGACCAGTCGAAACCGCTCTTCCACTTGCTATCGCACTTGTTGTCGGAGTTGCTGGGGATGGAGAACGACTCAGCGTTGTAGAAGCTGGAGCCGAAGCTACCGTACTACACGAAACTGTTAGCAGATGTCATGAAAAAGCCCCGTTAACAAGATGGCAACTTACAGTAGCAGCAGCGGGGGCAACAGCGGTGGCCACCGCCAAGAGGGCGAAGGAGTTCTTCATGATGAAAAGACTGGCTCTCCGTCGGTTGAGAAGAAAATAAAAATTATTTCAAAGAATGAAAGGAAGAATATTCAAAGAAAAAGACAAGTTGGCTCAGAGGAAACGAATGACTCTGAGACCGGGAAGAATATTATCCTGGTGAGGATGTTATGGAACGAAGGAAGAATGAGAAACGACTGTTGTAGAGTGCTCTTCAAGAAAAAGGTCAAGATGTTGAAGCGGGCTATGCCATCTATATACCATCTTCCAACTGCGTGAGAGTCGACCAAGACCGGGGAGGGGGGGGGGGTGACAGGGCCAAGGCCCATTATCCCACTGTCTAGGCCTCAGGTGCCGGTTGATGCTGAGCTGCATACTCCGTGTGAACGTGCTCCGTACTACTCCATAGTCCCATGGCTCCTCCTCATGGCCTACAACTTGGTTCGCGTATCGTATTCCTTCTTGGCTTGTTCCCATGCGTAAACGTACCCTGGTCAGCATAGGGTCTGTCCACCGTTTGTCCCTCCCCACCCATGCTCGTATCGTACTACTCTGTAAAATAGTCTATATGTAATATTATAGTATATCAATACCAGCAGTATACTATATGTACTATCATAGTACCTGCTCAAAAGCTTTGGAGAGTGATGGGGGCCCATGCAACCCACGTCAGTTGGGCCAAACTCCTAGAGAGGGGCGAAGGAGTGACTTGTGAGTGACCATTTGGCTGTATTATCCAGTAATGCCGGAGATAGCAGAGAGAGAAGGGGGGGGGCAAGCCCCTGTTGATCGAAAACATGACAAAAGTAAAAACGTCGAAACGTGGCAGTGCTTCCACGGCTTCATGGCCATTGTGAGCCTACGTTTCAGTCGAACGGTTTGTAGTGGATCCATGCACCAGAGACCAGAGGTAATGCCCTGTCGATCCGGAAGGGTACCTGAGGGCGGCTGTAAGGGGCGCAGAGTGACAGGCAGTCTGCCGTCAGGCTCTTTGGGCTACCTCGATCGGTTTGTAGAGGGGCAGAAGTGCAATACTGGTGGGAAGAGTCCAATCGACAGCTGGCGGGGTAGCGCCGAGCCTTGACCCATGCGCTTTGGTCTCTCGGTCAGGGGTATCCTGAGAGAGCGGGGGCGCGGCAAGAGAGACTAGAGTGCGGTAGACTTGGCTCTTCGTAGACTATTACCTGCGTAATAATATGAGACTGCTGACAGCAAGCCTGGCGCCTCCGGTTCTCCGAGCAGGGATATCACACCTTTCCCATGCCTCATGCCCCGATGCCACGGATCAATCGTTGGCCCTGTAAATAGAATCGTACCAGACATATGATGGTGTTGGACATCGGGGAATATTACCTCACCCGGCTCCGCAGCAGTGACAGCGGCTGTAATTGTAGTTGCCGGGGTCTGCATATAATGTACGAGCATTGATGGCATGAGAGACGGCCGTGGTGGCAGTAGCAGTGAGTAGTAGTAATACGAACGAGGATACCGAGGGGAAAAGTTGGCATAGGCTCTGGCTGGTGGGAAAGTCGACGGGTTCGCTCGTACCGTACGTCGACGGTGGTGCATGCTCTCAGGTACGTGACGCTTGGTAATACCAACTGCAGGGGTTGCTAAATATGGCACTTCTTCTTCTTCTCCTTAGTACGGGGTATTAAATGTAGCATTCAGGTGAGGCCATGGCGTCCAATGATTGTATGGGTGGCTCCCGGGATGAGCAAGGTGCTGGATACCACTACCAATAACCGTATGAGCCCGTGGTCGCAGGCCCGCTAACACCGTCATGGAGAGGGTGTACAGGTACTAGTACACGGTCAGGTTGGTGGGCTGATATGTTGACGATGGGTGAGTATTATCTGTGCAAGCGATGCGAGTGGCTGCAGCGTATACGAGCACGGTGAGATTTCTTGTTCTGTTTTGTTCTGCTTCACGAGGCATGGAGGCTGAGAAGGTGGTCGCGGTGTAGAACGACGGCAGGTTGGCAGATGCTCCTCTAGTTAGGAATTCGGGAGAATGCAGTGGAACATGGGGTTGTACGTTCTGGGGGAGGCTCCTTCCATCAAAGAATGGAATGCGCAGTTGGGAGGAGCGATGATGTCTGTCGCCCAGGCAGGAACGACTCAGGACTCACGACTCACGCGGGTGCGCACCGTCGCCGTACGAAGTATGTCTGGCTACTGGGGGAGAGAATTGCCAAATGGGGCAAGTAGACCAGTGTAGAATCGAGGGTAACCGCTGGTAGCCCTGTAGCCTGCAGTGATACCATCGACGGGCAATCGTACAGGTCGGGCCCCGGGCGACCCCGGCCGTTGTCTTACAGTGCTCCACGACCCTGGTAGGGCCTGGGAGGGCACTAGGCGGTAACTGGAACTGCCCTAAAGAGTGGCGCCAGGTGCCTGACGCCAGCAGTCGGCCTGTGCGAACCACTATCGTCGATGGGCCATCCTTATGCAGGAACAACGACTCACCCGCCCCTGGACGCTGGACCCCCGCCCCTTCCTGGACCTCGACCCCTGCATCTCTCTTCTCGCTTTGGCGCCCGCCCCTTGTTCCTCTTTCTTCTCTCGTCAGGTCTCTCTCTACTGTCTCCGGCCACGAGAGAGGCCGTTCTCATACACACCCCGGTCACTTCCTTCCCCGTCAACGGCCCAGTAGAGAGAGTCTAGCCCTTTTCCTACTGCATCCACACCGCAATCGGAAACGCACCATGCCTCAACGTGGTCTACTCCCACTCCCTCTCGCTGGTTGGGTTTGTCCTTGGCGCCATCCCAAGCATCAGATCCGTCCCTACAGAGTACGGTATGAGCGAATATGCTCCAATGCTGGATGGCAGCAGCACAGCTTCAGCAAGCGAATGAATACCCGCGTATCCCAAAGGGGTGGGCTCTACGACGTATAGCCAATGGCCGCTAAAAGAGGACAGTTGAGACGACGGGTGTGAGAGAAAAGGTTTATAGAAGGCTCAGCAGGCCGAACATAGCCTCCCCCAGTTTAGGCCATGACTGGCGCCAGAGAAGGCGCAGCTGTTTGCTGATAAACATACGGAGTACGACGTATGTTTGTCTGTAGACTGCCGATGATGCTCTCCATTCGACAAGCCCGTAGGTCTGCCTCCCCCCCGCCCCCCTTTCAAGAGGTTAAACGGGTCGATATAACGACTCGTTCCTGATAATCACATCGCTTATGCTTATCAACTGATATCGGTACCACCTAGTTCTGTTGTCACCCCTACAGGCTACGGGTGATGCTCTCGGTGACACATGGCAGGTAAGACCAAGACCCAACCATGGCCCGGTGAATGAGGCGCTATATGCTGCGAGGATGCTGTACAGGTCAGGACGCCAATGGACGAGTACCTGTAGCCGTATGATACCGCGATCCACAAGAGATACCGTATGGGGACGGTCGTAAGAGCAATCTTAGACATCCAGGCGTGGCGCTCTTCGGCCACCCATGCGAGTGCGAAGCATATTGTTGACCTTTGACTGATGGAGATGACAATCTGGTCGGCTATCTAGATGTGATTTCCTTTTTGCTATTCCGGGCCTTTTCCGTGAGAGCGTCGAGGCAGGGGCCCTAGCGTATTGAGTCTTGGGGAGCTTGTTGGCTTCAAGGACGCCAATGACTTGTCGGTTTCCCAGCTTTTCTATATCGAGTGCAATTACGGAGTCTTTTTCCTTTTTTCTAGCTGTATCCGCTCAACACCATGTACAGATTGGCAACGCTCATCACACGGGCCACGAGGACGAGAACTACATGTACAGGTGCGGGCTCCCTAACCGAAGGTCCACCCGTCGCCGGTCGACCGTTGCTGCTACTGTACTCCGTTTTGGTGCTAATAATAATCAATACCTTGCACGAGTATACAGTGATACTCGTAGATTACGACGGTGGTATTTCTCTGTATTATCTGGTACCCGTACATGTCGTCGATAATTGCATCCCAGGCGCACACACACACACACACAACACATCATCTCTCTCTCTCTACTGGTACAGGTATCCCCCGATCCATATTCAGCATTCTCAGGTGAACAATCATGAATCATCGTTTGAACCTTTGCGCGAGTCTTTGTTTACTTCACCTAACCTCCTCACCCCTCAATGCTTCTTCCTTCCTTCTAGTGGCGGAGTTTGCACCTTGCCAAGCCAGGGGTCACCTATTAGCTTTGTTTCAGTATGCTCGTGCTCTGGCTGATACAGCCCTCTCTGTCTGTCCATTATCATCCCACTTCTGGTCGGCTCCTCGCCTCTGCCGTTCAAAATCATTATTAACCAGATTGTCGTTCCTGTTCGTGACACCGCTCGCCAAATGCCACATGGAAGAAAGGTCGTTCCGGCGCCGGATGTTTGGGCCTCAGGCATGCATCTAGCCAACACGGGGATTACCTACCAGATCACAGCGAGGCATCGGCTCCTTGGTTGAGGAGCCTCTGCCGGTGTTGGATGAGCTGCTGCTGCCCTCTGTTGTTACGTCCATCTATCTAGGCTGGCTGTGGCCTCGGATACAAAGGTGACCCCGTGGCCAGCTGTGGTGAACAACGGAGCTGCACGTAGGTGTAAACCAACAGTTCCCCCCAAGAAGGAAATAATCTCATCTTCCTTCACCTCATACAATAGCTCTACGAGTATATGATGCGGTGAGAGGGAAGGTGATCGGAAGGGAAAAAATCAATATGCAATTTAAAATGAAAAGCAATAGTCTTGGCCCCAACTCCGTTTACCACTACACCAACACGTCGGCTCCTCGGTCACGAGCCCTTTGTTTTTTTTTCTCTCTCACCTGAAGACGACAGGGGTAGTTGACAGTCATGGCACCACTACGGAGTAATACTTACTACATTGCCTACTAACACAGCTTTTTTACTGTTTCCTCGTCTTTCTCTCTCTTTCTCTCGACTTATCTCCCACTACAAGCAATACGGAGTCAATAATACGGAGTGATTTCATTCCCTCTTCAGGACGTACATGTGTGCAGTACACAAGGTTAACCGCACCAAATCTACCTCACCCTATTGTTTCAGGCCATGAACCGTTGCACTATTCCAGGGGGGGGAGAAGAAGAAAAAGCAGAATCATGTATCGATACCAGCCTCGTGTTGATCATATCACGGCTGATCAGAGAAGAGCTGAAAACCACCCTCTAACTCGTAGACTCGTAACCTATCCGATGGGTTTCCACGTAATATTCCTTGTTCTTTTTTTAGGCGAGAGAAGGGTTGTTGATGTTGGCTTATTTCCATTTTCAGGTACGGCCCATCGGGGTTATGCCGCACGATACCGAATATTATCAGGATCCAGTCTCTACTCGTGTACTCGTGTGAGTAGATGGGACGAGCCGGGTTCGCTTCTCTCCTTCTCTCTTCTCTTCTTCCAGCAATGCGGTGTGGTATAGTGTACGGGTACGGGTGAAGAAGAAGAATCACCTTCCCAAGTCACATGAACCACCACCCCTATGCTACTCATCACGCATCTCACATCTATCAACAGTAGATAGACCCATGGGAGTGAACGTCTCAGATGGTCATCTTCGAGGCAGTATGTCTACGATAGCCAACCAGGTGCAAATTGATATCTGTAGAGAAGATGATTGTTCCACTGATTGTAAAAGTGAATACAGGGTATTATTTATAAGTAGTGATAAAGATAATAGAGAGAGAGAGGAGGGGGGTCAACGCCCTTGCATACTCCGCATCCGTGCCTCGGCAGCTCTAGCTCTCCTCTCCCTTTCTAGCTTCATACGCATCTCAGGCGTCAACCCACGGGCCTCCTCCTCCCTCTTCTCCTGAGGCGTCTTCGCCAGCCCGGCAGCCAGGGCGTTATGTTTCTTTTTGCCTGTTGACGCAGCACCAGAAGGCTGTTCCTTTTCCTGCTCCCGCAACTTCTGCTCCTCAGCCTTCCGTCTATCGACCTCCTTCCGGGTAGCCTCGGCCTTGTCACGCTCTTCCCTGACATCGGCATCGGCCTTGCTCATGGCCGGCGGGATATTGGCCTCGTCCCAGTTCCATTTCGACTCGCCGAGCTCATGACGGGCTACGCGGAAGGCGTCGCGCGTCGCTCGGTCACCGGCTAGGTCAAAGGCTGTTCTGGACTCGCGGTTGCGTACGAGCGGAGACGCCCCGGCGCGGACGAGAAGGCCGAGGACCAGGGGGGCAGAGTTATGCGATGCCGCCAGGTGTAGAGGCGTCGGAGCATGGTGATTTCCTTCGGGAGGGTGGAACGTAAAGTCGGGGCTTACGCCGTTGCTCTTGAGATACGAGAGCAGGGCCGGGACCTTGGAGCGCCGCACAAAGGCCTGTAGCTGTGACGTGTGTAGCAGGGCCGTCTCCTCCTCTTCGCTGAGCTTGGGCTTGGTCGCAGGCTTCTGCGACGCAGGCTTGGATGTCTCCTTTGTAGTGGACGGCGGGGGCGCCGCCTTGGCCTGGTCAATCTCTCGCACCTTGAGGCGTGTGAGCTCGATAAAGGAGCGCATCAGCTCGTTTTGCGTTGCACGCCTCGTGCTGAACGGGAAGCTTCGCAGTCTGGAGTCATTGTGCCGGAGAACCTGTCCGTCGTAGGGACCGAAGAGGGTCCGGCGGTTGGTGGACCCCGTAGCGCGTACAAAGAGCAGCTCCGACGTGTCGATCAGCCCCTTCCACTCAGTCAGCAGGGACCGCACGTCCTGCACCAGGGCCTGCTCGTTGTATCGACGCAGGTCGGATCCTGCCGAGTGCGCATTGCCCTTGGCGTTGTCGTTGGCTGACTGCGAGCCTCCCTGTTTACGGCGCGTCGTATATCGGTGGAACGTCTTGTGCGCCAGCACCGTGGCCTCGCGGTTCATGGTGGTGGCGCCGCTCTTGGTCGGCCGCGGGGCCAGCGACACCACCATGGCGGCGAAGTGGCCGCCGCCGATCATGCACAGGAACATGTGAGGGCCCTTGTAGGCGACGTCGGGGATGGAACCGTCCTTGGCCGGTCGGGGCATCACGATGGGCTCGATCTGCTTCTTCCGTAGTACCTCGACCAGATCCGTGAGCCGCTGCTCCTCTCCCGTCAGGATGGACCTGTATAGGCCAAAGTAGGTCTTGTCCGGTAGTAGCGGCGAGCCGAACCAGATAAGCGGCGCCTTGGACTTGTTTCTGCGCGCCGATCGCTCTGGGTTGCCGTTGGTGTCGTCTCCACCATCGTCGTCGTCGGCGGCGGCCGTCTTGTCGGCCAGGCGGGCCTGCCTCTTGAGCAGCAAGGTCAGGGTAGATTCTGGCTTGCCACCGTCGTCGGAGCCATCGTCATCTTCGGACGTGTCAGAACCGGACAGGGACTCGTCCAGGTCGCCAATGAGCTTCTCGAAATCCGTCTCCGTCACGGGCTTGAGCCCCCGCAGCTTCTGCTTGAGGTTGTAGCGGTGCAGGTCAGATCTCTGGTGGCTGCGCTGGTCCTCGAGCGAGCTGAATGTCAGACTGCAGAGGGAGCAGCTCTGTGCGCCGACGAGACCGTCATCCCGGTCGACAGGGTGGGGTTCGAGTTGGTCATCTGGTATGTCGGGGGTGTCTCGATCGCCGGACTTTAGGGAGATGTTGTCGAGTACCTTTGGGGGGAGATCGTAGACTGCATTGCAGTGTTAGGTTGAGTCATGTGGAGGAGCAGGGGCAAAAAAATAAAAAGAAGCAGTAGCAACGTACCGTATAGTGGCTTCCGCAGAAAGTCATCCAGAGGTTTTGCCATGGTGCTGCACACCTTTTCCGCCAAGGTCGGAGTGAATGACGGACAAGAGGACCCCGGTGGTATGACCTCTTCGAGATGGTCGGAATACGTTCGCGGTCGTTTCTCTTCCTGTACGATGAAAGATGGTGGTGATTCCATGATGCTGAGTCAAACGGCAACTGGAGGGGCAGCGAGCCCCACCACCGGGATAAGACGTACACGGGTACTGAATGACGAGGGTGATGCCTACTATTCTATCCACGGTATTGATTCTGTGCCAGAGAGCAGTACGGCGATATTATTTCTCATGACATGCTCTATTCCTTTACGTATCCCAGACATCATGGGACCATCATGTTTCTCCCGTCGAAGGCAAGAAGACAGTGGCAAACCCGACGCCTGGGACCAGCGTAAGTGTTGCCTAGGGTAATCGAACTGGACACGCAAGCAACGTCATGGCCCACAATGCAACTCACAGCTCAACCATAATCTGTATTGCTGCTGATAAGATTACAAGAAAAGCAAAAGAAGCCTACATTGGTTTGGTAGCGAAGCGGTTAAAAGATGCCCTTCGAGCCTTGGCAGTCCGTAGCACTTCAGCTCCAAGAGGAAAGAAAGCCCAGCTAATGGAGCCACGTAACGACTGAGCAAGAGTAGTGGTAAGCAATGCAAGTGCATTGATGTGTATTATTATCGTCTGTAGCTGCTACCTCCACTGCCGCCATTTAGTGTCACCACTGTCAGGTAGCGCTACTACGATCCCAGCCCAGCTGAAGTCTACAGCGATCAAGCCTCGAGCCGCGCCCCTCCACGATCTGACGATCCGCGACCTGACAGCCAATTGGATGACGAACGGCCCGCCTTCTTGTACTATGCCCGTGCGTCGTACGTAGCAGTTCCCAGGTGATCGGGGTGGGGGGGGGAGGATTACTAGCAAAACTGGCTGCGTTGCCCAAGAATCTGGCCCCGACAGCTGAGTTAAAGCGGTAAGTTGTAGATTAGCTTCACGAGGGAAGAGAAGAGGAGGGGGAAGCTGTATTATTAGTCTGTAGGTACAGGTAGTCAGTCTCTTCGATCCAATAAATATCTGCTTCGACCCCTCCAGCAACCGTTATTACTCTTCTCCTTCTTTCCATCATCCTCTCTCTGGCCTACCCCCCGCCCCACAACCCATCTTCCCACATCCACACAACACATCAGAACCACCGACGGTCAAAATGGACTTCATCAACAAGGCCGCCGAGAGCTTCAGCGGAAACAACGACAGCAATGACAGCAAGGACAGCAACAAGTCTAGCGGCGGTGGCGGCTTCATGGACAAGCTCAACAACGCCGCCGGCGGTGGTGCCCAGGGCGAGAAGAACGAGGATGGCCTCGACAAGGGTATGTTCTCCCTCACCTCCCCCTCCTCCTCGTTCTGCCCATCCATTCGAGTCACTCGTGATCAAGAAAGGAATGACCGGAGAGAAGACGGATCTCAATTCTAACCCCCCCCTCACAGCCATCGACATGTTTCAGGAGAAGGTCATGAAGTCGGGCGCTCAGGACAACGAGTCTGCCGCCGAGCAGGCCAAGGACGAGATGATTGCCGACGCCATCCGCAACAAGTACAAGGAGGCTACCGGAAACGAGTTCCCCATCGAGGACAAGAAGAAGTCGTACGGCCTCTAAGTATATCAGCATGACATGTCATCACCATCAACAATATACCATCTATACCGCCCCCCCCCCCGGTCCTTGCAACCTAGTCGAGGGCGAGGCACAGACGATAATGAATTAAATAAAAGAAAGACATTTGTATTTTAACCTGTCAAATTGGCTTCCCCTCATCGTAGTATTGTGTAATATAACAATCGTACCATGACCTGTCACGCTGGCTTCCTGTCATCGCAGTACTGTATCGTGTGATATTGCATCATGTTTTTTTCCCCTCAAACTATCAAGGCCGAGACGTGTGCGTAATACATTTCTTTGAGCCTGTTTCCGTAAACATCATTCTGTTCCTCTTTGGCTCCCCATCTGCAGTTTCGTTGTGCTTCTTTTGTTCATTCACAGTTTCTGTTGTCGTTTTGTTAATTTGCAATCTCGTTGGTCATTGTGCTAAGATCTACAAGTGTCTCGTATACTTGCATGTGTGAAAATGACTGTCATAAACTCTAAGTCCCTCCCTTCCGTCATGACTCTCGACCCCTTTCTTTCTCATGACGCACGACATCAAGTTCGCCCCCCCCCCCCTGTCTTATTCAACTCGAAAATAGCCCCGACCCTTTTTTTCTTTCTTTCAGGTCCACATCGCATACCGCCACGCACTCACGCACTGAACTAGATGCCCGAGCCCATGTTATGGTGAGAGTAGTAATATGGCGGTGGCGAAAGGGGATATCCCGGGAGAGGACCCCGGTGCATCCCACCATGATTGACGGCCACGTTGACCATTTCGCCGCCGGGGAGGACGGGTCCGCCCGTCCTCGCAGCCCGGTAGTCCCCGTAAACGCCCCATCCCGGGTTCGGGGTAGGGTTCGGCTGGTACGCCGCGTGATGGCCGTACCATGGGGGGTGGTGGCCGTACTGCTGGGGGGCATGGTACGGGCTTGCCGGTCCGGGACTGAATGCCGGCATGGCAAAGGCGGCGCCCGGTGGGATCGCGGCTGCGGGATGGATCGGCGGAGGGGGCCCGCTAGTCGCCTGTATGGTAGGACGGTATACCGATGGCTGTTCCAGCGGGGGCATGGACCGTCGGTTGCCGTCTGCCACCACGCCTCCCGGCCGCCCATACGCTGCCGCCAGTTCTGTCCTGCCGTGACCTGTAGTGGCGCCACGACCGTTGCCGCCGTTACTGTTCAAGCTTCCTCCTCCTCCTCCTCCTCGGCCGCCGCGACGCCTCGTGGACATCTTGTTGGACGTCTTGGGTTTTCTGTCGACGGTGAATTCGATTCGGAAGACGGGGTCGGTGGCCATGACGCTGTCGGTGAGCCCGCACCTCTCGAGGTCGGCGGCGCTGGCGGTGCACAGCTGGAAGACGTTCTCGAGCTTGTCAAGGCCCTTGACCTCGGGCACCCAGGTCCGCACGTACGTTCCGTCTTTGTCGTAGTCGAACGCCTGCTTGATCGGGTTGAAGATACGCGCGTCACCCCGCGGGTCGTTACCCACGCCCGCGACGTACTGCCAGTTGGACCAGTTGGACGAGACGTCGTAGTCGACGAGCATCATCTCGTACCACTCCGCGCCGTACCGCCAGTCGATCCCCAGGTGCTTGGCGAGGAAGCTTGCCACGTTCTGCCTCGCCCGATTGGAGGTGTATCCCGTGTGGAGGAGTTCGCGCTGCGAGGCGTCGATGAGCCCGATTCCCGTGGTCCCCGCGAGGATCCTGGCAACGATCTTTCCGACTTCGTCCGGGTTCGGCACCTGGCCGATCTGCGCGGTCGAGGCGTCAGCCGTCTTCCACTCCTTGTCCAGCGATGCTGCCCCCTTGTGACGGAAGCCGGACCGCCGGAACAGCCGGCGTCCGAATTTCGCGGTGCAGAGCCTCATGTAGTCGCGCCAGAGGAGTTCGAGGCGCACCGCCTCCGACCCTTCGTTCTCCCCCTGCCCGTATCCGTCGGCCGATTCATAGCGCGCGTCGGTGCCGTCTTCGTACCCGACGAGGTGGTGGTGGATCTGGCGCGCCGAGATGCAGCCGAAGGCCAGGAAAGCCGACAACTTGGTGCTGAAGGTCGGTCCTAGGAGTCCGTTACGCGTGTCCTTGTATGTCTTTATGGCCCCCGAGTTGATCAGGTACTCAAGGCGGTTCAGCGCTCTGGTCTCTCCGCCTTGTAGGATCCGGTCCGGGGCAGCGTCACCGCCATCTTCTTCTGGTTCTGTTTCCGGGATCGGTGGTGTGTTAGGAGGAGGGTTGCGGAGCGGCGTGAGCAGGCGCGCCCTGAGATCCTCGAGACTTCGGGGTTCGACAAAGGGCGATTCGGAGTCGGCTGACAACGAATCTGGAAAGGGCGGTAGAGAGGACTTTTCGGGTCGGGGGAGCGCCGAGCGCGGTCGTTTGCGCAGCGGCTCTTGAGATTTTCGGTAGCTCGTATACACGTCTGGAAGTTCCGATGGGGTCTGGAGGCCAGTGTCGCGACTGGGGGAGAGGGAAGTCAGTGGGAAAAAGGGGGATAAAAGGGGGGGGGAAGAGAAAGGGGAAGCATGGAGTTTTTATTTATTTCTCTCTCTGTCCCTCCATGGGTGTGTTTTGTGTTATTGGGTAGGAGAGCCGGCGGCATTAATGATGGCGATGGGGGTAAAGGCAACGGGCGCGAAGCATGAGGGTGGGAACCGGAGTGTGAACTGGAGCGAAACCGGACAGTCTAGGAAGATTGTCGTCGTACAGGGCAGCGGTGGGCAGACGGCTATGATCAACGGGAGGAAGGGCCAGCGTAAGGGACAGGAGCAGGAGCATGATGGTGTAGGTACTAGGGGCTACAGAGGAATAACGATGGTAGCAAATGCAACAGAGGGTAAAACTCACTCATCGACAAAGTACTTCTCATCAGGCCAGAGCTTAAAGGTAATACCCGCAGCCTGACATGCGGATGCGACAGCGTCTTGGTCCAGCTTCTCCTCGTGGGATAACTCCTCGGTCATCCAGACTTCGGCAGTCGCTCCACCGAGGGCACCCAGGATGCTCTTGACGACGGTGCCGAAGTCACCGGTCCGGATGGCAAGGCCGCTCCCCAGTTCCTCGAGGTTGTCCTTGAGATCCCAAACCGACTGGGCAAGGAACCGAGCTCTATGCGGGCCACAACGCCAGAACTTGGCAATAGCGCTTACAGCAGGAGGGTAGGGTGATTGCTTGCCAGGCCGGACTAGGCCCGAGACTTCGATCTGGTTGGGCAGAAAGACGTAGACGGGTAGGAGGTGGGTGAAACCGCGATGATGACGCTCGTCATCCGCGGCGGCTGGGGAGGAGGGAGAGGACGAGGAGGGGGAGGAAGTTTCTAGGTGATGCAGGATGGGATTGTCTGATGTGCGCAGATCGCGACGAAGCAGGTAGATCAGGACTTTGTCTCCGTCCATGGTTGACGATGGCCGGGTGCAAGCTGCCGGTGTAACTGCTGCTGTTGAAGTATGCTACAGAAGGGCCATGCCAACGCACCGCAAAAAGGAGAAACACGGCACAAGACAAATGAGAAGGCGTAACACAGCGGAAAAAGATACGCCGTATATGTTATATAACGGAATACGAGGCCAATGAGGAAGAGGATAGAGGGAAGGAAGAGAGAGAGAGAGCGCGAGAAGGAGGGGCAAGATGGGTATGAGGAGCGATTCCGCAGCCGACAACAAGGGCTAACTGGTTCTCAAGTCTTGGGTCTAACCGTGGGGGATGTGGGAAGAGGAGTCAGTTTAGAAGAGGACGATGATACAATGTAAAAGAGGGTAGCAGGTTGAATTTTCGAATCGACCCCAAGTGGGTTGTAGGAAGGGGAAAGAAGCAGCCATGTCCCTTTGACCCTCATTCAGCCCCAACTTCTATTCCTGAGTCTTGGCCGCCCCCCCCCCCTTCCAACTCGCATGGCTATATCCTGGGCAGGAGCCGGTGTACTAAGCGCCGCTCCGGTTTTCTTTTTTTTTAAAAAAACAAAAGAAAAAGAAAAAAGGACCCTCCTGAGCATGTGTGTGGCACCCGAGGAAGGGAAAATGAGTGAAACTTGTGCGAACACCGCAGGGTTGGTACGTAGGTTATGGTGGAAAGAGATATACCCACGCAGATGAAGGTATATTTGGGTGACGATGCTGAAAGCCCATGCAGGTCTTGAAGATCGAAGGTTCTAAAAAGGGTATAGTACCATTTCTCTCTTGTCTTCCTTCCTACGGGACCCACTCTACCAGCACTATACCAAAAAAAAAAAAAAAAAAAAAAAAACTCCATCGGACTACGGCGGCTCTGGGTGGACAAATAGCGCCGCCGCCCTACACCATTCTTCCCTCGGTACCAGCGATGTAACTTGTTACCCCCTTGATCGGCTACCTAGACTGTCCCGTCCCTGTTTCTCTCTTTCCGCCTTATTGCCCCTTTTTTTTTCTTCTTTCCTTTCTTCTTATGCTTTGCAATTGCTGTGTAATAATTGCATTATACTGGGCCCGGCAAAGAAAAAAAAAAGGGGGGGGTGGGGGTGTAACTTAGTTAGCCCTCCAAGAGGCTTCACAGTGAGTCGACCACATGGATAGAGGGAGCAATGCTATCACTATATCTCCTCCACGTTACTTACCACATGTACAGTCTGCCGTACGGTCGTATGGAGCTCCCTAATATGTGGCGGCGGGGCGATGTAGCGCAGTTGTAGTTTTACTCGAGGGAAAATGGCACAACTACTCCGTACGGCTGTAATCTGTACTTGGCTCGTCAATGGAGTGGGGGTTCTCTATGGTATCTGCTGGGGGAGCTCTCTCCGTCCATACAATGCCTGTTGATCAGTTACCTTATTTCTTTCTGCCTTGTTTACCAGCCTGTATTATTCTCCTCTCTTCACTCATAAGGTATCGATCTGCATTCGGCCCGGAATGGGGTTGTTCAACCCTCCCGATGAGCAATTCCCTCTCATTTGTTTTTTTGCCACTGAGGTGTATTTTGCTGTGATAAGATGACGGGTTGTGCGTTAGTGCTTCCCCCCCCCCCCCCCTTGGATCGACAGTCTACACCGTAATATCCCGTATGTTAGCCTTGATGGATCAAGTCTTTTGGCCTGGGGAGACCGACGGTTGGGGGAAAAGGGGAGGGGAGCTGGGTTCTGTGAGTACACGTGCATTCTCTGTGAGTATACAGTCTATACAGTCTGATGAATCCCCCTTATTGACGTCTGATAATAACACTCGTGGCTGCATATCGATACCTGTATCGATATGCCGTTCTGAACTATTCCGAGTAATTCTGTTTCCGTAACCCATGGGGTATCTATTACTGCCGTAGAAGCTTAAAATGCCGGCAAAATGAAACTAGATCGGCTTCCCTGGCTGAATCCAGCATCGAAAATCTCGTAATTGCCTAGTTTGGTAATTTCAGATAAACTGTCCTATAGCGCATCGAGATCGAGCCTGAGTGGCCCTTGGAGGAGATATCCGCGCCATGGACGACGATATTGATTAGTATTCCTTCTCAATAGGCAGTCATAGACTCATAGTACTATGCTGGGGGTGGAGTCTAGGGGTCGCCAAGCACGGGCAGAATGATACCACTAAGTGATTACGTGCAGTATATAGATATGCCATGAACCATGACATAATGGTAGATGGAGAAAAAGTCGCGACTCCTACTAAAGTAGTATGCTTTGTTCCATCTGCCTTCTTTTCCTGTTCCTTCATGCTACCCTCCTGCTGTTGTTTTGCAAGCACATATTACTATAACGCCTTTCCACGTTTCTACCCTGTTCCCCCTGAGCACATGGCGCACGTGAAGGGTATCCACCCTGCGATCACATGACGCTCGAGGACCACTCATGTGATGGTTACCACGTCCGATCGTCGCGCCGTGGTCTGTTTAACAATAGGTTGTTCAGGATGAAAAAAATGGATATGAGAAGGCCAAAATGCTCCTGTATTTTTTTTTTAAAAAAAAAGAAAAGAAAAGGATAACAAGGTAACAGCGACGAGTCGATGTTCTGTACTGCATCAAGTTGGGGGCCTCTTCTCACGTGTTCGGTGTGGTTCCGAAGGAATGACGTTTCTGTCAGACGGAGCGGCGGAATAACGTCGGTAAAATGCTCGTCTGAATTGTCGGGTCGGAACAGGGATTATCCAGTGGAATGGATTGGATGATTACATAAGCAGATCACACTTTGTAATTGTAGAGATTGGGGTTATCTTTGTGTGTTATTTTGACGATGTTGATGATGATTACCACACAGGGGTAAATTGTGACTGTAAACGTGGCCTTTCATGCTCGGGGCTGCTGATCGGGCCGGAACAGCCTGTTCCGGATGATGACTCAGCTGCTTATTCCAGCACTTTCGGGAGCCACGTGACGTCGCCTCCTCAGTGGTGATGGAGTAACCTCTTGGTTTCCTCTCCGTTAGTATGCATTGTGGTGTAGGTACCATCATTTCCTTTCGCTATAGTTGTTATATGACTCTCCTGACATGCCTATGCAAAAACCCGCGCCGACAACTGGGGGTGGGTGCGCTGTGCAGAAGCCATCCACGGAGTCAGGCGCACAGATGTCGATGGCATAACTCAACCGAGGGCGTAATGAGCGTAAATGGCGTAACTGCTTCGTCCAATTGTTCCAATCTTCCAACCATTGCCACCAGTAGCAATACTACTAGTACCTGTTAAGTCTTCACTTAAACCTCACATTTACCATACTATCCGGCATGGTCGATGAATGAAGACGAGACGGCGCAATATACCGGCGGCAATACATGTATATAAAAGTTGTGCCCCCAGTACGTCACACAGACTTCATTCATTATCCCCTATGGTGTGTGGACAATCTATGATGTTTAACCGGTACAACAACGCGGGTGATATTACGTCATGCAAAGAGAAAGAAGAAAGAAAGAGAGCGCATGATAAAGGTGCTGGGAGCTCGGTGGCCGAACATGTACGGCGGGAAGACAAGGGCCTAGCTTGATTCATCATCAACACGTATGCGTATCTCAACATGGGCATTGCTTGCTGGTACGGGACGTATCACACTATACAGTCTTGGAACAACAAGAGAGCTCAGCTGGTAATAAGCAGAAACAAGAAGCTGCCATTGTAGCAGGCAATTCACGGGGTGCCCATCCGTATTGCGGGGGATTTATGGCTGGGGGAACCAGTAACAGCGCTGGCATCAGCGTCCAGGGTGCTATAGAGGAGGTTGGGATCCACCAAATTCCGGGGGAGTGAGGGGGGGGAATCTAGAGTCGTTGTACGTCTTAGCCGAGGGTAACCATGAACATTGACGGCACACGGCAGAGAGTGTGCGTACCTACTATTAGTACGTAGGCCAAGATGATAACTAGTAAGTGATTCAATCGGAAAGGGCTTCCAGAGACATAACCGCTCCTCTACTACCCTACCTTCTCTTTATATATTCACCCATTCGAGTTTCATTGATACAACTGAACGATCCTCCTCCTCCTCCTCCTCCTCCTCCTCCTCCTCCCCACCTTTAAACCTGCGTATACTCTTGGCCGGGAGAAGCCATGTCTGCCGTCAGTCGAAGCTTGCGGTCCGCCTCCAAGCAGCTACGAACACCTCGGCTTGGTGGTGGTGTCCTACCTCTTGCAAGTGCCGCCGCTGTCCGCTCGACATCAGTCGCTGCTGCCCGCACATGCTCAACTCCCTCCTACCTTTCCACAACCACAGCACGCAAGTCTGGAGCGCCCGCCATGCCTCCTACTAGAGAATACGATCCCGAGATTAAGGACATTGCCGACTATGTCGCCAACACGTCCATTGACTCTGACCTCGCTGTGAGTATCGGTTGCCGATCGGCGGTGCTGTTCCGTTTAGCTTCCTTTTTTTTTTTCATCGTCCTTCTTACCCCGCCCTGAATGAACGTGATTACTGCCGGCATTGGCAATTCCTTCCTCCCGATAAGTGAAGTGAAAACAAGTACAAGGCTCAAGCTGACCAGAGGAAAAATATCCTCTACGCAGTTCGACACGGCTCGATGGATTCTCCTAGACACTCTCGGCTGCGGCCTGGAGGGCCTGCGTTTCGCCGAGTGCACCAAGCTCCTCGGCCCCACGGTTCCCGGCACCATTGTGCCCAACGGTACCAGGGTCCCCGGAACTCCCTATGTGCTGGACCCGATCAACGGAGCCTTCAATATTGGTGCCATGATCCGCTGGCTCGACTTCAACGACTGCTGGCTGGCCGCTGAGTGGGGTCACCCCTCGGACAACCTGGGCGCGATTCTGGCCGTAGCCGACTGGGTCAACCGCACCAACAAGGCCGGTGGCAACTTGGCCGGCGGCAAGATCTTCACTGTCAGGGACGTCTTGGAGGGAATGATCAAGGCCCACGAGATCCAGGGCTGCCTGGCGCTTCTCAACTCGTTCAACAGGGTCGGCCTCGACCACGTCGTTCTCGTCAAGGTGGCCAGCTCCGCCGTTGTCGCCAAGATGCTTGGCCTCGACTCCCAGGGCATCGCCGCTGCCGTCAGTCAAGCCTGGGTTGACGGCCAGAGCCTGCGTACCTACCGCCACTCGCCCAACACCATGTCCCGCAAGTCCTGGGCCGCTGGTGACGCCTGCCAACGCGCCGTCAACCTCGCCCTCAAGGTTCTCAAGGGCGAGCAGGGCGTGCCCACGGTTCTGTCCGCCCCCGGTTGGGGTTTCTACGATGTCTTGTTCAAGGGAAAGAAGTTTGAGTACCAGCGTCCCTACGGAAGCTACGTCATGGAGAATGTCCTCTTCAAGGTGTCCTACCCAGGTAAGTCTCAAGCCACCCGATTTCCAGACACCACTCCCAGCATGGTACCAGGCTTGGATGCTGACCACTTCTCGTGTGCGTTGTGCAGCCGAGTTCCACTCCCAGACGGCTGTTGAGGCTTCGGAGCGTATCTACCACCAGCTCAAGAAGATGGGCAAGTCCGCCGCCGACATCAAGGGCGTCACCTGCCGCACGCACGAGGCCTGCGTGCGCATCATCGACAAACAGTTCAAGCCCTTGGAAAACTTTGCCGACCGTGACCACTGCATCCAGTACATGTGCGCCGTGATGCTGACCTTTGGCCGCCTCGAGGCCAGCGACTATACCGACGGCGGCGAGGCTGCCACGTCAGAGCTGGTCGAGTCCCTGCGCCGGAAGATCAAGTGCGTCGAGGACCCCCAGTACACCAAGGACTACCACGACCCGGCCCTGCGCACGATCTCCAACGCCCTCACCGTCGAGCTGAACGACGGCACCGTCCTGGACGAGGTGGCTGTCGAGGCACCCCTGGGCCACCGTCTCCGCCGTGAGGAGGCCAAGCCCTTCATCCTCGAGAAATACAAGCGTCACCTCGGCCCTCACCTGAGCGAGTCCCGCGTCAAGGAGCTCATCGACCTTGGTCTCGACCCTAAGAAGCTCGAAAGCACCGCCGTGGACGAGTACGTTGACCTGTACACTGTCAAGGAGAGCAAGTTTCTCAACTAGAGAGAGACGCTTGGCAAGGCGTCAGATGGCCATCTATTGGCTGGACGGGCTAGATAGTAAAGGGGCTCGAGAGTAGAAAGGCAATCTAGAGTTACTACTGAGATGTAGAAGACATTGCAAGTTGTATTCTCCTGGACCTAGAGACAATTCTTCTTCTTTTTTTCTTCTTTACTCTATGTTTTTCTTTCGAAATATGACGACCGACAGAAGATTCGTCACCACGGCTGGTGTTGGCTAGCTCGCACCGAGGCTATATTCGTCTGTCTAATTGTAGTCACAGAAACACGACGAAAAAAAGAAGGAAAGAAAAGAAGGAAAGAAAAGAAGGAAAGAAAAGAAGGAAAGAAAAGAAGAGAAGAGAAGAGAAGAAAGAAGACGAAAAGCAAGAGAAGCGAGGACCTTGCGACGAAATAAGTGACTCGGCGAGCGCGCTATTATATATAGTACGATTCACAATACGACGTGATACAGGGTCAAGAAGACTCGAAGGATCAGACCACGATGCTGTTCGTGCCCCCGGACCCATCGACTCGGGGTGAGGGTGAGGATTACGTATTACTACAGGTACCTACAGGTAGCTGCTGTATGTACTTACTGCGATAGGGGGCAGTGCAGAGCCTGTGATCAGCATGATGTGTGTTTCGCAGTGTCAGTGGGACGGACGGGTCATACCAGCACCCGCTCCCCGCGCCTAGTCAGCAACAATGGGATGACAGTGACAGTCAGCAGCACCCCGTGGATGTCTGTTCCGTTACACTCGTTGCTCGTATTCTCCCTTGGAAACCGCCCACCGTACTTCTCTCTCCTACCATCTCTCTCTTTCATCCCGCCGCAACTCCACGTTCCAACCCTGTGTTCCTATTATACACTCCCTCCCCCGGTCCTCCCTATACCCTACAGAAAATCGGAAAGACTAAGAGCAACCCGCGCTATTCATTCTCGCCCACCATGGTGTCGGCAGACCGTCAGACGATAATGGAGGTGAACCGGTCGCTTCGTACCATCAAGAATGTGAGTTCATCTTCCAACGCGTTGGCCCCCCCTCTCCTCCCCCCCCCCCCCCCTTTTTTTTTTTTTTTTTTTGGGGGGGGGGGGGGGGGGGGGGGCGTAGTGGGAAATTCTTCTGACAGAATGCATGATAGGAACTTGAGAATCTCCTTGAAAAGGGCGTGATTGACGAGCAAGTCTACGATGAGATCCACTCCACGCTCCCCGAGGAGTCACCGCTCTCTGGGCCCCTCCGCACGGCGGCATCCCGCAACGCCACGCCGGCCAGCACCGTTCGCAGCAACGGGCCTACTTCGCCCCCCGCGGCGGCGATGGCCAACCTCGATATTGCCGGCGGCGCCGGCAAGTCACCCTCCCCCGCCCCGCCGTCCTACGAGGACACCCCGCCGCCCAACCTGCCGTCCCGCAACAACCCCGCCGCTGCCGCACCTCCGCCCGGCCCCCCTCCCAGCAAGCCCGTCATCGCCCACGCGCGCGCCCTGTACCAGTACAACGCCAGCGACGGGCGGGACCTGGCCATGGAGAAGGACGACAAGGTCTCGGTGCACGAGTACATGAACCAGGACTGGTGGATGGGTACCAACCAGCGCACCGGCCTCGAGGGCATCTTCCCACGTAACTACGTCCTAGTAGAGAACGAGAGCAAGGCCCCCGTCCCCCAAGAGGCCGCACATGCGTCCTCCGCGTACGCGCCCCAGAGCCAGCCCCAGTACGGATACCCCCAGAACCAACCCTACCAGAACCCCTACGACTCCAGCGTGCCGCCCATGGCTGTCGCCAACGGTAGCGGTCAGCCAAGTAACGGGGAGCCCAGCAAGAAGCAGGAGATGGGCAAGAAGTTTGGCAAGAAGCTCGGTAACGCGGCCATCTTCGGTGCCGGTGCTACCATTGGTGGTAACATTGTGAACAGCATCTTCTAACCCTGGGTTTATACTTGCGAGGCGTTTTCTTTTCTTTTTCTTTTTCCTCCTTTTTTTTTTTTTGGAACAACCCAACCCCCCCTTCCCTCCCTTTTTTTTCTTGTTCTTTTTTCCTCCCTCTAATTGGGAGAAGCAATACTGTAGTAGGCAATTCGTTCCTAGTTAGAATCTATCGATTGTGTTGCTGTACTTTTAACAGGCAATAATATATGGAATTGAAGATATATGAGTGTAGACGCAGCCGTGGGACAACGGCCAAAGGCAATCCACAGTGTATATACAGTGCTAATCGGACACAACAGCGGTAGACCCACTCAATATCGCCTCTGAGTAACACTGTACACGACTGGACGAAAAAAAAAAAAAAGTCCAAAGTTTATTCTAAGATAAAAAAAAAAGACGACATAGTACTTCTTCACGCGCGCATACACACAACACCCACACAACCACAGCCATGTCGAATTCAAAGAAACGTGCGGCAGAGGATGTAGACACCACCTCGAAAAAGACCAAGAAGAAGAGAAAGGCCAGCGGCGTAGATTCCCACGAGGATGACTCGCTAAACACCGATCTGGGTGTCAACACCCTCTTTGGACGCATGGACAACCAGCTTCTGGCGGACCATCTGGCGCAGAGGACGACTCGGTTCGGCACTGATCTCAGTCCTGTTGAGGTGTCGGACCTCACCATCTCCGGTATGCCTCTCTCTCTCCTTCCATTCCTCTCTCTCTCTCTGTGTGTGTGTGTGTGCGTGTGTGTGTGAGGCACACACATGCGATGAGGAATTGAGATCAGACAAGGACTGACTTTTGCGTATGGTCTGTAGCCGGCTCTATCCAGGACACCAGCGCCTGGAGGTCGGATAGGACACAGGAGAAGTTGGCGACATTCATGGAAAAGTTCTGCCAGAAGCCAGAGTCGCTCACCAAGCCGCCTAAGAAGAAGGGGTCACCGCATACGCTCATCGTGGCCGGCGCAGGGCTCAGAGCCGCCGATCTCGTGAGGTGAGTTTTCCCCTCTCCTTCTTTCTCTTCATATCTCGTTCACCGGTATTCCTTCCCCATGTGTGCTACTCTTCAGAGATCGCTGACACACGACAATACAAAAGGGGTGTGAGAAAGTTTCAGGGCAAGGATAATGCCGTTGCAAAGCTGGTAAGAGAAGAAAGGCTCCCCGAGGAGACGTGGGAAAGATACTGACTTTCAACTGCTTCTAGTTCGCCAAGCACATGAAGGTCGCCGAGCAAGTCGAGTTCCTCAAGAACAAGAAGACTGGCATCGGAATTGGAACACCCGCTAGACTGATAGAGCTGATTGACAATGGTGAGAAACCTGGATGAGAGTTCACTGCCTGTTCGGTATATCGGACGAGTGTTGTTTGTCGTATGTACTGACTGAACTGCCCAGGCGCCCTGTCCTTGGAATACCTGGAGAACATCATTGTCGACGCCTCGCACATTGACCAGAAGAAGAGGGGAATCCTGGACATGAAGGATACCATGTTGCCGTTGGCGCGGTTCCTGTCGCGCAAGGAGTTCAAGGAGAGGTATGTGGCTGATGAGAAGCCCATCTCCCTGATATTCTATTAGCCGTCATCGCGATCGCGTGTCTTTTCTCGGTAACGGTGCTACATCATTGAAGAGTTTTAGGCAGAGAAATCCCTTGCCAGATAATAAGAGGAGTTTAAGCATTGAATTATGGCAAAGAGTCGTGCCCGTCGTGATTTGGGCCAAATCTAGCATCGTTTCTGATGAGCGGAAATGGTCCGCTGAGCCAATGCAGGTCGATATGCGCCCCAGGATAAACGTGGCTGCAGTGCACACATAGGACACCATTTTGATGAATACGATCCAAGCATTTCACATTACCCTTAATTACCTACAAGATGAAATACGATCCTCCCATATTGCTACCTGATAAAACTTGCTCTAGCCCCTCCCCCGCATGAGGCCGGGTGGATTTTGATTCCGCAGGCGGTGAGTGGATACTGGGACCAGCAACAATGCGGGCCAAAAAAAAAAATCGAAAAAAAATCAAAATGACAAACTCTGCATCCAGCGCATCACCAAATATTACGACGGGTTTTTTTTTGGGCTCTCTCTCTATTCTCGACCTTCAACAATTGCATTTCTCTTTTTCTTTCTTTCAATACCCATATACACACACACAGAAGCGCAAGATGAAGAGTAAGAGAGCGAGAGAAGCCGTCGAGGAGAAGCCCTTCGAAACGGCCGTCGACGAGGTTCCCGCCAAGAAGCGCAAGCGCGACGATGACGTGAACGGCGCCGCGGCCGGTGAGCCCAAGAAGCCCAAGAAGTCCAAGAAGGACAAGAAGAACAAGGAGAGCCGCAAAGAGAAGAAGGACAAGATGAAGGATCTCCAGGATCTTCCCGAAGAGGAGAAGGATGAAGAGGATGAGGAATCGAGATATGCTGCTTCTGCCGCCGCTGCCATCGACGACGAGAAGAAGAAGATGAAGAAGAAGGAGGAGGAGGAGGGGGTAGAGAAGAAGAAGAAGAAGAAGAAGAATTCCGCCAAGGAGGAGTCCAAGAACGAGGGGGACAAGAAGGAGAAGAAGGACAAGAAGGAGAAGAAGGACAAGAAGGACAAGAAGGAAAAGGTAGAGGGTGGAACCAAGGAGGGAGAGGCCAAGGAGGAGGGGTCGACGAATGATGTTGCTGCTGCCCCCGCCACCGTCGGCAACGACGCAATCGATCTTGACCAGTCCACGGCCGAAAAGGCCGACCGCCACATCGTCTTCGTCGGCAACCTCCCCTTCACGGCCACGGCAGCCAGCATATCCGCCCACTTCTCGTCCCTCTCGCCCATCGCCGTCCGCTGCCTCAAGAACCGAGATGACGACAAACCCTGCCGCGGTATCGCCTTTGTCGAGTTCGCCAAGGTCTGGCACCAGCGTACCTGCCTAGACAAGTTCCACCACTCCATGTTTGACGATGGAAAGTCTGCTCCTCGCAAGATAAACATTGAACTCACGTAGGTCATCTTCTTTCTCCGTCATTCTCTTCCTCCCCTCCCCTTCCCTTCTTTTTTTTTAAAAAAGAAAAAAGTCCATTCCCTCCCCCCTCAACCCTCACAATGCTAACACACAATGGTACAGCGCTGGAGGTGGTGGCAAGACAAAGCAGCGTCAGGAAAAGATTCGCGAGAAGAATCAGAAGCTGGATGAGAACCGGGCCAAGCGCATCGAGAAGGAGAAGAATGCAAAGGTTGAAGGAAAGGGTCAGAAATCGCAGCCCCAGTCTGAGTCCCAGACCAACATGGAGGATAGCATACATCCTAGCCGAAGGGGTAGGGTACCCGGTATGTTCTAGGTACTAGCACTACTAAGTGCTAGGAATATTCACCTCTGGCATTTGTATAACGTCTTTACTACCACTACACTTTGTTATGTTTCTGATCCTTTTTTTTTTCTTTTCATTTTATCTTCTACAAGGGTACGCATGTGAACGGTTATTTGAGGGGGGGGCGGGAGAATATTAAAGAAGAGTCACGTTCTTTGAATATATATATAGACAAAATGGTATGTGCTGAAAATGAATCAAACACATTCACTCCCCACCTCCATTACAGTGACCGGACGACAGAATAACCCGCCCCCCCCCCCCCCCCCCCATTCCCGGTCTGAATGAACTCTTCAAGAAAAGGGATGACGGAACAACCAAAATCAACGCAACGCAATGCATCGTTCATATGCAAGCGGCGAGGTAAACCAAGAGTCAAAAAGCACAAAAAGAAGAATCTGCTGTTGGAGCCAACGTCTAAGCAACAGCACGGATGGATAGGCTAGGATGAGCAAACAGGCATAGAATGAAACACACGCAAAACAAGAGACAAGAAATCCACGTTGCCAGACGCCGAAAATAAAAGCAAAGAAGCAAAAAAATTCAGAAAAAGAAGCCCCATGTAGTAGAACGAACGTGAAAGAAGGGCAGAACGGAGAAAGACCTAGAGAGCAGAGTACTCGATCTGCTGGCCGTCGCAGGCTACGACACCAGAGACTAAAGATAGGCGAGTGTGAAGCCTTCAATCCCAGACGATTCTGTCAAAACTTAACCAGAGTCCAAAATCAAAAGATCCTGATATCACATATGAGCGTGTCCCTTTGATAGACTTTAGCCGTTGCAGGCGGTTTCGGCAACGGACAGCCTAGCAGTTTTGGTGGCGTATCAGGAACGGATCCGAGTCTTTTCTGCTCCCTGCTTCTTCTTTCTTCTTGTCCCCACCACATGGTCTAGATACCGGGATTTCCTCTTCGTGAAAAATAAAATAAAAAAATAGGAGTGGTAGAAAAAAGAGACGGCAAAAGTAAAACGAGGAAAATAAGCATATTCCACAAAAGGGGGTGTCGGAAATATCGTCTAGGGTATAATCGTCCCGGTCAAGGTCCTGGATGCCACTTGGGTGTGCGTGTATGTATGTGTGCGCCCCCGATAGTGGGGGGGGGGCAAAGGTCTTCCAATTCGATACGATTCGGTAGAAGAACAAGTCTACAGGATGGAGCACTTGGAGCGCTTCTTCTGCGACTGCTGGGGACGCGGGTTCAAGACGGCGCTGGTATCAATTCTTAGCTAGGTGGGACAGATGGGGGCAGGGGAGAGATGGAGAAAGGGGGTCTAACCGAATAGCCTCATCAAAGACACTCTTGAGGTTGCGCTGTGTCAGGGCAGAACACTCGAGGTACTTGTAGGCCCTGACATCCTTGGCACAGGCCAGAGCCTGCTCGTATGTGACGGGCTCCATGCGCTTCTGACGGAGGGAGTCGAGAGTGGCGCTATCTTCACGCAGGTCGAGCTTAGTGCCGACCAGGATGATGGGGACGTTGGGGGCATGATGATCGATTTCGGGAAACCACTAGAGGGGGGGTCAGATATCGTCATGTGCTTGTGTATCCACGGGGTTCAATGTGCCGTACCTTGGCCTTGACGTTGTCAAACGACGGAGGGCTGACAATGGAAAAGCAAATAAGGAAGACGTCGGTCTGGGGGTAGGACAGAGGCCTCAGACGGTCATAATCCTCCTGACCGGCGGTGTCCCAAAGACCGAGGCTGATGGGCTTGCCATCAACCATTACACTAGCCGAGTAGTTGTCAAAGCTGTAGCACACGCGCACAAGTCAGCTTCGTGAATTCTTCTCTCAACACTGAGCGTGGCGAAAGAGGGGGGAGGCGGTTATACGGACACTGTGGGGATGTATTCGCCGGGGAAGGCATTGGTCGTGTACGAGATGAGGAGACATGTCTGCGTGGCAGGAAAGTCAGCATTCTCTTCTTCTTATCCGCCAATGCTGCATTTTTTTCAGGGTGGCCACTTTCTCCAACGGGGAATAGACGAACCTTGCCGACAGCACCATCACCGGTCACGACACACTGCAGCAGACGAGGTTAGCAGGTTGAACTGATGATGACCAGAGCAGCGAAAGAAAAAGATGATGGATGGGCACAGCATGCCTTGAGGGACTGAACGCCGGGCTGAGCCATTTCTGTGGAATGTCGTGGGGTCGGAATTGAAACTAGAGTGGGAGAAATCGATGGATGGTAGGTCGACGCGAGAGAGAAGCGACGGAGAATAGTTGAGTATGGATGCGGTGGGGAGTTGATCGGTGGTGGTTGTGGTGTGGTTGTGATTGTGGTTGGAGAGACGAAATGGCGTAGGTGATGGTTTGCCGATGATAACGAGGCTGAAGCCAGAGGTCAGGGAAGAGAGAAGGGCCCAAGGCGATGATGATGGAACTGACGGTGAGGATGGGCGGCGGGGGTTGGCACTGGGCTGGTGGTGGTCGGATGTGGATCCTCCAAAAAAGCGACAGCAGAGAAAGACAGAGAGAAGAGGGCAAGGGGCGGGAAAGAGGGCCTCCGACGAACGAGTTCCAAGGGGTTCAGGGAAGAGTCGCAAGCACAACAAGATTGTTTTGGAAAATGGTAGAGGAGAGAAGCAAGAGAGAGAAACAGAAACAAGAAGATGGCAGAGCAAGCGAGCGCACAGCACAGGCCAAGCTGAGAAGGGAGAGTGGAGAGGAGAGATGTGAGTTGCGTGTGTGTGTGTGTGTGCGTCCCGCGATAACAGGGCAATCAGGGGAGAGAGGAAGGAGCCAGTCAACTCGTTTTGGTGCCATGCACGTACTAGCATTAGGGGTAAGTCTACTGGACGTGATGCTACAGCTACGAGCACTAGCACTGATGCTAGGACCTGGTAGGAGAGATTCGAGAGATCCTGGACTATTGGCAGTATATTGGTAGGAGCTGTCGTTGATGAATACCGCAATTGGATGTCGGCTGCATTAGTACTCATATCATTGAAGCCTGAGCAATGTTATGCCCGCCATCCAGGATATGTAAGTGTCAGCAAGTCCGAGACAGTGAGGTTGCAATGCTCCGTACAGGCCCTGTGCGGCAAGCGGAGATACCGCAGTTGTAAGCCTGTAAGAGCCTGTAACAGCCATCCATGACCACCAGCCTGGCCTCTTCATCAAGACTGTGTGCTCGTACGATACTGAGACGAATTCCCACGTATCAACCAGAACGTTACGGACACCATCTTCTAGAGCCACATGCGATATCCAGCACTGCGGGCGATACGGTGGTGTTCACAAGCACTTTTGTATCAACGATTACGACATATCGCCAGTTGCCCATACGTTCCATTGTCGCACGTTGTGGCTATTGATGGATCGTACCCAGATAGCCAGCCAGATCAATACTGATACTACGACATGGCGGCAGTCTAGCATTGTCCAGGTCCGGCCCTCGCCTGACCGCAGGGGAGGGATGAGGGGAAAGACGGATGCCTTACGCGGTATTCCTTTGCGAGTACTGTGATAGTCGTACATATTGGTACTATGCACCCCATTCAACCAGACCAGAACCAGTGGGGATAGTATATGTACGCACTCGTACTTGCATTCACACGGGCCCTCCCCAAAATGGCACCACCACCACTCATTTGCTGCTTTTCTTGATCAATTGATCAGCGCTGGCGAGGCGTGGCGGCTACGGCCTACAGGTCATTTAATGCAGAGCAATCAGCCAACCAACGTTCCTAGACCAGACAAGACCGTTACGAAGCGTGGTGATAATTCCTCCGTAGCGTGCATCAGCCAAAAGCCGAATTTGGGTATTGTCAAATTGCAATCCCCGCCGAGAAGGAGAAGAAAAGAGGCTACGGTAGCCATGGTCGACGCAGCAAACGGCCATCGGATCCATCGTAATAGTGCCACTCGTTCAGCATCTATCATTTTCTTTCACCCGCGTGAACTCCGGCTCTCACCTACGGTCAATCACAAGTCTCACCTCACTGTTCAGCGTTCACTCAGTGGCTGGCGCCAAGGATACGTGCCAAGCTCACCCGTCTCATCGGCTGTCTCGAAGAGTTGCGGATATACGGACGGCTGCCCGCCCCCTTTCCTTCTCCCCTTACCCCTCCTGTTGAGATTCTGTCTCCCGACCAAAACAGGACGACCTGATGCCGATGCTTCAGGATGAGAAAATCCTCCGAGTATAGGGAACACGACGTACGGTACTGGGTAATACACGTAGCGTGCCCCTCACCCCTCTCACCAGGGCATTCCCGGCTATATTCCCCTGCCAGGACCCGACGTTTGCTGCACCAGAATTCCACACTTCTCCGATCAGCTATCGCCCCTCAGCGGATGCATAGAGGAAGCAAAAGGAAGGCGGAGAGAAGAAGCCAAGGAAGATGGAAATGTCCTTTTTTCTCTTTTTTATATTTTTCTTCCCCTGCAACGTTAACCGGCTCACCATTACAACATGATTGCGTTAGACGTCGTCATTGGCATTGAGGGATGCCGCCTTGCAAATAATACGTCATTCCGACCTCAGACGCTGTGCTCGCTCTACCCCTCCCCCTCACCTCATCGGCCTTGTCGACGTAAACGGAAGAAAGCAAACACAGCGCCCGGCACCTCCAACCATCGTGGTAATATCCCATTAATCCAATTGTCAAGGAACCGACGTCCCTCTCATCTTCATATCGCACATCGTACTGCACAGATACCCATCACGACGCTTCGTTCGGTCCTCGGGTCGTGGATGCCCCCGACTTCGGAACGTGGATCTGTCGTTCGGGTGGTTTGTCATCAGCTGCGGGCCATGTTGAAGCGGGGCGAGAGTCGCGAGCGCGAGGGAGGGAGGGAGAAATAGAGAGAGCTTGACAGAAGGCAAACGAAGAGGAGGAGGGGGTCAGAGCAGTCGATATTGGCTCCTAGGTACATGTAGCAGTAACACACTCCTAGTCGGCCCTCGTAGCCAAGAGCAGCTCCGGGAGGAGGGGAGGAGAAGCTCTGATGCCGATTCGCCTCGTAACTCCGCCTTTGCCCATTCAAAAAGCTTGCCCGTCACCTCTCCACTCCTTCATGCTCTTGCTTCCCTTCCCCTCACTCTTTCCCCTCCTCCTCTTGATTCTCTCTAGTCAAACGACTGCTGTGTCAATAAAAAACCAAAAAAAACCCCAACACCAAAAACCAAAAGCACATACAACCGTCAAAATGGTCAAAGCAGGTAAGGAAGATCACCTTCTCTGCAACACACCTCTAGAAAGAGGGCAGAGCCGCTCCTCTTTATACCCATGGGCGTATTCGGCAGAAGGGGGGAGAGATGAGCGCGTTTGCGCGAGTTTTCTGACGTCGTGGGTTGGCCGGGTTGTGCTCTCTTTTTCTACCAAATGCACCTCCTACCTTGATGGCCACCCGCTTTACCTTGTTGTCCTCAATCTGCTCCGTCTCTTGCCCAATAGCTACCATTCCTTTACTGTCTTTCACTGCAAGGGGAAAAATCCCAAGAGAGGAGATGTATCAAATGCTGATCCGTCCGCCGCCGCCTAACAGTGTCCGTCCTCCGCGGTGACGCCAAGGTCTCCGGCACCGTCACCTTTGAGCAGGAGTCCGAGTCGGCTCCCACCACCATTACCTGGGATATCACCGGCAATGACGCCAACGCCAAGCGCGGCTTCCACATCCACACCTTTGGCGACAACACCAACGGCTGCACCTCTGCCGGTCCTCACTGTCAGTCCCCCAAAAGAGAGCAGAGGCGAGAAAGGTGAAGGACACAATCAAAGCTGACATGATTGAAAGTCAACCCCTTCGGAAAGACCCACGGTGCTCCCTCCGACGAGAACCGCCACGTCGGTGACCTCGGCAACATCGACACCGACGCCCAGGGCAACGCCAAGGGCTCCGTCACTGACAAGTTCGTCAAGCTCATCGGCCCCGAGAGCGTTGTCGGCGTATGTCCCCCCCCCCTATTATTCTTGTTCCAGACGTCTCAGCATACAGAAGAGTGTTATATACTGACCTGACCTCAATAGCGTACCGTCGTTGTCCACGGTGGCACTGACGACCTCGGCAAGGGCGCCAACGAAGAGTCCCTCAAGACTGGTAACGCTGGTCCCCGCCCTGCCTGTGGTATGGTTACCCTTCTTAGACCCGTTATTTACTATATCCATGGCATTATACTGATTGTTCATAGGCGTCATTGGTATCTCTGCCTAAGCTGGCATGCAGCGGGGTATGTAGCCACTACACGGCTCTGTAGACGCGTCACTAAATCAGGCCCGTCGGCAGAACGTCGTGCCATGTCTTTGTAGATATCAAGGGCAATTTTGATGATTAACTGAACGTCTTGACTACAAATTACCATGTCGTGTGTGCGGATTTGCGTGTGGGTGTTTGGATGTCGTGCATACAATATAAATGCTGTGGTATCTTGGTTCCCATGTTTTTGCGACATTGAGGGGTTCGGGAGGGAAAGCTGCATGAAAGCTGCCAGGAGCTTTCGAACTCACTACGTCAACGACCCCGCAATCCAGCCTCTGTTAGAGCCTGTTAGAGTCGCAGACGGCCCAGACAGCCAGGCTTACTCAGTAATAGACCGGTAATCCGATACAAGACGACCTGGCGGCTAACAGGTGCGATTACTAATTCCCGCACGAAATGTTAACCGTATATGGGCTACTTCGAATCTACCTATCGAGCCAATTTAGTAAAGAACGTGCCCTTGGGGGTTCGAGACAAATAAACGGCTGCACTTGGCCTATATGACTAGATGAGAGCAGGGGTCTCTTCTCTTTCTAGTAAACTAGGCGCATACGTACGAGTTACACTTATCACTATGATTACGAGAGTGAGTCGTCTGCTCTTTTCTCGCACTCTCCTACCGGCCCACTTTCATCCTGAATACAGGCAAATGGCATGGCTCGGCTCAACACCCCGGTCACATCATGTGTGCCAAGCTCGTCGAGTAGCTGCGGTTAGAAGTGACGTGCTCGCCCATGTGCACCCGCCTCGACGGGGTCATAGTATCCATTTTTTAATTGTAATAACGTCTTACACGATAAAGTAGGAAGGACAGAGAAGAAAAAAGAAGGGGAAAAAAAAAAGAAAAAAGTGATCACCATATATATACTATGTGAAATGCGGTGTCATGGACCGAGTATTATTTTCTTCAATGCACAAAAATAACTCCCGTTCCCCTTTTGCTCTCCCCTTCTCCCAGACAGATATATTTCGTCGGGCAGCGCTGGGTGAGAAATAGACAAGGACCCCTGTCTCCTTCGAAGTGCGCCCGCCATGGCGACAGCATCTGACCAGGTCCGTTCCGTTCCCCGGCGGCTTCCGACCACGCCGACTGCCCAGGCTGACAGGATACCGCAACTTCCAGCAGCTGCCCGCAACAGAGACGGATCCCCTTCTGCCTTCCAGTGTCGTTGGTAAGAGTGCGCAAGATGGTGGCCGCGACGACCGATTCAAGGATGACGGCGACGACGACGATGACCGGAACGATGACGACGACGACGCGCCGCTTGTCCCGCTTGGCGCATACATCGAGACGGACCCGACCGTGGGGGAGTGGCTGCTACGACACCGTCCCACGAGGCGCTCGGCAGTACGATATGTCAGGAGCTTGTTTCCCTTTCTCGGCTGGCTCCCTCGGTACAATACAAAGTGGTTTATCGGGGATGCTATCGGAGGTTTGTCGCCATGACATGCGCCTCACGCCTGCAAAGATGAAGGGACAACTGACCGCCTGGTAGGCATCACGCTGGGCTTCGTAGTCGTCCCCCAGACCATGGCCTACGCGTTACTGGCCGGCCTGCCACCGCAGTATGGCCTGTACACTTCGTTTGTTGGCACATCGCTGTACTGGCTATTCGGTACATCCAAGGACGTTGCAATCAGCGTATGCTCAATACTCCCTCCTTTAGCAGAGAAGAAAAAGAGAGGAAGGGGGTGAGGGGAGAAACAGCTCACTGACTGACCCCCTTAGGCAACCGCCGTCCTATCTCTCCTCGTTGGCCGTGTCGTCAACACCGTGACAGCCGAACACCCCGAGTACCGCAACCAAGACGTAGCTGAGTGCATCTCCCTCGTCTCCGGCTTGTGCCTGCTCATCTTTGGCCTCTTGCGTCTCGACTGGATCATCGAGCTGATCCCCCTCGTCGCCATCTCCGCCTTTGTCACCGGCGCGTCCATCACGATCACCCTCAGCCAGCTGCCCGGCGTCCTGGGCATAACGGGTATTCGTGCCAAGGAATCGGCCGTCAGCGTGTTTTTACAGCTTGTGCATAACATTGGAAACGCCCGAGCCGGCGATGCTGCCGTTGGGCTGAGCGCTCTCGTCTTTCTCGAATCTATCAAGTGGTACTCGGCGCGCATGCTGGCTCGGCCACGCGCAAACGACCGGCTGTGGTCTACGGTGGCGTCGCTGAGGATGACGCTCGTCATGTGTGCCTACACTATCATGAGTGCCGTTGTGAACTACGGCCAGTCGCAGCAGGAGGCTGCCTTTAGGCTCCTGGGCCCCGTCCCCTCGGGTGAGTTAGCTGTGATGTCTGTGTCGCCTTGCACACCGTGGTGCTGACGTTGGCGTTAAATCTAGGCTTAACAGATCTAGGCTTCCCCGTCGTGGACAGAACGCTTCTACTAAGCATCAGCCCCCACGTCCCGGCCGTGATTTTGGTCCTCATCGTCGAACACATTGCCATTGCAAAGTCGTTTGGCAAGATCAACAACTACGTCGTCGTCCCGTCCCAGGAGATGATAGCCACGGGCATAACCAACCTAGTCGGGGGCATGTTTGGCGCCTACTCGTCCACGGGCAGCTTCACGGGCACCGCTATCCTGTCCAAGGCCGGCGTGCGCACGCCGCTGGCGGGCACCTTCAAGGCCGCCATCGTCATGATGGCCCTTTACTGGCTTACCTCGGTCTTCTACTACATCCCCATGGCGGCTCTTTCGGGTCTGATCGTCCATGCCGTCAGCAACCTCGTTACGTCGCCCGGCGAGCTGCGCCTCTTCTGGCTGATATCTCCTCCTGATTTGTTCATCTACGTCGTCGGCGTTTCCGTTTCCGTCTTTGGCAACCTGGAGACTGGAATATACGCCACTGCAGGACTCTCGCTCGTATTCCTGCTCTACAGGGTCGCTCGCGCCGAGGGCAAGTTTATGGGACGCGCATCCGTGAGCCGGTACGTCGCGGAGCCGCGCCAGCAGATTGGGCCCACCGACAGGAGCGCTGCTGTCGGCGGTGCCCCTCGCTGGAGGGATGTGTACCTCTCCCATGAACGAGATGACGGCACCAACCCCCATGTCAAGGTCGAAAACCCTTACCCGGGCGTCTTCATCTTCAAGCTCACCGAGAACCTCCACTACCTCAACCAAGCGCACATTGTCCAGCAGGTCGTATCCCACATCACATCTCGGACGCGCAGGGCCATCCGCGACGACCCCGACAAGACGGCCCGCGACCGGCCGTGGAACGACCTCGGGCCGGAGACATCTCCCGGCGAAACAGTCCCATCTGAAGACAACCACCTACCACCGCTCCACGCTCTCGTCCTGGACATGTCGGCCGTCAATGACATGGACGTCACATCCGTCCAAGGGCTCACGGACCTGCGCCACCGCCTTGAGCAGTGGGCGTCGCCTGAAAAAGTGGAGTTTCACCTCGCCAATGTGACGAACCGATGGACGAGGAAAGCCCTTGCGGCCTGTGGTTTTGGCCAGCCGTCCTCCCTGGACGGATGGAACCCCGAATTTACCATTGCAGAACTCGGCAGCAGCGGTGGCGGAGCTGGTCCTGTTTATAATCACCATCACAACCGCCAGTCTGTGCTACAGGAAAACGGCTACATCCGCCATTTCATACACGCAACGAGTGGAAATGGCTTCGTGGAGTTGGGAAGTGACGAGGAGGGGGCCTCAAGTCCCAGGTCGCGGCAATTTGGCTCATTGATCGGAATGGACAGGCCGCATTTCCATGCTGATCTGGACACTGCTGTCCAATGCGCGGCTAGGAGTCTTGGGAAGAAACGTGGCAGAACGGCAGCAACGACAAATTGAAATGAGTTCCATGCCTTGATGTTGTTAAGCTAGCGTTGGATTTATCACGGCATATTTGAGCAGACTGCTCTTTTCATACCTTTTTCCTTTACCCTTCATAAACTGTTGGCATTATATAGCGTCTCTTACACCTGATTGCTGCATCCTCGATTTCACGCATTGTCACTCTATTTTCTTGGACCGGCATAGCAGTTGGTACATTTATATATATATATAGAACAGAATAATGATAAAAGAATAGAATGATCATAACATCGAGAAATATGAACGATAGCGTATACCACCAGTTCCCGGATAGGATTAAAAGGCCAAAAAATCAAAAGGTAAAGACGAGAAAGTCTTGTTTAGTGTCCTGAGTGAGGTTCGAACTCACGACCTTTGGATAGCCCAATCTAGGATTGAATCACACTGAAAATATGAGACCAACGCTCTAACCAACTGAGCCATCAAGACATTTGATGTTGGACGGTTTTGATCACTACAAGTTTATGTACCTTTACCCCTCCTGACCGCCACATCGGCGTCCTAAACGTTGCCACTTCAGGTCAGCAAAACCCCGGTTTCCATCCGTGGAATTGGACAGATTACTCGTATGAGCACGCTATCCCGAGTCTCGAGGCGCTATGACAGGGGTGCCCCTCCCCTGGAACCCGACGAAAGACCCTGGCGGGGGAGGGAGCTCTAAGCCTCTATGGTTCCGCGAGTTTCTTAAGCAGCTGCCACACAAGCAAGGTCCCGGGTCTCCACAGCTTAACCCTGGCTGGGGAACCAGTTTGGGACACCTTGCATCAGTCGAGGCATCGACACACGATCACTCGCTGCATCTTCATTTAACCCAAATCCATCACCTACTTCTCCTTGGTTTTATGTCAATTGCCGACTAGAGAGCCTGGATTTCTTTTTCTTTCTGGAAAGTTTGAACGACCTTCCTCCCGCCCCCTCTCCCTTTTTTCTTTTTGGATATCCCCCTTCCTTGTTGTGGTAGGTAGGTTCTCCCCTTGGAAACTCTGCTGTCCGTCACCAAAGAAGAAGCGGTCACGGGTGTGTGTATCTGTGTGTAGCCGTATGCTAACATGGTTAACGATCTGTAATAGTCTCCTTACGTGTTTACGATTCACAATGTCGAAGCCGTTTTTTGGCATTGTCAAGAGCGTTCTTAGTGGAGACACCTTGATCCTCTCGAGCGCCGCTAACCCCTCTGCCGAACGGACCTTTACGCTCGCCTATGTCGACAGTCCGCACTTGAAGCGTGACGGAGATGAGCCCTTCGCCTTCCAGTCGCGCGAGCATCTACGCAGCCTCGTCATTGGTAAGCCGGTCAAGTGCACCACGCTGTACACCGTCCCCTCTGGGCGGGAATACGGCACCGCCCAGCTCAATGATGGGCCCAGCTTCCCTGACGAGCTCGTCAAGGCTGGCTGGCTCAAGGTCCGTGAGGATGCCGGCCGCAGGGAGGACTCGGAGGGGTCTGTAGAGTTGGTGGAGAAGCTCCGCAGCCTCGAAGCCGCTGCCAGAAGCGAGTCCAAAGGTCTCTGGGCCGGTGTTGGCGGCGTCATCGAGGTGCAAAAGGACATCAGCGACCCCGAGTTCCTCAACACATGGAAAGGCAAGACGGTCGATGGCATTGTTGAGCGCGTCATCTCCGGTGACAGGCTGATCATCAGGCTCCTCCTATCGGAGAAGAAGCACGCCAACCCCATGACGGTCATTGCCGGCATCAGGACTCCGACCACTGAGCGTACGCTGCCGAACGGTACTGTGCAGCCCGCAGAGGAGCATGCGAATGAGGCCAAGACATTTGTGGAAACTAGGCTCCTCCAGCGGAAGATCAAGGTCGAGATTGTCGATCTCACGCCTCAGGGTCAGCTCGTAGCGACCCTCATCCACCCCATCGGAGACAAGAACATTGCCGTCTTCCTTCTTCAGGAGGGACTGGCCAGGTGCAACGACTTCCACTCGAGGCTTCTGGGAGGCCGCATGGCAGCTCTCCGAGATGCCGAGAAAGAGGCCCAGTCGAAGAAGCTACGCTTGCACAAGAGCCACGTCGCCAAGGCTGACCCTGGCAAGCACGACATGGTTGTCTACAAAATCATCGGAGCCGACACCATTCTTGTGAGGAACAAGGCCGGCACGGGCGAGAAGCGCATCAGCTTCAGCAGTATCAGAGGCCCGCGCGCCGGCGAGCCATCCGAGGCTCCCTTCCGTGACGAGGCCAAGGAATTTGTGCGTCAGAAGCTCATTGGCAAGCAAGTCAAGGTGGCTATCGACGGAAGCAAGCCCGCCTCGGATGGGTTTGAGCCCAAGGAGGTGGCTACCGTCACGGAGAAGGGCAAGAACGTGGGTCTCATGCTGGTCGAGGCTGGTTTGGGAACCGTCATCCGCCACAAGAAGGATGACACAGATAGGGCTCCCAATTACGACGAGCTCCTGGAGGCCCAGGAGAAGGCCAAGGAAGAGAAGAAGGGGTTCTGGTCCGGGAAGCCCCAGAAGGCGAGGCAGTACACCGACCTCTCGGAGAATGCCCAAAAGGCCAAGATCATGCTCGCCACCCTCCAGCGCCAGAAGAAGGTGCCCGCCATCGTTGACTTCTGCAAGGCCGGCTCCCGCTTCACCATTCTGATCCCGCGCGAGAATGTCAAGCTCACTATGGTTCTAGGTGGCATCCGTGCTCCCCGCGCCCCCCGTGCCGATGGTGAGGGTGGCGAACCCTTTGGCAAGGAAGCCCTCGACCTTGCTAATCGCCGGTGCAACCAGCGTGACTGCGAGGTGGACATCTACGACATGGACAAGACGGGTAGCTTCATCGGCGCCCTCTACATCAATCGTGACAACTTTGCCAAGGTTCTGGTGGAGGAGGGCCTGGCGTCGGTACACGCCTTCTCCGCCGAAAAGTCGGGCAACTCGGCCGAGCTCTTTGCGGCGGAGAAGCGTGGCAAGGAGGGACGCAAAAACCTGTGGAAGGACTGGGACCCGTCTCAGGACGAGGAGCAGGAGGTCGAGGAGGAGCCTATAGAGACTGCTGACGAGACGGCGGCCAACCTGGAGAAGAGACCTGTCGACTACAGGGACGTTGTGGTGACCAATATCGATGGGAACGGAAGACTCAAGATACAGGAGATTGGCGCTGGCACGGCTTCGCTGGAGACCCTGATGCGTGAGTTCCGCAAGTTCCACCTGGACCCCAAGAACAAGCAGCCTCTCCAGGAAGCCCCCAAGACCGGGGAACTTGTGTCAGCGCAGTTCTCGCTCGACGGCGAATGGTACCGCGCCCGCGTCCGTGGAAACGACCGCACGACTAAGCAGTCAGAGGTTGTGTACGTCGACTACGGTAACAGCGAGAAGATTGCTTGGTCGAAACTGCGCCGCCTAGAGCAGTCCCAATTTGGCATCCAGAGGCTCAAGCCGCAGGCCATCGACGCGTCGCTATCGCTAGTCCAACTCCCCACGGGGGCCGACTACTTCAACGACGCCATCAGCTTCCTAGCCGAGCTGACCGAGGGCAGACGACTAGTAGGCAGCTTCGACTTTGTCGACAACAAGGAGAACCTGAGCTACATCACTCTGTTCGACGTCACCGGCAGCACCGGTCTGCCCGGGCCGAACGAGTCGATCAATAAGGAGGTCGTCGCCGCCGGCTACGGCATGGTGCCTAAGAAACTCAAGGCGTGGGAGCGCAGCAAGGCGTTTGAGGGGCAGCTCAAGCACCTGCGCGACGTTGAGGCGCAGGCCAAAAAGGATCGTCTTGGCATGTGGGAGTACGGAGACATTACCGAGGACTAAGGGACGAGGGAAAGCATGAGGTACCAAAATGGGTAGGGACGGAAAAAAAAAGAAAAGCATGGACAGAGATGGATGCATAAAAACATACATACATATAATAAGAGTCGGCGCCCTTTTTGAATTCACCATCACTAGCATTAGGAGGCGACACGATAAAAGACGCGCCTAAGATAATAGAGCTCTTTTAATGGCTACATTTGTTCCCTTGGCTGATATCATAGTGAGGTTGATGGTTTTGGTTGGCAAGGCTGAGTGGCGAGACTTTGCAGTTCAAGTAGCCGGAGATCTCGATATTACTGACTACATTGAGTGACTTTGAGTAGTATCATTACATGTGTGTGCCGCGGATGCAAGAGAAGATACAAGAAGAGATGCGACAATGACGTTGGTCTCGCATGATTGCCAAGCTGGCTTTAGGGTACAACAATGCTTGTACGAGTAGTATTGTAATCTGTACAGATCAGAGGAGATATCCTGACTAGTAGGGCGGTCATCAAGGTGAGTTGAGACAATGGCAACATGGCAATATCACCTGTTACGATATCCTCATCCTGTTGATACTGTACGAGTACGGAGTATCATTACTCCGTAGTGGTAGGCCGTAATCCGTAGTGTTACTCCATTCTCGTAGAACCGTGAGCCGTGGACCGTGGCAATGGACCGTGGTACTCCGTAGTGTGGGACGCGGGATTCCATCTATACGACATTTACGGGACTGTCGGGTGGCGGGGCAACGTACATATACAGGTCTTTATGGAGTACTATAATCTGTAGTCTGTAACTGGTAGTAGCATTAGGTAGCATTGGAGCACCTGTGGTGATATGTCTCTTTCCTCGTCATTCCCCCGTTGTCCGTAGGTTCCGCGACGCGTAGAGTGGCGGGAGGGCGCCAAGTGGTGTCATATAAATACATGTATACGGCGCGAGTCCCGACCGACGTGAAAGCGGGGGAGGGGCACAAGACGGTAAAACAAGGGAAGAGGAGGTCAATTATACCGCGATTATCGCCAATGGCGTGGTACATCATGGCTGATGGGTGAACAGTCGTAGTGATGATAATAATAGCTTCAATGTATATGCAGAGTGATAGTAGTGGTCTGTTGCTACTACTGCTACTACTTCCATGGGCCCGCAAGAATACTCCGTAGCCGCAGTCGCCGCCAAAGTCTGCTTCAACAAGTGCGCGTGCCTGACAGGGTGAGGACGGGGGGGTCAGAACATGTCATTGGCGAGATTCATGGGGATGAAGAGGACACTCTCTGTTAGTGTGAGAGGAAAAGGTACATGGAGTGAAATTAGAAGGGAGAAAGAAAGAGTAGAGCAGACACGCAGCACTCGGCGACCGATTAGCGCACTCTCCGTCATGCGGTTATGTACATAACGGAGTGTGTAGACTATATAAGTAACGAGCAACTATTTCGCCATGTATTATATGCATTTTATGTATGTATACATACAAGTACCTCTCTAAACCGGGCGATCTTCCGTATTCCCGTATAGCAGTCACAGGACGCTTTCTTCTTTGGTTATAAATGCGTAGCACCGAGGCCTAGCTCATTCGTTAATCGCCAGTATATAAGGGCCTTTCGCGAGTCGTATAGAGCCTCTAGTAATAGGTTATTGGAAAGGGAGTTAGTCGTACCTATGATTGTTATTATAACAAGAGGGATGGCAATTTAAGGTTATTAGTAATATTACTTCCTAGATATCTTCAGCACCAACTGTTAGCGCTGATTACATAACTTCTACACCCCGTTATGCGAATTAACCGCACAACGGGTCTGCGTTGATCGGTCGCCACAGCACGTACTACTATGACCTAATGGGCTCGGATGCCCCGCACCGGAATACAGTGCTCCATGTGGGAGCGTGACGGCGATGGAGGGGCAATGACGAGACAAATAATACTCTTCTGTTACGCCATATACGTCTCCCTTCCCTCTTCCTTTCCTCCTCCGTCATCATCACAACTCCAATTCTCTCTCTCACTTTTTCTTCTCCAATACCGTTAAAATTACTTCCACATCAGTCAACATGTCGACTTCTCTTGACCAGCTCAAGGCCTCCGGCACGGTATGTTCATGATCCCCTTCCCCCACTACTGCTGCTACTGCCCCTCCTTGGTTCCCGGGAGAGGAGGGGCAAGAGGAGAGCTCGGGGTGGTGAAAGCTCTCGCGGACTCTCCCCTCCCGTTCCGGCGTTTCCGGATCACCAAGAATCGCACTCTTCGTGACCCTCGTAGACTCCCTTGGATGGAGGGGGGATCTCCTTGACTTCAGCTGGTTCATTGAGAAGAAGAGGATACTGACGTCGTGGGTTTTCCTGCTTGAATAGACCGTCGTCGCCGATTCTGGTAAATTCCCTCAACAACCCTCATACTCGTCTCATGACATTTTGCTAACCTGCTCCGTCTCACAGGTGACTTTGCCAGTCAGTACCCCCCACCCAATCAAGATAACAACCACACTACTCTTCACCTCTGCCCTCGACCTCACCAAGCCTAGCGTACCACTTGTTCTTTGATTGACAGCCAAGCTAACCCCTCGCAACAGCCATTGGAAAGTACAAGCCCCAGGATGCCACCACCAACCCTTCCCTGATCCTGGCTGCCTCCAAGAAGGCCGAGTACGCCAAGCTCATCGACGGTGCCACCTCCTGGGCCAAGACCCAGGGTGGCGACGCCGACGCCCAGGTCGATGCTGCCCTCGACCGTCTCCTCGTCGAGTTCGGAAAGGAGATCCTCAAGATCATCCCCGGCAAGGTCTCTACTGAGGTCGATGCCCGCTTCTCCTTCGACACCAAGGCCTCGGTCGACAAGGCTCTCCGCATCATCAAGGTGCGTTACCCCCCCCCCATCAATCACGTGATAATGCACATCCGCAGGACTGACATCAATTCCCCCCCCAAAACAGCTCTACGCTGATGAGGGCATCTCCAAGGACCGTATCCTGATCAAGATTGCCTCCACCTGGGAGGGCATCAAGGCTGCCGAGATCCTCCAGCGCGACCACGGCATCAACACCAACCTCACCCTCATGTTCTCCCCCACCCAGGCTATCACTGCCGCCGAGGCTGGCGCCTACCTCATCTCTCCCTTCGTCGGCCGCATCCTTGACTGGTTCAAGGCCTCGACCAAGAAGGAGTACTCCAAGGAGGAGGACCCTGGTGTGTCCTCTGTCAAGTCCATCTTCAACTACTACAAGAAGTACGGCTACAAGACCATTGTTATGGGTGCCTCTTTCCGTAACATTGGCGAGATCACCGAGCTCGCCGGCTGCGACTACCTGACCATCTCGGTACGTTTACTTCCCTCATTCCATCTGTCGTGTCTTGTCCTGGTTATGAACCGTACACGAACGTGAAATTTCTTAGAATGTAAACTAATATTTATTTTTCAATAGCCTAACCTGCTCGAGGAGCTCGTCAACTCCACCGAGGCCGTCCCCAAGAAGCTCGACGCTTCCCAGGCCGCCTCCCTAGACATTCCCAGGAAGTCGTACATCAACGACGAGGCCCTGTTCCGCTTCGACTTCAACGAGGACCAGATGGCCGTCGAGAAGCTCCGTGAGGGTATCAGCAAGTTCGCTGCCGACGCCGAGACCCTCAAGGCTATCCTTAAGCAGAAGATCACTGCTTAAGTGCACAATGCGCGACATGTTTTGAGACAACATGTCAAAAGAAAAAAAAAAGATAACAGCAAAATATAATAAAAACATACCACACATATTTCGTACCAAGTCATATATGACTTGGTCATTCGCTCTTTTTTTTAAAAATTATTATTTCTTTTCGTTACCAACACATGCGACTCCCTACCCCTCCTTTCTTTGTCGAACGATCTCGGACGAGGGGCAGCTTGGTTGAGCTACTGTGGAACAAAATTGTCTATTTATAGAAGGACCCTCATAGGTGGTGCTGAATGACAAGATGACTATTACGGGCTAGACCCGAGACCCTTGATGTGATGCATGCAATGTTTTTTTGCGACATATTACGGCCTTACAAGTCAGATACTTGATTCCTCAAAATGGTGTTGCCAATTGGCAATCCGGGTCCACCCTGGGCATCCTTACGAACCCTACCAAGCAAAACCTACGATCATCGCGACACACATCCTACAAACTCCTTTTCAAGCCTTAGTCCGCACCCCCAAGGCAGCATCAGCCACACCGCATTCTGCAACCTCCCGCACAAACAACCCTTACACCTGACATGTCCAAGGATCGGTCTTTAAAGGGTTACTCGTACTTTATACAATGAAGTAAAAACCATGGAGATGCGTCGGTTAAATCTTCTACCGGCCCGGGGTATTATGTCCCATATCTCCCGACCTCCCCACCAACTTCACCAGCCTCACTACGTTGTTACGCCACGGGCATCTTCTGTTGAGACGAAGATTTACCGACATCCCCGCTTACAGGTAATCGAACGTCGTCCGCATCGCAGAGGATAGCCTAGTTAAGCTGTATCTAGGCCGTGCTTTCTTTTTTTTCGTTTTTGGTGAAATCTGATCCATCGTAATTTGTTATTCTTACCCTTCCTTCTTGGTGTACATTTAATACATTGAGTCTCATGGTATATTCTTGACACTTCCCGAAACATTCACTCATGGCTCAGTCCTCCACGGCCACCATTGGCAGCTCCGTTGAGCTTCGACAGCTGCCGGCGGCTGTGGTCGGGGGAACAGGGTCTCGCCGTTTCAGTAACGAAATACGACGTCTTGGGTCCAACGACAACGACAATAGCAACATCGGCGTTGTAGGGCTCAAAGACATTGCCGAACACACAGCTCCCGTCGACCTAGTCGAGACGTGGAAGTATCCCCGTCAAAACATATTCAAGACGGGTGCGACGTTTTGGAGTCTGTTGGTTACCGGGGCCAATGATGCCGCCTACGGTGTAAGTCGCCCAGCACCTCTTCTCTCTCCCTCTCCCTCTCTTCTCTCATCTTCTTCTCGATGAGGAGCAGCAATCGATCTCAATCCGACGATTGGATGTTTCACAGGCATTGGTCCCATATGTACGCCATCCCAACCACCAGTCAGAGCCGCGGGAGCCTGCTAACACTCAGTAGCTCGAATCGTATTACGACCTTAGCTACGTCGTCGTCTCGCTCATCTTCCTCTCCCCATTTGTCGGGTACATCCTCGCGGCCAGCCTCAACAACACGCTCCACGTGCGCATCGGACAGCGCGGCATCGGCGTATCGTGCGGCCTCTGCCACTTCGTCGCCTACGTCATCATCTCCCAGCACCCCGCTTACCCAGCGTTGGTGATCGCCTACGCCCTGGCAGGGTTTGGGAACGGCGTATCCGACGCGGCGTGGAACGCGTGGGTGGGCAGCCTGGACAGGGCCAACGAGGTTCTCGGCCTACTACACGCCTTCTACGGCATCGGCGGCACCACGAGTCCGCTTATTGCGACGAGCATGATTGCCCGGGCTGGCCTACCCTGGTACAAGTTCTACTACATCATGGTATTTCCACCTTTGACCTTGACGACTCCTCTGTGTGACTTGCCCGGGTTGACATTTTTTTTCTTCAAAAAATGAACAAAAAAAACACAACAGATTAGCATGTCTGCTGTCGAGCTGGTGAGCTGCACATGGGCCTTCTGGCACGACAGCCCCGAAGCGTACCGCCGCAAGATGCGGGCCAGCAGCGAGGACAGCGCGGGCATGAGGGAGGCGCTGTTCCGGATGCCCTACGCGCGCGTCACCTGGCTCAGCGCCCTGTTTCTCCTCGGCTACGTGGGTGTGGAGGTGTCCCTGGGCGGCTGGGTGGTGCAGTTCATGATGCGCGTGCGCAAAGCCGAGGCGTTCCCGGCGGGCATGACCTCTGTCGGATTCTGGCTCGGTCTGACGGTCGGCCGCGCCGTGCTAGGGTTCGTGACGCCCACCCTGGGCGTCAAGGTCGCCGTAGCCATGTACCTCCCCGCCACCATGGCTCTCGAACTGGTCTTCTGGCTCGTGCCGCGGTTCACCGTGTCGGCCGTTGCGGTCGCGCTGCAGGGCTTCTTCCTGGGGCCGCTGTTCCCGGCCGTCGTGGTCATCATCACCAAGCTGCTGCCCAGGCATCTCCACGTCAGCACTATCGGGTTCGCGGCGGCGTTTGGGGGCAGCGGCGCCGCGGTTCTGCCGTTTGCTGTCGGTGCCATTGCTCAGGCTAGGGGGGTGCAGATCTTGCAGCCGATTATTCTGGCGTTTTTAGCCATGCTGCTCGGTGTCTGGCTTTGTCTGCCCAGGATCGGGAAGAAGAGGGATTAGTGTGCCTTGTGCTGCTGGGGCCAGATCTGTCTTGTTCAGTGGAAGGAGGCGGGTCGCCGGGCACAAGAGTACCATATATATACTACAATGCATTTCGCTGTATACGGCGTAATAAGAAAAAGACAAGAAGGGAAATAGATATCGCTGGGTTTCTCTTGATGTAGAGATATGGCATGGTATTTACGTGAAATGTATCTATGTACATTCTATGTGAAAATGACATAATTTTCCACGACGAGTGGTGGCTATTCTCACTCAACGGCGTAGAGACCGGATCCCTTCGAAAGGCTAGTCGAATTCCGACCATTGGCCTACGTCTAAGAGCTTGGTGGCAACGTAGCTGTGTACATGTACTGATTCGATTTAAAGATGACTGATAAGAACCCTATGCTTTTTCCTTGTTCTCTTCTTCACTTACCGAACTGCCTGTTGCCTGCTTCATCCATGCTGTGCTTGTTCTTGATGCCCTCGTGGTATCATTACTATGGCAAGACAGCAACTCTTTCTCCCCCACGCCGCGCTGGTACCCAAGACCCGACGCACGGTACCTCCGTTATGGTGTAGCGGCTAGCATTTCACGTTTTCACCGTGAAGACCGGGGTTCGATTCCCCGTAACGGAGAAACAGTGGTTTCCTTTCTTTTTGTCCCCCCCTCCTTATCTTTTCTCCTCTCTTCCTCATTCTTATGCTCAGAGGAAGTGGACATGTGACGTCGAATACGGTGCAAGACTAACAAGACGGCCACGGTTGGGCGAGTGCCGCCGTAAGGCGCGTTCATGCAGTATTAATCATATATGTATGATGCGAAGAGCCATTACTAAAGGGAAGGAAGCCTACGGTGTTTATCTACTGTTGCTAATGCTGCTACTAGTAGGAGTACTGCGTGCGAGTCATCGTATCACCCATTCAACATTTCAGTCAAAATAGCGATAGCAATAGTAGCAATACCCATAACTGCCATTATTGCCACTATCATGGTCAGGGGTTATTCCCGTGTGAAGAATCAAGAATCAAGTCTTGTCTCGGTCTGATTTTGGTCAATCGGGAAGGAGGCATGGAAGGATGGTCACAAGTTGGCGATGACGGCTGACCGCCAGGAACAAAGCAGCAATGATCGTCTACCGCGACTTCTACCGTTTGACAGAGAGAATGCGGTTCAACTTACGATCCCTCATCATTTTTCTTCCTTACAAGATCCAACCTTCATCGTTCAAGTTCCAACGCGAATAAGACAGGAAGAGTGCGTGCCTGTCATGTGACCTACCTCATCACTACCATGTCCTTCATGTCAATATATTGAGCTCTCCCCACCATCCGCCAAATCTGAATCGCGGACTCGGTTCCTAGCGTATCAAGGACAGAAAACTAGGCGGCTGCGTCTCCTAGACATTACTATACCAAAGATGATAGGATGCGTGTCTATCCAACACCTTCCAACTCATAGACACCACTCTGACTTCCCTGGGCACGCTCAACAGGACATTGACGATGCCAAGAACCTCAGCATAAATGCCTTTGTCCTCGAGCTCAGTGATGCCGCTCTTGACATGGTGACGGGGTCGCCGGACCACCTCTTCACCCACCCTGGGTTGTCAGGGTCCAAGCTTTTCATCTCCATGGATCTGCTCGCCTCCGAAGGCAATTTCTGGTGCTGGCGAAAGCTTCAACGGCTCCGACGACTACCAGTGGACCTGGGGCAAGGACAAGGCCAGCTCGTCCTACTACAAGGTGGACGGCAAGGCCCTGATCAGCACCTTCTCTTCCGGCGGCTTCGATAGTGACCGGTGAAGCAACCTGGAGGAATAACCTGGGCAATGACCTGTACTTCGCGCCCGACTTTGACGGCACCGACGGCTACTACGATGGGGCTGATGGCTGGTGAGACTACCTGGGTCCCGTCGTTGACGGTGTCCTTTAGTTGGGAGGGTTCCTGGCCTGGAAACGGCGGCAACAGCGGCACGCCTTCCACGCGCGACGTTGGCCTAGATACGACCGTGGAACGACGGTCCCGAGTCGCACTGCATTGGCTCGTCGTGGACTGAGGCCAACTCGAACCCGGAGCCCACCCTCTATTGCCACCCATAACAGATGGGGCCAGCGTGTCCTCGTCATGGATCCCTCGGGCAACGTCGTCATGACAGCCTCTAGCGGCATGTGTGTCTCCGACGATTTGCCCCAACGGTATTCACAACAGCAATTACCAGGTGCTCCGTCTCACCGAGGACAATGCTGACGCTATCTGCGAGAGCTGGTAGAGACGGACAAGCACAATGGCTCGAGAAGCCGGCGAGTATTGAGGCGGATCTAGTCAAACCGTTGTTTGGATAATCATCGTGAGATGTTGTATATATGTAAGAATAGAGGTATAAAGATACAAGAGATGATTTTTGTGGTAATGTCATGGTGATACAAATATGCTAGGCATGCTAACGCCCATCCCCCCTGTATATAAAAAAGACCCCCAAAAAAAAAGCAGAAGAGTATCATCCCAATAAAGCCGTTGCAAGAAGGCCGCTCCAAGAAATCAAAGACCAGATGCTGAGCGAAAGGCAAAGCTAAAAGGGCGGGACCATGTGAAAACAAAGAAAATAGGAATAGGATATAAGCTCGTCTTTTCTTCCTCCTCCTTCCTTCTGCCGATAGTTTCAGGGAGAAGGTTTCGTGCACTCGACCTGGAGGACGGTATGCTTGAAGCCCTTGCCGAAGGGGTCAGCCTCGACAATGAGGGCGCTCAGGCTGCCACCCTTGACGCATCCCGAGTCGATACCGATTGTGTAGTCGGTCTCGACGTAGCCGGTCCTAGAATCGTGGCCGTAGATGACGGACAGGCGGTCCTCGCGGGGGAGACGCTTCTGGTAGGCGGTCCAGGCCTCGGCCCACTTCTCGCCGTGGGCGCTGTCGGACGGGATGGCGACCTGACGATCGTACGTGATCTCCGAGGTGTCGATGTAGTTTTCGTCATCCTCGGGGGCGGTGGGCGACACCTCGTCCTCCGCGCCGTCGACCATCTCCTGGAGGGATTCTAGGGTAGGCTCGTCGGAGGGTACAGCGTCGACGGCAGTTGCGGTGGGAGGAGAGTCCTTCCTGGCTGTGGCAATGCCGGCCTCGGGGTCGGCGACGGAGTCGAACCTGGGCAGGACGGCGGGGTGTTCGCCCGCCTTGGAGCGCAGGTTGACACGCGGGTAGCTGACGGTGCGCATGTTCATTACGGCGGCCGGATCCTGGAGCTCGAGGGGGGTCCCGGGGAGGAGGCCGGCGTGGACGACGGCGAGCCTGAGGGGCTCTATGGTGAGGATGACGGGCAGGCTGTCGAGCCAGTCGAGCTGGTCGGGGGAGAGGGTGCGGGCGAGCTCGACGTAGTCGGACTGGCCGCGGTGGGCGGCGGCAGCCAGGGAGCCCTGCTGGGCGTCTATGTCGGCGGCGACGCCGCGGCGGGACTCGGCCTCGCGGTGGGTGAGGAGGAGGCGGTCCTCGTGATTGCCGCGGACGACCGTGGCGTTGAGACTCATGAGGCGGTCCACGACGGCGGCCGAGTCCGGGCCCTTGCCTACCACGTCGCCCGTGGCAACTATGTGGTCCTTCCCTCCGGGGCCAGAGTACCCCACGCTCTGTAGCAGGGCGGACAGCGCCTCGTCCATGCCGTGGATGTCGCTCACGACGATCAGGCGGTGGCCGTTGGTCTCGGTGGGCACGTACTCACCCCGCAGGGCTTGGGTGGTCACCAGGTCGTCCAGGGCAGGGCGCCCGCTCAGGTCGTACACCATCGGTAGGTCGGCATGGTTGAGCTTGACGTCGTGGTAAGATGTTATAGGGGGTCCTCGGTCGTCGTCGTCGTCGTCGTCGCTGCCAGAGGACCACGATAGTGGTGAGTTCCCGCCATTGCTGCTGGAGCCGACGGATTGCCGCGAGAAGGAGGCCGATACGAGCCGGTATGTGCAGTAGTATACGCTTCCTAGGAAGAAGAAGGTGGCGGCGAAGACGAGAAGGCGTCTTTGCGCCGAGGATATTGTGCCGAATATCATTCTTTTGTGTGTATGTGTGTGTGCTGTGTGTGCAGCGAGGAGGAACGGGAGAGGAGGGAAGGAAAAGATTAGGAGGGGAGGGGGGGGGGGGCAGATCCCCGTGGCAAACTCGAGCTGTTGTTGTATTTACAGTGACGTTTTTTTGCAGAGTTTCGTCACTTTATCATAGCGTGGGTGGTGGTGGTGACTATGACGGAGAGTGATGACGACGGTGCGACAATTGAAGAAGCCTTGGAAGGTGAAAGGAAGCTAGGCTGGGGTTGGGGTTGGGGACCAAAGATCAAACCGTTGTGCAAGCGTGTCTTGGATGTAAAGAAGAGACGAGAGATGTTGTGTATTTCATCCTTCTTCTTCTTCTTCTTCTTCTTCTTCTTTTTCTCCACTCAGTACGAATCAAAAACTGAGACAAGAAAAAGAAAAGAAAGGAGGAAGATGGGGGGGGGCACGCGACCGGAAGTTGTGCAGAGTGGTGAGAGCAACAAACAAAATTGGGTGCTGGCGGATTTAACGCGTGGCCCAGTGTCGCATACGAACCACTGTATATATAATAATAATACCAAACGTATACACCGTAATCGTATGTACCTGTCTAGTATTAGCATTCGATATCGGCTTACTACGTATGGGTCGATGGCAGCCAACGGTCTAACGTACATACATTAGTAACAATGGGGTATCTATCTATATTGCTGCTTCGTTGGTTGCACTGGCTACAAGGCGGTAGTACATGATACGGCAGGTAAAGGAAGAATACGCTGTATGACAGTCTTAGCAGTGTTAGTATCTGTATTACTACTGCATGTATCCGTACCTCTATTCCTGTATGTATCAATACACTAAGTCCGCATGCAAGTCGTCGTAATACAGAGTTGACGAGGCATAATCCCCAAGGGGTTGCCACTCCTATTGGGCGTTGAAGAAAGGTGACCAAGGATATGGCTGATGTTAAGCCCGATACGGTAAAACGGCACCAAGCGCCATGCAATTTCCAATACGGGAACTCAGTCTGTGCCGCGACGTTAGTTACGTATAGTTTTGTAGTTCGGGACACTGAAGGCGTGGCCACTTGCGTCAGCCTTTGGCAATCTCCTATTATCTGTTTGCGTCAGTGATTCTTCATCTGGTGTTTTTTGCCTCTCTCTTTTTTTTCTTTTTTCTTTTTTACTTCTCAACCTTACACACACAAACACACACACACACACACGCACATATAAATCATATGACAATTGATGACAGTGGATAGTCGGGGACAGTTTGACTACTTAAGAACCAAGTTTGACAAGTTAGGGGTCAATCTCCATTAATTGGCTCGGACCTCTCGGTTCTGCTACCCTGCAACCGTCGTTACGGATCTCGTCAAGGGATCTCGGCACACGGCACCGCTGCCTACGTATTCGCTACAGAGTGAGTGCGTAGTCTGTACGAGCACAGAGTGACTATTGATTACAGAGCAAGGAGTACCCGTACTATATACTTGTGCTGCAACACGGGGTCTCGAGTCACTCCCATACTTGCTCCCCTTTCGTCTCTGTTTCTCCTCGTTTCTCTACTGTCGTCTATTGAAGATGCTGATAGACTTGCCAAGTGTTAGCAGCTGCTACTGCTGCTGCTAGTACTCCGTAATATACAACTAGTACCATCGAACTGTGGCCAAGACTTCTTAGGGCCAAACCGGGCTCGTCATCGGCACTCTTATCCCGACCGCATGCCTCCCTTGAGTCCCTTCTCCTTCCCTGTTGCCGCCGTGCCGGAGAGCCGACATCTGAAATGTTACATGTAATAACAGTAAAACGTATTTCGTATGTCGCAGCCGGGGATCCTGCTTTCTGATTCCTCCAATTTCCAATCACGTGCCACCACCGTGGCGAAACGCCCAACCCCACCTTTGTGGCTCTAGATGTGATGGTATTATCTAATCTGTACTGATTGCACCGTCTTAGTTGCGCTCCATGGAGCCTCTGTCCAGCTCCCTTCATGATCCTGTGGCATCGATTATGGGCTGCGACGTCACCCGTCATACCCTGTGCCTGTGCTGCTTGCGGGGAGTATCGGTAGTGATGTGACTCGTGCGCTGCCTGCCCGCCCATGGAAAGGCCGTCAAGACCTTTGCACTGTTGGAGTTCACCTCGATGATAGAATGCGCGACCTTTTCTTTTCCTCTATGCCCCTGTTCAGAACTACCAATCCATGGCCATTTCGGTTAACAATCACGTCACGTGTCTTTGTAGACAAATGCCCTGAAAATGGCAGTCCTTGGGTCGGTTCCTAGCACCCATGCTGAATGAACGCGGGTACTTGAAAAGATCTGCCATCAACCCTGTCATAACCTACACCACGTAGGGGGTGGTACCCGAGATTGTATGACTAAGCAGACAGAGGCTGCTGCCACGCTCACATCTGTAAATAGCCTCATAGATGGATTTCCGTTCCTTTTGAACGATCAATCAAGCACTAAGACACACATTCATCCACACAGGACGTACCAGTAGGCAGAGACCACTGTATTCACGTCTACGGGCCATCGTGTGTCGTCGCCAGCAGGAACCACGAGGGCGATGCGAGGGCCAAGTACTCTTCGAGATTGGCTCGGCTAAGATGATAGAGGCGTTGACTCTTGATAGAACGCGGGGTATCTTCCTTTGCCCGCCTAGCCAAGGACAGCTATGTGCCGACCGCCCCCCTGGACAAGGGAGCACAAGAATTCTTGTCTCTCGCAACCAGAATGGTGAGCCATGACGAACATTGCGATGATCGCTGGAAGAAAGAAAGAAAAAAACAGGAGATACGCGGCCCCTGTCTACCGTTATTCTTGACGCAAAGCAAAAGGAGCCCCCTCGTGAGTGATCCCGAAAGACTTCCTACGCCCTCAGACCAGACGCCGGTATGCCGAAGGTTCGATTCCATATTACAAACGAGTTTACCTTCTACATGACCCACCCGGAACCGGAAAGACCAGCTTCAGCCTGTCAGTTGCAGGCGAACTGGGCGTAGACATCTACGTCGTCAGCATCCCCAAGGAGATCTACTGTGCGTGGGATGGTGCGTTGCATAGATGATAGAGCCAACAGATCGTCTTGACACAAGGTCACACAACCACTCACTTTCCACCATCCCTGACATCAACCAGAGTACCCTGTACCGAGAGGCGACTTGCTACGGACTCAGGACTTCTCTGTTCTAAAGTGTCTCTCGCCTAGAAGAAAAGGCAAAGAAAGGGACGGATCGCGGAGGCGGCGAGATTGGTGACTGGTGTGTCCCAAAGCGTGGCCGAGTGCTATGGTTAGTAATGTTATGCACGAACTTGGGTCGTGAAATGGCTGGCCCGTTTAAACATGCCCACGCAGATTGGCACCAGTCACTAATCTCGCCTTGCTCCTGGGTGTGGCTTTAGTCTGACTGTCTGATTGGCGCATGAGATACGGGGACCGGAATAAGTTGCATCCATCTCGGCAACTACGAGTTGGGGGGCGGGGGGGGGCTATTATCCTCACGCATGTCAATCTTGCCATAATCGTAAACCCTCTACGGAGTACCTTTCGCAACCTACCGCTTCTCTCGACGGTAGTTGATCAACCATGTCCCAAGACCCACGGGATGAGGAATTGAAAAGGCTGAAACAACTTCTTGAGGATGCAGTGCAGGCCAAAAAGATGCAGAGCGGCGCCGAGAGGAAGAGCAGCAACAACGGCGTGATGCAGAAGCCGCCGTCCTCGCGCTCCAGGAAGAACTAAGAGAAAGAGACACCGTGCAGCTCGGTACGGTTCCCAGAACTCGCCCCTCTACCAAGCCCCTCTGATAAGCTCCTCTGCTGACAGCATCAAGACCAAGATCTCCATGGATATATCCAGTGCGTCCACAACCTCAACTTTAGCCTCAGATGCCTGGCTCCTTCCCTACAAAAGTTTAGACCCCAGACGCTATCGGAGGGCGAGAGGTCTAAGGCAATAACATCTGGCCGAACAAGCATTGTAGGGAAATATTACCCGCATAAGATGCGTATATGGACCGATTTTGACGACATGTGTCGGCAATCATTTTCCCGCATTCAGGACGTCCTTGGCCATCGTCGTGTCTTCCCGTCTGTCATTAACACGCGCGCTATAGCTGGGGAGATTGAGGATGAACTCCCCCTAGAGTTTCTAGGGTTAGAGTCGTTTTTGAATGAGACGAAGACATCTCAGTTCATCCACAAGACCCTTCAGATACCCACTCGCAGGATCCTCAACGCCTACCTCGAAGCCAGTGGTCAGCAGAAGAAGGTCTTCTTTGACAACTGTACGTCTGGCTGGGCAAAGCGTTCAGTACAGACGCCTACCCCAGGCGGAGACAGCGACGAGCCCGGGGCTCAGGCTGCCGCCAGGCCGCCACCCAAGACACAGCCTGATTGCTATGTGCTTGCAACCGACACCATAGCCTCGGCTGGAGACGTGGGCGATCCGGATAACGAACCATATACATTCGACGAGGAGTTTCTAGCTAGTGGCCTCTTACACAATGTCCGCCGCATCAGTCTAGCAGAGCACAAGGCCCTCCACCGTCTACGTGCAGCAACTATGCAAAGCTACGTCGACGGTTCGATGCCCGAAGACTTTATAGTGCACTTAGCCCACGTTGCCTCTAAACGAGAGACAGGGGATGAGCAGGAAGAAACCCGCCGAGTGGAGAGCGTCCCTGGCCAGGTCTTTTACGCCCGCGCACTAACCCAAGCATTCCACTATATGGTCTCCTCAGGCGTGGAATTCGAATATATGGCCACTGGCGAAACGCTCTCCTTCCTACGGGTGCGGCCTGAAGACCCGACTACTCTTTATCACGCATGTCTCTTCCCCCAGTATGCCACTACTCCTACCGGGGCAGAGGATGATAGGCAGCTATCGGATGATAAGAGGGCCCGTCTTGCTGTGTCGATGCTCTCGTCCATCACTCTCATGGCCCTAGAAACGACGCCTAGCCGAGTGCGTCAGCGTGACTTTAATCTTTCCCAGCTAACTCGTTTCCCTCAACTACCGGCTTCTAGCACGGCAGCCTCGAGCCCGGGAGGCAGCTTGGTGTCGCGTAAGCGATATCACCGTGACGACAGTGACCGAGATAGCACTGATGACGATGACCCCGGGGATGACGACGACGACGCACGCTCTACATCAAGCAACATGGACATTCCAGCTAGAGGACGTCGCCGACGTAGCTCGCCGCTCAAGAAGCAATGGAACGCGTCGGACGCTGATGGCTCCCAGAGGCATGCGGGGGTGAAGAGAAAACGAGGAGGGCATCGACTTAAACTCACGCAGCCCCAGCCACCAGGAAAACTCGGCCTGCAGAGGTGGGACGTTAAAGGACACAAGCCAAGAAGACCGACGCTGCCTAGCCAGCGCGACCCCTCGACGTCCCGTCCTATACGGCCCTTTTGCACCCAGGGATGCCTACGTGGCCTTATACACGGCGAAGAGATGGATGCCGGTTGTCCTAACCTCCTACTGCACATACAAGCAGCACGGCGCGATTCTAAGTCCTGGCGGCCGTCAATCAAGCACGCATTGACACCTAACGAGCTCTGCGAGCTTATATAGCTACAGCTCCTATCTAACGCCGAGCAGGACTGCGACTGCTTACTAGAGCGAGGTCTAGTAGGTGCGATCGGCTGTCTTTTCAAGATAACCGTCACGGGGTATGGATATACGTTTGTAGCTAAGGGAATGGGGAGTGGAATAGCTATCGGCTACTACGCGAGGTCGACGTGTATAAGGGTCTTATAGAGCAGCAGGGATTAACGATCCCAGTATGCCTCGGCATGATGCCGCTACTCCTACCATATCCCACAACGAACGGCACACTTATAACACACATGCTTCTAATGTCGTATGCGGGTCTAGGACTACACACCCGAGCCGCCCAGCAAGTCGCCAAGATAGGCCGTGTTGACCTCGAGCGCGAGTCAGAGCGCACTCTTCAAGAGCTTAAAGCCCACGGCCTTGTCGATCGAGACGATATAAGTAACGGCAACTTGACCTGGAACCGCGAGCTACAACTTGTTATGAAGATTGATTTCGACCACGCCTCCGTCAACGGGTCCAAGGCCCTTAGTCCGGTCAGCAAGGCAAGCCCGGCAACGAGTTTCGGAAGCTCCCACTGCTCTGACGTGCCTATAGGCCGCATCAAAGCGAGACGGAGAGCATGGGACGACGGCGAGCGTGCTGAAAGCCCCTCCAGACTGCTACAAAACGCACGACGATCAGACGCTTTCATCGCCAGCCTTCTAGTTGACGCGATGGTGTGACCAATACTGCTTCTGATCGAAGTGAGGGAGAAACCCGGGTAGCTAGAAGCGCGTGCACCGGTTGGAAGCGACAACGCAGCTCGAAAGATACAGGGGGCAAATCTCCATGGGGCGGAGGAGGAAGGGCGTACGAGAAGAACGGGAGTATTGTCATACCTTTTCCGTCGTTGTATTAGTCGGGAGAGCAGAGCTCGTCCCGTGTGGTGATTTGGCAGGGACGGTGTCGGACCTGACACTATGAACGTCCGGATCGACACAAGAGCAAGACCGTGTAAGTGGAATGGCGAGGTTGTCAGTCGGTGAGGAGATATCGAGAGATCATCGAATAACGTGATGCTCATGTAAGAACGAGCACTATAAACACAACTAACTTACATGTAAAGGTAGGTTAGGTGTCATGTAGTGTTAAGGTTCTTATCTTCATTTATTGTGTAGTGCTGGATTCGATAGTTTTATGGTCGAGTCCCGCTTACCTAGGTTATGTGATGATATACTATGACAAGTATATTCAAGAAAGAGGAGGGATAGAAGCAGGTAGTAAGCAAGCTGATATTCGACGGAAGCAAACAAGAAATTGATGACAAGTATAGGCAAGTGTATATAGTGCGCGAGACGGGTGACCATGCCATCGCTGGCGGCATCGTCGGCCCCATCGCGCAGGTACTCGTAAAAGTCTTGGGGTCTGGCTTTCGGGGCGCAGCCTGCGCTCCGACGCGGACGTGAAGAGCCCCAGGCCCGAGAGGTCCTTGAACTCGCGGACTTGAGCCGTCAGTTGGTCCACGATGCGGGCATGTAGTGCCTGCTCGGCGTCGAGGAATGAGGCCGAGTGGTAGGCGCACACCCTCTTGCTCTCAATGTCGGGCAAGAGACTGGCGGGCGCGTGGTTAACGTAGCGGAAGATCTGCACCGCCAGGACCGGTAACGGCGCCTGCCAGCGCTCCTTGGGATACGCAGCCGCCGCCACCGCCATGTACAGAAGATGAGTCAGCAACATGCACAGGTTGCGGGCCTTGTTGCGCGACGCCGTTGTCATAGAAGTTGGCCGAGCTGAGAGTGCGCGAGGGCACCTTAGAGAATGACGATGAGGCGTCGTCGTTGGCAGCCATGGTGCCCTGACTGGCAAAGGCGGGGTCGCCCTCGAGGTCGTCGTATAGGTGCACGCAGATGTCGAGGTTAACAGCGTCGAGAATGTCCATGCGCAGCTTTATGAGGTGCTCCTGGCCGTTGTGCAGCGTCTCAAGCATGGGTGTGCCGGCTGGATGAGGTGCGAGAGGGCCTCACATAGGATGGACTCAAAGCCGGCGGGGGGGGGGGGGGGGGGGGGGGGGGGGGGGGGGGCGCATGCAGAGGGGGGACAGGTGGCCGTAGTCTTCGCGGGCCCTCTGGTATCAGTCGCGCGAATGGTTGATGGATATGCGGCCTGACTCGACCTTGCGTCACAGGAAGCGCCGTTCAAAGTGGACCGTGTCCTGGACGAGGATGGAGCCTAAGGGATGTGTATAAGTAGATCGACAGACCAGTACTCGTAGCTGGTACTACGGTGATAGAAACGGCAACATCTACGAGTAATCTTATGCACTGCGAGTCCCCCTTGACGGCCTTCTTTCAGCTGGAGAGGGGCAACCTAAGGAGCTCGTATTCAATCAAGAAGCAGGGAACACGTGGCCGCTGTATGCGATAGAGGACAGCGGTTTCGTAGACTACCGTCCCACTGATAGTCATCAACTTGGCCACCCCTTTCTCGGGCAGCGAGCATAAGTCAACATGACCATTGTACAGCGGCACGGATGCCACCGCCAAGCCAGCCTTAATGTCCTTAGGAGAGATTTGCGTGTTATCTGCTCAAGAAGTGTAACCGCTTACCAGTGGGGATGACTGTCAAAATGTCGAGCTCGTTCTCACATGGCCGCAAACCCCCGGGAGTTGACGCGTCAGTTCCGCTCCGAGCTCTACGAGGACGCTAGTAACAAAGATTCACGTGCCGGATCTTGACCACAACCTCTACCCGACTCTGGGACATACAGGCTGGTGGGATCGAGGGCTTGAGCTCTAAACGGTGGTAGTGGCAACGGCAGTTGCGGCCTTGCTATCAGGGGCTGGAGTCTGGGAGGGACTGCCGGATGGCGAGGGGGAACAAAACATCACAAGAGGCGACGGGATCACAGGCTCAGCTAGATATAGTGATACCTTGATCACGTTAAATTGCCTACCCTCGGGACTAAGCCACCTGATGACAAGACGTAGGACCGATGACATGTTAGTCGATAGGTACAAGAGCCTCCAGCTCCCAAGAAGAGGCACCGTCTGCATATGCTGCATCGGTAACCGACGAGTCTCACAGAGCTACCTCTCATCACAATGGCCTGTCTCACCATGTTCGCCGATGTGAGTTCTCCCTCTCCCTACAAAACATCTACACTGCTAACCCCATAAACACGCCTTTTCCGTCCATCCCACTGTTCCTGTCCATGGCAGGATATACCTTCTGCGCTCAGTTATCGGGCTCACTATCCTTGCGCAGTGTGTCACTGTTGGCATCGGGATATGCTATATGCTCCGGGACGAGACTGAATGGGTCTGGGGTTGCCTCGCCTTACCTCGCTTCGTCTGTATGGTGACTGTATCCTGTTCGCTGCGCATTGCGATGCAAAAAAAAAAAAAAAAGGGTTTGAATGAGAAAATGGCTTCCACTGGCAGTATGGGACGTGGGAAGCACGATGCCCGTGGTTGTCATAGCCGGCTCCATCTTACACATCGTCCCAAGAGAGTCCGCGGGCTCATTACCAAGGCCCCAACGTTGATACGACGGTCTAGACGGTAGGCGCAGGTCAGACAGACAGTGAGTGGTATTACCAAATTCTCCGGACCCCCTCCCAGAGGGTATATACTACGCTGGTGACGACCATGTCCGATGGTCGTATCAGCACAACCCAGAAAAGGAGGGCTCAAGCAACTTGGTTCAAGCAACTCGGCATTCTCAGCCTCGGCTCGATACGTATTCATGCCTAGACCTCTCTCTGCTTTCTTCTCTCACCTTCTTCCCAATTCCTGTATCCAGCTTCGGCACGGGACTTTCGCGAGGCGCCTATCAGTAGTCATGTCAATTATTATACTCGTACAGTCAACATCTCGTTCTTTCCACTATATTCCAGAGTAAATTGTACATGTGATATATCCTACAGATATGGTCTCGTCCACGGCAGGCCACGAAAAGAAAAGAAAAAAGGGCCAGAAGAGAAGAGGGAAAAAAGCTATGCAAGATGGAAAACAACATATTTAAGACAACCCAACGCCAACTCCATGCCACACGTACAGCACTGCACCCATAGAGTCTCATCTTCACTTTGAGCCATTCTGTTGCTGTTGCTGCGCCTGCTGCTGCCGCATAAGCTCGGCCTGGTAGTTCTCATTCTCAATATCCCTCCAGTCCTTGGGTATGGGCTCGTTGCCGCTCGTCTCCTTGACGCCGCCGGCGAAGGCCGCCTTGCCGGCGTAGAGCTGGTATCCCTTGCCGGCGGCGCCCTCGGTCGACTCGAGCGCCCGGTACGTGACAGGCATGTTTCCTCGGAACCGCTTGCGCATGTCCACCAGCCCGCGCTTGCACTCGCCGTAACCCTTCTTGAGCTGCCGGCACTCGAGGGGCAGCGTGTCGACCAGGGGTTCGCGGAGGCAGTCGGCCGCCGAGTTGCGGTGCACCATGACGCAGTCGGATTGCTGGAGGCACGCAGCCAGCGCGTCGCCTAGTCTCGATGTCAGACACATACGCATTGGGGGTAGGCGAACGATGGGGAGGAAGAAAAAGAAATGACCTACGCAATTCCTGACATGAGCTGGGCATCTTGGGGAGGAGGACAGGCGACGGACAGATCAATGCTGGTTGGCAATATAATCAATCGTCGAAGCTGGGTAAGGGACCACGCGGGAAATCAATCCTCAGCCGATTTTTCTGACGAGCGTAATTGGTCAGCAAAAGAAAAGAAAAGACAAGGAAAGTCTACAAGGCTTCAGTGGCGTAGATCAAGTGTGGCTGTTGTGGAAATCAACAAAATCGTGGCTTGAAGAAAATAAAATAAAAAATAAACAGTCAATAAGATGTTTGACTTACGAGTACGGCGACGGTACGGAGTATCATTACCTCCACGTAGAGGCTCCACGTAGAGGCTCCACATAGAGGCTCCACATAGAGGCTAGTAGTAATTCGGAGTCTCGTAAGCATGTGACATCAATCTACCTTCTCACCTTCTCACCCCCCTCCGACTCTTCTAGCCTCCCTCCTTCTGATGCCATCAACCAAGAGGGGAAAGGGAGAGAAAGAGATAACGAAAAAAAAAAGATACACAGATCCAGACATGGCACCGGAATCATTGTCACACCTCACCGTTTAACCCTTTACTGTCCCTCGCGCTGCGCATCAGACCTGGTTGGCTCTACCGGTCGTCATGCCTGTCCCATTCCTCGGGAGACTACACCCGTGAGTTCCCCAATTTGCGACAAGAAGGTCGCACACTACCCGTTGACGATGTCGTCGTCATCGTAACCTCCCCTCCCTCCTGCCCTCCCCCCCCCCCCCCCCCCCCCCCCCCCCCCCCCTCCTCCCCCGGGACTTAAACTGACATTTATCGTTCGAACTGGTAGCACTGAGTACTTTGCTCTTGTGGGGTCATTTCTCCTCGTCGGTCTCGAGGCCATTATCCGCGTCTTGACACTAGCTCTGCGTAAGTACATGGGGAAGAACAAGTCCGGGCGAGACATGTATGCATCCGCGGCACGTGCTGACACACAGCGTATTCCAGCCAGCTTTCTCGTCAACCTCTTCTACCGAGCTTCACGACGCCTATTCAACTACTTGACCGCGTCTGCGCAGGCCAGGGCTTCAAAGAAGAAGAAATGTAACGCTTACCCAACACGAAACACCCCCTCCCCCCCTTTCCGAAATGCGCGAGTGCGCGCGGCGCTGACCATTGATCTCTCTCACAGCCGCTGCGTCGTCGATCCGCGATGCTGCCGACTTCGTCGAGCTATGCCGTGTCTGGGGCTACGAGGCAGAAGAGCATATAGTCCAGACAAAGGACGGCTTTCTCCTCGGTGTCCATCGTCTCCAGTGGAGGAGGGGAGAGGAAAGCCAGGCCGTCAACAGCGGGCCTGGCAGCATCAAGAAGAGGGTCGCTTACCTCCATCACGGACTGTTGATGAACTCGGAGGTCTGGGTCTGCATGACGGATGAGCAGCGATGCCTTCCCTTCAAGCTGGTCGAGAGAGGATTCGATGTCTGGGTCAGGACCTCCATGAGCCTTCATACTCACATATATATACCGCCTCCCCCCCCCCCTAAGTGCATAAAAGCTAACTCGAGATTCTATATGGTAGCTGGGCAATAATCGCGGAAACAAGTACTCGAAGAAGTCGATACACGCCTCACCGACGTCGGTCGAGTTCTGGGACTTCTCCATCGACGAATTCGCCTTCCACGACATCCCCAACACGATAGAGTACATTCTGGACACGACGCAGCAGGCGAGCCTGTCGTACATTGGCTTCTCGCAGGGGACGGCGCAGGCGTTCGCGACGCTTGCGATCCACCCGACGCTGAACCAAAAGGTCAACGTCTTCATCGCGCTGGCACCGGCCATGGCGCCGGCTGGCCTGTCCAACGGCGTGGTGGACTCGCTGATCAAGGCGTCCCCGCAGGTGCTGTTTCTGCTGTTCGGGCGGCGGTCGATCCTCAGCTCGGCGACCATGTGGGAGACGCTCCTGTACCCCCCGCTGTTCTGCCGACTGATCGACATGGGGCTCTCGTTCCTCTTCAACTGGGACACGGCCAACATATCCGCGAGTCAGAAGCTGGCAGCCTACCCACACCTGTACTCGTTCACGAGCACCAAGAGTGTGGTGCACTGGTTCCAGATCATCCGCAACAAGTCGTTTCAGATGTACGACGACGACGTATACCAGCCCATGAGCGTCACCTCTCCGCACAAGTTCTCCAAGGTGGCCAAGTACCCCACGCGCAACATCCGCACCCCCGTCGTCCTCATCTATGGTGGCTCAGACTCCCTCGTCGACATCAGGGCAATGCTCCGCGAGCTGCCCGCCCAGACTGTCGCCACCGAGATCCCCCACTACGAGCACCTCGACTTCCTCTGGGCCCGCGACGTCGACCGCCAGGTCTTCCAGCACGTCTTCGACGCCCTCGACAGCTTCACCGACGCCACCCACTCCAAGGAGGAGTACGACCGCTACTACGCCGTCCGTCACCACAGCCTGGTCGGCTCCGCCCGCCCCACGCCCTCGGCCCTCGGCATCGTCACCGACCGGGTCGGCAGCTCCTCCCCCGGGGACCCTCCCCACCCGCCTTCCTCTCCCGACCCCCAGATCAGGCAGCATATCGCCCGCGAGCAGATCGCCAGGCTCATCCGGGACAGGCAAGCCTCCTTCGACAGCCTCTCTCACCCGTCAAGCGACACCGACGACGTCCCCGCCACCACCACCGCCGTCGCTGCTGTTGCCGCTGAACCTTCATCCACCGAGCCCCTCGTCATCTCTTAAGTCTCTGGATGGCACCGTCAGGAAAGGGTGCCCTCTGTATTCACCGAGAGTGAAAAGGACTCTTACCATACCATATGCACCCCGTCTCCTTCATTTTATCTCTTTGTCAATAGTAACTGTATTAGTCGTGATATTCAACTGTACCTTCCCAAATCCTCTTTTCTGTATCCTTACCTTGTATAGACAGGACAGGGACCGTGGCTTGATACGTGTTACGTATCACACAATGCATTATTATACAAAACATCAATGAATCCATTCCCATACTCTACCTACGCGCTGTTCTTCACATGAAATATGATATGCACGCAAGGATTGAATTGAAAAAATAAATAAATATCAAACAAGAAATGGTGTTCAAGGTACTCCCATAGAACGGTGATATCGAAGAAAGGATTGAAAGAGAGGAGAGAAGAGTCTTGAGGTTCTCTTCTCGTCCCTGCCCCTCCCTTTCTTCTCTCTCTTGATATCTGTTTTCTTCGACTTTTCGCATGCTGCACCCAAACTAACGATGCTTCTCTTCTTTTTTTCTCTGCTCACAGGGCCGACAATTTCACTCCGATAAAAGGGGATAATATGCTCCTGGGTAATAATACTGACGAGACGAGATACCTGTCCATGACGCCGTTCTCTCGGGACGCCCGGTATGATGAAGGACAAGAGTTGCAGGCGGAAATAAGGGAAAATGCTGTAATTGTATAGGACAGAGAAAAGAAATAATAAGAAAATAAAGGATGAATATCTGAGGGTGGTTTCCATGCCAATTTTCCCAAATGTGCAATGGGTGGACATGCGGAGGGGGTATGCTCATCTCAATACCATGTATGCCGTGTGGCAAGAGGGTCGGGGTAGAAGGAGGAGGGGCCTACGAAGGGAGCAGGGGGGGGGGGGTTCGGTGATTGCAAGTCAGATGCTCACGTCTCCCAAGGGCAGGATCTTGGATGGATCCTTGTGGAACTGTGCCCGATAGTCGATGATGCCTTGGCTGATGGTCGCAAAATCCTTGATCTTGCGGCTGCGGAAGTCGGTGAGTAGTTTTCGAAGTCCCTGTATGTACTCTTGCTCCCGTTCGCCTTCGTATCCACCGTACGCTCCTAGCTGGAGGAGAACCTGATCATCTGTAGAGTAGCTTTGGTCAGTCGTTTTACTAGGTGGCCATCTCTTGCTCGTTTCTCATATATTCTTCCACCTTTCCTCCAAGGAATCGTTTGTGTATGTGTGGCCACTCGAGCGCACCCCACATGTATACCCTTCAATCTCTACCCTGGTGATAAATAAATACATACCAGGAGCTTGTATCGACTCAATGTGTTGATAATTGCATCGACTGCCCCTTGGGCACGTGACACCAGCCAAGTCGTCAGGGCATAGCTCCTTATTGACATCAATCTTGTTGCTATAAGTTAAGGATCGCAGGCCGCCAGGCACTTCCTGCTGGAACTTGGGGTGGAACCGATACGCACGAAAGTACCTCAGGGGCGTCTCGTAGGGAACAAATTTCGTCGACGATGGCGCCGGTGGCGCTGGTGCCTCATTGGCCTTGGGCTGAACCTGGTCCTGCTCTCGTGTTAGGCGGTGCGCGGGTTCAAGCGGAAGTATATCCCAGACAACTTCTCTTGGAGACCCTGGCTTGGAATCCTGCTGGCCCGTCGATATGGGCTTTGTGATGGGAGATGTAGCTGACACAACCTGGGTCTCACTGTCACTTTCACCGAGAAAATGGCTGCCTTTCGTAGTCGAAGGTTCGGACCCCGGCTTGTCATCTCCATCTTCACTGGATGTCGAAGACATGGCTTCGGGCGGTTCATACCCATCTGAACCTTCATCGTCTGACGTCGTCTGCTTTGTCTGCTGAGGTTCTTCGGGTGCTGCTGCGGACGGGCTGGGTCCAGTAATGTTGGCGCTCGCGTCTTCCTTATTGTCATCTTTGGCGCGCTCGACGGGCTCGTGAAGCCCCATCGTGACTGACTCCATTGGCCGCTGCTGTCCATCTTCCAACATTCCTGCTGGTGCCGGGGCGTCGCCCTGCGCATTATCCTCCTTCGTCTGCATTCGAGTTTCAAGAAGATGGGTATCTGCTTCCTCTTCTGGCGATGTGCGGGGTACATCACTTGCAGCACGAGAGGGTTTAGAGACTACGTCTATGGTTCACTCTCGTCAGCATTTGGAACAATTTGATTCACGGGTTTCAGGAACGTACCGGAGGCTTGGCCCGACAATTCGTGGGTCTCGTCGTCGCCAGAGAAGGATTCATCAATGACTTCGCTCCTCAACTTTTCCTCTTCCTGGAGGCTTTCCTGAATCTCCTGCTCCATTTTCTTGACTTGTGACTGAAGCGTCTGCAGCTTTAGCAACTGTTCTCTCCTGTGGGCTTCAATGATTGGCAGGCGTTCGCTGGCTGCCCGCGACCGACTCCGACTGGCTTCTTTGTTGTCGGATCGCTGCCGTCTTTCAGCTACCTTTGGCAGTCTCCTTGGGGCTTCATCAATAGGGCTTTGGCTCGACGCCTCACCGTACTCCGAACCTTGGCTCGGCGTGACTGATGCGGATGCTCGGTCTGTAGCTGGTGAGGACCGAAGAGAGGGCTTCCTCTTCTTCTTAGCTTCTGCCTCTGCAATCTTCCTTTTCATGGCCTCGATCTCCTTGTTCATGCTCTCCAAATTGATTCTGCCCCCCAAAGAAACGGGGGTCGTTACAACAGGACTAGATCGGCTCCGTACGGGGCGCACGTCATCCGTGTTGTAAGCACCGCGGCTTGGTGGAGGGTTGGTTGTAGAATTCTGTCGGTTGACAGATGCAGGCCGCTGTTCGGGCGAGTCGAGATCCATAGCTTCATCATCGTCGTCGTCGCTGACATCAATGAGGAAAGGTGCGGGCTTCCTATTCTGCCCAAAAGGGCGCTTGAACGGGCTGCCAGGCGTGTCGATGAAATCAGAAGCAACGGGTCTCTTCTGCGGATTTGTTGTCGGCGGGGTAGGCTTTGCGTCGAGAGCTAGACCTGTTATGAAAGACGGTAGCTGAGCTTCGGGTGGCTTCTGGGGGACCTGAGCTTGGTCCTGTGACGGTGATATTGCCGCTGTCTTGACGGGCTGCTTGTGATCTTGATTCTGGCTGCTGTTTTCACCGTGCTGCTCCTTGCCGCCCCCCGGCACAGGCTTTTGCGTCCGAGCCTCGCGTGCCCTCTTGAGGGCTTCCATCTTCTCCTGCAGTAACTTGGACTTCTCGGACTGCAGTTTGGGTGGCGTAGGTGATGGTGCTGCCGATGTCTGAGTAGTTGGGTCCGGCGAAGCTGCTGCAGACTGTTTCGTGCCCTTTGCTGCAAGGAGTCGAGCTATCCGGTCTTTTCGTTCTTCGGCTGGATTCTTAACAGGTCGTGATGTAGGTTCTTCAACAGACACCGCAGCCTCTTTATGCATCTCAGAAGGCTGACTTTTACGAGGTGGCTGTCCTGCATTAGGCTGTGTCGTTGCAGGTAAATCGGTTATTGGCGCAGATCGAGTCGAAGTAGCCTGGGGGTCGAGGCCAACATCCCGAAACAAGCCTTGCAATATGGGGGCGTCGATGCCTTCGTTGATGTAGTCTTGGAATCGCACATTCAAAGGCCAGAGCCGTAGGATAGCATCTTGTGCTTGTTTTCGAGCTTGCGCTAATGATTTGTCCTGTGCAGCTGGCTGAGGCGGCGGTTGACTATCGGCAGCTGTTGACGGCTGCGATGTTCCTATAAAACAAACATTGACTATTAGTTAATGGCCTCGGTCGCTATCCCGACGGTTTAAAATTTACCATTCATCTTTCCCGTACCGCCTGGGTTGATTTCGGTTGGCGAAAGGTGAGGTGAGTACGACCCCATTCGATCTGCGACGACACGCGTCAATATTCAACGACCAGAAATGGAGGCGTAGCCTTTGACAAACCTGGAGATGCATTCCTGGAAACTCCTTCTGTCTCCTGAGTAACTATAGTACCGAAGCTGCTGTTCTGGTGGGCCGTGGTCGTATCCTCATCAGAGTACTTTGGCTCATATATATCCTCCATTTCGCCTTCGCTCACTTCGCCCTCTTCCGCCTCTTCATTCTTCTCGGGGGCTTGCACGCTGTGGGCTATGTTCCGAGGACCGTGGGGAGCTGCCCCTGGTGGTTGATGGTGGACACCCGGGGCAGCAGACGGAGAGTTCCAGGATTGATGCCATCCTGCTGGCGCGCTGCCAGTGTTGGAGAAGCCCAAGCCGAGACCAGGTATTACGCTTCCACTATTGTCGAAGGTCTGTTGGGGAGCGTTCTTGTGGGAAAAGGGCGACGAGGTTTGTGCATCGCTGGGGTAATACGGGACGGCGTTGTACGCGGGATAGGGAAGATTTGACGTGGTTTGCGGGTGGTAACGGCCTTCCGGCGGACCGTGAGTGTAACCGTGCTGGCTCATTATGCGACGCTTCGAGAGGGTCGTTATTCAATCTCATCGGGTGCTACACTTATCCGAGGCCTGATGGTCTCTGCTGCCCAATACGATACAGCTCTGGCAGAAGGGCAAGTATTCGCAGTAGCAACTCGGGTAACGCGCGTAAGGTGTACAGACTTAGACAGAAAATCTTCTTCGTTCTTTTGAGTAAGCGTTCGAGGGATAGAAAAATGGGAGCAATTCTAGAAAGAGAACGGCATGGCGCCTTGTCGATATGATACGTCTTCAGGTCGCGAGGGTGTGCTGATGGTATGCGACGCGGCTGTCGAGATCTGGATAGGGAGCGATGGTTATTATAATAATGACAGTAATTTTGCTCAAAGCTTGCTGGGCTAGTAATAATCATCGAGGGATGGTTGATCACCTAAAATGGTTTAGCGTTGGTGCGTGAAAGTATGGTGGCGGTGAAGTTCTATCGAGTCACGTGAATTCGTCTTTGTTTACTTTTGGCGTCATCTTGCCCTAGCAACCGGTCTGGACGAGTACACTCTACACGCTCGATGGTCGGGAATGAAGCTCGCGTTGCGACCTTATTTTGAGCCGCTGTTTTAATGGCATTCTCATAAACTAGCCTCCACGGGTCAACTCAAAGCGTGGCCATTTCATTTTCCCACTACTGCTCTCCCTTTCCTCTTCTCTATCTTCCCGCCCTACAACGCGACTACTAGAGGCAGCTGCCTATGCAAGGGAGCGAGCCTGGCGATCCTCTTCCTATCCCACCTCCATCCAAAGCAACAACTCTTGGCATCGCGTACAACGATTAATGTTCGCGCTCCAAGATGCCTTTCAACGCACCCGGCTCGGTGTCGCGGCGCAGTAATCCGTTTACTAGAGCCTCGCCATCATCACCGACACCCAGCGGCTCTAACCGGCCCAGCTCAGCCCTTTTCTCATCGCCAGCCCCGGCGCTGCCGGTCTCGCCCTCGCATGTCCGCAGCCAGTCTATCGGCTCGCCATCGACTCCTACACCCCCAGCTTCTACGCCAGAGACCGCCTCCTTCAGGCATTCCCGCCAGTTCTCCAAGAATGCCGTGTCCAGTACCTTTGCGCCTTCCTTCATCAAGGCCGAGGACATGAAGCAGGGTCCCGATCCTGTTGATGGCATTGAGGGCGAGAATGACTTCTCTGGCAAGCGTTATGTCTGGGTCAAGGACACAGAGATGGCCTTTGTGAAGGGCTGGGTTGTAGAGGAGTTGGAAGGAAATCGTATCTTGGTCCAATGTGACGACGGAAGCGTGAGTGACCCCATGACGACATGTTCTTTGCTTTGCTCTTTGCTAATTGTAGTGAGAACAGCAACGAGACGTCGACGCCGATAGCGTTGACAAGGTTAACCCTGCCAAGTTCGACAAGGCAACTGACATGGCCGAGTTGACACATTTGAACGAGGCCTCCGTGGTCCACAACCTCTACTCGAGATATCAAGCCGACCTGATCTACACCTACTCGGGGCTTTTCCTTGTCACAGTGAACCCTTACTGCCCTCTCCCCATCTACACCAACGAGTATATCGACATGTACAAGGGGCGCAATCGAGAAGACACGAAGCCACACATCTATGCCATGGCGGACGAGGCTTTCCGTAATCTGGTCGAGGAAGGCCAGAATCAGAGTATCCTCGTCACCGGAGAGTCAGGTGCAGGCAAAACCGAGAACACGAAGAAGGTTATTCAATACCTGGCGGCTGTTGCTCATCCTGACTCGATGATCAAGAACCGATCGCAGCAATCGAACCTCTCCCAACAAATCTTGCGCACCAACCCGATCCTTGAGGCCTTTGGAAACGCCCAAACAGTCCGAAACCACAACTCGTCGCGCTTTGGAAAGTTCATCCGAATCGAGTTCAGCCGACATGGTGCCATAACGGGTGCCTTCATCGACTGGTACCTGCTGGAAAAATCGAGGGTTGTCCGTATCAACTCGCAGGAGAGAAGCTACCACATCTTTTACCAGCTTCTGAAGGGTGCCAGCCCGCAGATGAAGAAGGATTTCCTCCTTCAAGGTCTTGGTATTGAGGATTTCCAGTACACCCGCCATGGCCACGATACCATCGTTGGAGTGTCAGATCGGGAAGAGTGGGACTCCCTTATGGAGGCCTTTGCAGTAATGGGGTTTGATTCGCAGGAGCAGTCCTCTATCCTGCGTACCATTGCCGCTGTCTTGCATCTCGGAAATGTCACTGTCGTTAAGGAAAGCCGATCGGCAGACCAGGCTCGCCTCGACATAGGTGCGAAAGAGCAAGCTGCCAAGGTTTGTAAGCTTCTCGGTGTGCCCCTCGAGCCTTTTCTTAGCGGACTCCTCCATCCTCGCGTCAAGGCCGGCCGCGAATGGGTGGAGAAGGTCCAGACTCCGGAGCAGGTCCGCTTGGGACTCGATGCCCTCTCTAAGGGTATCTACGAACGCGGATTTGGTGACCTCGTGACCCGCATCAACCGCCAACTAGACAACAACGGTGGCCGCAGCGACGACACCCATTTCATTGGCGTTCTGGATATTGCCGGGTTTGAAATTTTCGAGGAGAACAGCTTCGAACAACTCTGCATCAACTACACAAACGAAAAGCTACAGCAATTCTTTAACCACCACATGTTTGTACTGGAGCAGGAAGAGTACGCGAGGGAGCAGATCGAGTGGAAGTTTATCGACTTTGGACGCGACTTGCAGCCGACTATTGATCTCATCGAGCTGCCCAACCCCATCGGTATCTTCAGCTGCCTCGACGAAGACTGCGTCATGCCAAAGGCCACCGACAAGACTTTCACCGAGAAACTTCACTCGTTGTGGGATAAGAAATCCCCCAAGTACCGTTCGCCCAGGCTAGGCCAGGGTTTCGTGCTCACTCACTATGCTGCCGATGTAGAGTACTCGACAGAAGGGTGGTTGGAGAAGAACAAGGATCCCTTGAACGACAACATCACTCGCCTCTTGTCAACTTCGTCAGACAAGCACATAGCGTCGCTCTTCGCCGACTGTGCTGAAACAGACGATATTGGTGGAATTCGAAGCCGAGTGAAGAAGGGTCTCTTCCGAACCGTGGCCCAGAGACACAAGGAACAGCTTCACAGTTTGATGGGTCAACTTCAATCGACGCATCCTCACTTTGTTCGATGCATTATCCCTAATCACAAGAAGCGACCTAAGATGTTCAATAATGTCCTTGTCCTGGACCAGCTCCGATGCAATGGTGTCTTGGAGGGCATCCGCATTGCTCGCACCGGATTCCCCAACCGGCTGCTGTTTGCTGAGTTCCGCCAGCGATATGAGGTCCTCTGCTCCAACATGCCGAAAGGATACCTGGAAGGCCAAGTGGCGGCGACCTTGATGCTTGAGAAGCTGGGCCTCGAAAAATCAAGGTATCGTGTTGGGTTGACCAAGGTCTTCTTCCGGGCTGGTGTATTGGCCGAGCTAGAAGAGAAGCGCGACGCCCTGATTACCCAGATCATGGCTCGCTTCCAGTCAGTTGCTAGGGGATTTGTCACCCGGCGTTCGGCACACAAGCGCTTGTTCCGTACCGAGGCCACAAGAATCATTCAGCGAAACTTCCATGTGTACCTCGATCTGGCCGACAATCCTTGGTGGCAGCTCATCAGCAAAATGAAGCCCCTTCTTGGCGCTACCCGCACTGCCACCGAGGTGAAGCGGCGAGACGCCATGATCAAGGATCTCAACGAGAAGATGCGCCTCGAGTTGGAGAACCGCCAAAAGCTAGAGGATGAGCGCAGGAACTGCAACACGGAGCTCGCGCGAATTCAACAAACTTTGGAGAGCGAACGCGCCCTCGCCTTGGACAAGGAAGAGATTTTTAAACGACTCCAGGAGCGTGAGGCGGAGCTCGAAGAGAAGCTGAGCGGGGCACTGGACGACCAGGAACGACTTGAAGAGCAGCTGGATAGCCTTATGGATGCCAAGAACCGTGCTGAGCGCGATGTCGAAACGTACCGTTCCCAACTCGACCAGGCCGCTTCTCTGATCGCCAAATTGGAGGAGGAAAAGGGCAAGCTTACTGTTCAGGTGGCCGAGCTCGAGAAGACTATCGAGGAGCTCTCACAGAAACAGTCAGAGAGGAGTGAGCATGAGGAGGCCCTGGAAGGCGAGATTGAATTGCTACAGAGCCAACTGGCCTTGAAGGAGAGGAAGTCGCACGAGCTCGAGAGCAAGCTGCTCAAGATCGACCAGGATGCTGAGGTCAAGCTTCGTGCTGCAGAGAAGGAACTTGAGTCGGTCAGGGCCAAGGAGTCCCGGACGTCTCGAGAAAACAACGAGGTTCGTGAACAGCTTGCGCAACTGTCAAAGACATCGACAGATTACGAGGACCTAGTCCGACAGAAAGAGAGCGAGCTGGCCTTCCTCCGGAAGGAGAACAAACGATACGAATCGGAACGCCGCGGATTGGAGGACCAGAAGAAGGCATTGAGTGCGGACAGGGAAAGCGCCACGAACAAGCTGCACGCCATCCAGGCAGAGATTGACGTCATGAAGTCGAAGCAGTTCCAGCTCCAACGCGAGGCTGAAGACGCCAACAAGCTTCTCCAGGCGCGTCTGTCTGAGGACGCTCAGGTCGACAAGAATCTCCAGGTGCTCGAGTGTCAGGTCAAGGATCTGAAGGAGCAGCTGTACACGACGCAATCAGAACTCAGTCGAGAGCGCCAATCGCGCGATGACGTCCAGCTCCTCGGGGAGCACAAGTATGAGTCGCTCAAGGAGGAATACGACCAGCTCAACGACACCAAAATCACGATTGAGAAGGAGCTCTACGCGCAGCAAGACACCCTGAGAAGGACAATGGAGTCCCGCAGTGCGGTTGAAAAGGAGAGGGACGAGGCACGTCATGAAATTCGACGACTCCGAGCGGCCAAGGCAGAGGCGGAGGAGGCCAGGTTGAGGGCTGAGGAAGCTGGCGAGCGCCAGGCTTCCAATGCCGCCCGTGAACGTGAGATGAGTCTCCGGAAAGACCTCGACGCTGCAAGCGAGCGCTTGCGGTGGTTCGAAGAGGAGTGTACCAAGTTAAACCATCAGGTTGAGGATCTCAACAAACTCATTCTTACGTCGGGCGAGTTCGGTCTCAAGAACGATCAGGCTAAGGAGAGGATGGAACGCGAACTAGGCACTGTGAAGAGTCGTCTGATGGCCTCGGAGAACGACAACAGAGCCCTGCTCAACAAGCTTCAGCAAAAGGGTCTGGAAATTGCTCGTTCTTCTTCTCGTGCAAGCGAGGCTTCCCGTGGGCAGATCATGTCCCTCCAGCGGGAAAAGGCTCGCCTGGAGGAACAGAGCGTCAAGCTCAACAAACAGCTTGGTGATGCTCAGGTCACCATTACATCCCTAGAAAAAAAGGCAGAGAAGCTGCAGCTCAGTATCGAGGACCTGAACCACGAGCTCGCACGCGAAGCAAAGTCGAGCAGGGACGCGGAGAAGACATCATCTACCGTCAACGCCCAGCTGACCGAGGCCAACAGAACAATTGAGTCAGAGCGTCAAATGCGGAGCCAGGCGCAGTCGACCGTGCGCACCCTCCAGTCATCCCTGGAAGCCAGGGAGAAGGAGTTGGAGGACCTTCGTGGGCAGATGCTCAAGGCTCTTCGGTCGGCCGACCCTGGGATCGAAGTTCCGCCTCCGGGAGAAACCGGCGACAAGGCCACGCTCAAGAACTTCGACCTGGCTAGGAAGGTTGATGAGTTGCAACAGAACCTCCGTGTCCAGACGGCAGCGAGGACCAACGCTGAGAACCAGATTGCCGACCTTCGGGCGGCAGCTCAGCAGGAGACGACCAACCGGCCGAAGCTTGAGGAGATTCACTTCAACGAGGCGCCGTTCCACAACGGATCGCCAACACACCGACGGGCCACCAAGCTTGCAGCCAACCGAACACCCTACTCCAACACATCTACTCCCACGCGCCGCATGCCCGAGAATGACTTTCCAGATTCGACCCGATCGGACAAGACGGCGGATATCCTCAGCTTCAACAACCGGCAGGACCTCAAGGCGGAGCTGGAGGAGCTGCAGAATCAGCTGCAGCTTGCCCAGATGCAGAACCGGCATCTTCAGAGCCAGGTTGACCGCAGCACGCCGACACCTGATGGGCACGACGATCAGAGTCCATCGATGCGTAGGATGCAGAAACTTGAGAAAGTCAACGGCCGCTTGCAGGAAATGCTGGACGACTCCACGAAAAAAGTGTCTGCACTGGAAAAGAGCATCCGCAGCGGCGAGCTGTCCCTCCGAGACATTCAGACGCGCTCCCACGAGGAGCTCTTGGATGTCTTCAACAGCCAAGAGCAGTCGCGACGGTCCCTCCTGCATATCCACAAGGACACTGTCGCGGAGTTGACCGATATCAAGGCAACCTTTGAGAAGCTGCGCCACGACAAGGCCCAGGCGCAGGTCGACCTCCGGGACGCCAAGTCTGATCTCCAGGAGATGACGATGGCGCGCGAGCAAGAGTCGCAGAGCCGCAGCCAGCTCCTGCAGGAGTACTCAGACCTCCAGATTCGTCTCGACGCCGAGACGTCCAAGCTTGCGGATGTAACAGCCAACCTTGACATGTACAAGCGTCGCGCCGACGAGTACTTCAGCAAGCTCGAGCAGGCTGAGATTGCGGTGCTGAAGGCTAGCCGGGCTGAGCAGTTTGCTAAGTCACAGGCCAGGGAGACAGAGGAGTCGCACGCTGAGGTCATGGCCGAGCGCCAGAAGATGGATGCCATGATTGAGGACCTAGAGCGCCAGAACCAGCGGCTCGAGGAGCGTCTGGAGGACATGTCGACGGACCTGGATGGCGTCTCGCAGGCTAAGAGGAGGCTGCAGCACGAGCTCGAGGATTACCGCAGCCAGCGGGCCATCGACATTGAGGACAAGGAGTCGAGCATGGAACAGACTCGTAAGAAGTACCAGGCAGAGTTTGCGACCCTCACCAAGGAACTCGACCTGGCACGCGAGGAGAAGCTCTACAAGCAGTCCGAGATTGTGCGTCTACGCGAGGAGCTCGACGAGCTGCGGTCCAAGTGGGACGACGAGGTTCTCAACAGCTCGACATGGGCTAAAGAGAAGTCGCGACTGGAGTCGACGCTGGCCGATGTCGTCTCGTCGCGCGACGAGGCTGTCTCGGCGCACAACGAGGCTCAGACCAAGGTTGTCTCCTTGCTCTCGCAGGTCCGCACGCTGCGGTCGTCCGTTGACGAGGTGACGACTGAGCGCGACCTGTTGATCAGGGAGAAGCGCAATCTTGAGGCTCGCTTCGAGGAAGCCAAGGCAGGTCTGGACGATCTGGCCAAGGGCGGTAGTCCGTCGCTGCGCGACGCAGCCAGCTCAGACAGGCAGATTGTCGAGCTCAAGTCCAACCTGGCCAAACAAGAGGACCTTGCCGCCGCTGCGGTGGAGAAGATGCGGCGAGCCGAATCATTGGTGGCCGAGATTCAGAGAGACATGGGCAACGAGCGGGAGACGTGTGCTGCCCTCCAGAAGGATAAGGCTGCTCTCGAGAAGAACCTCAACGAAGCCCAGCTCAAGCTGGTTGATCTCGAAACCAAGGGCTACTCCAGCGCCAGCCAGGACATCAAGTTCCTGTACAAGCGTATCCAAGAGGTAAGATCACCCCCCTCCCCCAACTATGACTCTGGGCCCTGAACGAGGAGAGAAATCCTGACGTAAACAACAGCTCGAGAACCAGCTCGAAGACCAAGAGAATGAGCGGAACAAGACGCAGCGCACCACGCGCAACGTGGACCGCATCGTCAAGGACTTGCAGGGCCAGATTGACCGCAAGGACAAGCAGAACACGCAGCTGTCGGACGACGTGTCACGGATGCGCGACAGGGTGGATAAGCTCCTCCGAACTATTGACGAGCTGCAGTCATCCGAGTCGACGAACCAGCTCACGGCCCGTAGAGCCGAGCGTGAGCTGCGTGAGGAGAAGGAGAAGTCGCTGCGTCTGGAGCGCGAGCTCGAAGGCTGGAAGAGCCTCAGGGACAAGGCCACGGGAAGCCCGCGCGGGCCCGACCTGGTGGACGTGCCCAGAAGGAAGAGCAGCATTAGCAGAGTGCCTAGCCTTACCAAGGGTTTCCTGTAAAGCTGCGCGGTGCCATTTGACGGGGAGATGAGATCCATGCGTGTACGTGTAACCGGGGCGGGAAAGGAGAAGCGGCAGGGATAATGGAAAGGATTGGACAGGAAGACGGAAAAATAAGGGCCGGCGTTTTTTCTTTTCTGTTTTCATTGCTTTGCTGCAACGTAATATTCTATACTAGCAGCTATAATGGGTTTTCCTCGTGCCCAGTGGTAAAATGGAGGAGGTTTATATTCATGGGGAGGGGGGGTGCTGGATGGATGGTCTATGTAATATCGGGTGGTGGGTGGTTGGGGGAACCTGGTTTGTTTGTTTTCCATGTTGATATTGGTATTTGGGGGATGCAAGGCATTATACGTATAAGTGCGTTTGTATACGTTTACGTTTTCTGTCTTTACAGCTTGAGCTTGAAATGAGGTGGACTTTCTGCAGACGGGGTAAGAGTTATCGGAACGGAAGATGGAGGAGGCTGATACCTCTATTACACGGACGAATGTAAAGCCAACATTTCTTTCTGGTCTTTCTGTTCCTATGATGCATATATATATATACGGAGTATAAAATACCTTCTTGCTGTCTTCTTTAAGAAGATATTGAAAAAAAAAGACAAGTAGTTTAGCAGCACGGGGGCAAACTACCAAAAAAAGTAAAGGGTCTGGCCGGGGATTGAACCCGGGACCTCTCGCAAACAATGCTGTAGGGTGTACCCTAAGCGAGAATCATACCACTAGACCACCAGACCAGTTCGAACTGAAATGTTCCTTGTTGGTTGAATCAACCTAAACTTAAACTTAATTATATTATGCTCTTTGCAGTAAAATTTGCTTGTCACGCGCTGCTCTGATTTGAGCTGAATTGTTGATTCTTTTGGCCCCTTTTGTTGTACTTCTGCGACGGTTCTAGAATTGGAAGAGAAAAAATGAAGAGAGAAGATGAAAAAAAAAGTAAAGAGTGAATACAATGACAAGTTTCTAGATATCAAAAGGAGTGTTTTTATCTTGGAGGTATTGGTATCTAGCGGCAAGGCAGCTTTCCCGCAAGTGACTCCTTTGGCCAAGTTCCGCATCCATCTATGCGCGTACGTGTATACGGGCCATGACAAAATCGATGTGACTGTCATCGTCATCAATCCGTCTCTACATGCGAGACCAGCCATCACCTCACTTAGCCGGGAGAAAGCTTTCCGATGACACCCCACAATTCACGACTCCATCGTGAGATTCACGTATTTTTTTTCCCTTCCGTTTACATATTTATGACGTCAATGATGATGCTGAGTGAGCCCTTAGTTACTATCTGCCTAGAACAATTGACGGCGCAAGCACAATGTTGATCAAGTTATAAATGTTGAGGAGTTTCCATTTTATGTTCTCTATAACTTCTCCCTTCTTGCTTGATCTTACCCATCACTCCTATCAGACCCGACGAACAGCAACAAAACAACCACAGTCAATCATGCCTCGTCAGGGAGACGGTAGTTCCGACAATGGCCCCATCGAGGCCACCCATAATGTTGCCCATGGCATCCCCGACAAGGTAGGGATAATACGCTCTTGAATGACCGGCCACCTTGTACTACGTTCGTCGAGGCTGACATCCTATGTGCGACCATTAGTCGGCGGACATCGGTGACCATGTCGCTCGTGCGGACAGAGCGGCACCCATGCCCACACCCGAAAAGGGCCAGGCCATACCCGGCTTAAACGCATCGGGCGGTTCAAGTCAGGGAATCAAAAAGGGCCCCGATGTTGGCCAGGGTTAGAAAGTGAACGTCTATTTGCACTCCATCTTCACAAAGAAACATCAATATATGCGCTTATTGGTCGAAGTAACACTCTATCAAGCCGCCCTCCGTGCCACAGTTCAGCGACGTGTGTGTCCTATGTTGCATGTAGATTTCATGGCCAGATGGTCTCGGGGGACTCGTATCACGAATAAACATGGATGGTCATGGGATCTACATCACTTCCCTCGAGAGACCGGTGTGGTAAGTGTATCGTTTGTAGTCTCCGGTGCTGTCGAAAAGGCTTAAGTATCCGAAACGAATTGTCCTTTATGGATGGTTAGCCCTCCACGAGTCGTGCCTATTCAGTATCAACATTATCTACTCTCGGCTGACAGGCATCAAGTGCCTATTTCTCTGTCCCAATTCTGGGGGCACCCTAGTATCTGCATGTATCCGGTATTGCGCCGATGAACTTCTTGATCTCGGAGACAGCCTTTTGACAAGCACTGGTTGACTGCGGGCCTCACCAGTGAGGTGGTCGCCAACCTGGAAGGTCGAGAAACTCGATCCAGGGCCGTCTCACCGCACACGTGAGATCATATCAGAATTTCTGGAATCTCAGCACTAGATATGGCCTGAACTCGAGTTTTGTCGCGCTGTAGGCTCAATCTTGTGAAATATGTGACAGTCAGTTGGCTTGACCCTTTGCTGCAAACTGGCTGTAATGATGCGCTCTCGCTCGTACTATTACATGTAGAAATTTCCGAGCGCGCCCGATGCCAGGGGCGCTCTTCTAGTACGACGCCGCCGTCTATGTGCTCTTAGGGCCAGCTGTGGTAGGGGAGTCGGTAGAGTACAGCAAAGAGAACTGCGATGAAGTATTGGAGTTTCATTCCGGGTCAGGTAATACAGCTCTTTCAACATATGCGGGCGATCTTCATGGCCTCCCCATGGCACGCTCAACCTCCGCCAGGGCAGCGAGGACCTTCTCGTCGTGCTGCCTACGACCAACAAGCTGTAGGCTGACAGGGGCATCTGTGTATACCTCGGGGCTATAGAGATCCTGTACAAACTGGTCTTGTTCATTCTTGGGGACATAGGAAGTATCTTTCTTGTCCTTGGCAGGGTCAACGGTAGTGACTGGGAAAACAGCTCCAGGATAGTCGAGAAGGTTCCAAATGGACGTATAACCCCAGTAGCGGGCTTGCTCATGCGGCGTCGCAGCGCCGAAATACGGCGGACAGAGGATGACGTCGATCTCTCTGCCATCCTTGCCGCCCGTCCTTGTCCATGCCTCGGCGTACCTCGCCCGGTACTCTTCTCTCTCCCTGGTGAGCTACGTCGCGCAATCATGTTAGAAGGAAGATGGATTCGAGGACGGATTGGAGAGCTCTCACCTTCCATATCTCCGCTTGGGTGTAATCTTTAACGCCGGCTTGCTCCTGGATAATGAATTTCGTCAATGGCAGCACCGGCTCCCCAGACGACTCCATAAGATCGAGGACCTCTTTCCCTCCGTCGGGGAAGTAAAGAGATGAGATGATATCCCAGCCCTTCTTGTGATCCAGGGACTCGGCATCCCAATCCGAGACCTCAAACCCGGCCTTACGGCAGGCTTCGGAGACCTCCCTCAATGCACGGGTCATAGGCGGGTGAGGTTGCACGACGCCATCCCACCACATGACGGCAATCTTGAGGGGACTCGAGAATTTGTATGGAGTCCACCCCTTGACGGTAAGGGACGGGTCAATGCGCCATGGCTTCGACTGCAGGACTACTTTCATGAACAAGTCGAGGGCCTCACGCTCAACTGTCAATGGACCTGGGGTAGACATGATAGTCTCCTTTCCTGACATGGGCGCGAGTTGGCCAGCCGAAGGAATGAGCTTACTTGTAGGCCTGATTTTTTTTTGTTAGAAAAAAAAAAGTTAGCAACTTCACGATGCACCACGGGGGAACAGCGCTGCCATACTTGAACCCATAAAGTCCACAGTGGGCGGCAGGGCATCGAATGCTTCCACCGATATCACCACCAATTCCCTGTTTTCGATATACTTAGCAGAGACCTCCGACGTGGATGCAGGGGACTACACACGAATATACTGCCGCGGAAGCCGATCAGGGCTGATTCTCCCCCGCTGCTGCCGCCAGGGGTCAGATTGCGGTTGTAGGGGTTGGTCGTCGTCCCCCAGACATTGCTGCTTGTCTCAAGATGCATGATAGTTTGGGGCTGGGTCGTGCGGGCGAAGAAGACGCAGCCCTCATCCCAAAGGATCTCATACAATTTCATACAGGCGTGTTTCTTCCCGATCCACCCGACGAAGCTCGCGCTGGTGACGGCATCGTCACCAATCATGCCATGGTGCTCCTTTGTTGAGATGGGAAGGCCGAAGAGGGACCCCCGTGGCTCCGGCAGCGCGTCGAGTTCCTTTGCGCGTGCAATAGCTTCGTCCCAGAGAAGCCCGGTCAAGCAGTTGGTCTGTATTCGTCAGTATGAAAGCGACTGCGTCTCAACATTGGAACGTCCCGGAACGAAACTCATACAGCGGTTTGGGCCAAGGCTGCGCGGCGCAGAAACGCCCGGGTGACTTCTTCCACAGAAAACCTTCTGGACCGCAGAGCAGCCAGAAGCTCCGTGACCGAGTAGCTCTCCGTGATCTCGAGCTCTCGCGCAGCCAGCACCTGTTTTGGGAGACCCTGAGTGTTCACCGGAAGGTCACTCGGGAGTCCCTGTAGTGGAGGGTCGACCTTGGCGAGGGAGGCGTCACGCCCGGCCCGTGCCCAAGAGACCTTGTCCTGCCATGAATGGCAGTCTTCTAAGCTAGTCATCTTGAAATCTGTGGAGTTGGAGTTTGGTGTTTAGAGCCCATAAGAAGGGCAACTCTGCTTCGGTATGGTATGTGGCGCGATGGGGGGTAAGACGGCTGGTAAACACATGCATCACAGACGGCATAAGTGTTCGGGATTCCCCGGTAAGAAGTTATTCGGGGGCTTTTCAGATGTCATGCCTTGGGCCAAGTTCAGGTACAGGCCCGGGCGATAAGAAATTAGGCCCGGCTGCGAGATATTGTATCAGTTACGCCGCATACATATATGGGAACGGAGATATGCCATGGGTGGATAGCGGGACGGCAACCTGCTATCGAAGCCGAGAAACTTGTAGAATTGAAGATAGGCTTCAACGTATAACATACGATACTTGGACGAACCAGCTCGTCAAAGCTACATACATGCATTACCTGTTGTCCTTGTCCCCAACCCCTCCAGCAGGTCGCGCCCATCGCCTGGTCGACTAAACTCAAGATGCGTGCCATTAGGTCCTGACTCAGGGCCCTGGATTCAACGTCAGGGCAGGACACTGACCATGCAGTCTGGGCGGCCTGGGCGTGATGACGAGATGCGGCATTATTCGTGATGCCGCCTAAGATACGCCGCGACACAGGTTGGCTGGCAGCTTGATCGGCAAATCAAGACAACATATGCGTACTGGAAAAAGAAAACACATCGGCCAAGGTCGGTTACCTGCGGGGTGCATGCCACTCGACGCGGGGTCCAAACTATCCCAGCCCTTATCAAACGTGAGTGGGGAGGGACGTAGGATGGAGTCGGATTGACCTATGCCAACCTTGCCCGCGTTGCGGCTTCGAATTGGATAAACACATCCACCAGTACCTGTCGCGTACTGGTCCGTCTTCCGTCTTGATAATGCAGACTCCAGCTTTGATTCATGTTTGACCAATCGCTAAGCGCGTGGTGCGTCCCCTCGTTAGGCAATACGCCGAACACGCTCCGGCATCGCCAGGGATATTCCTGCACTCAGATATCTGACACATACTCGGTACTCAATCGAAATTCGACTGCCTTTCGCCAATGTCAACAATGCACACCGCTAAGAAGCTTATCCCGGTTTATGTTGATACCTTCGACCATTGCCATGTGCTAACCGTTGTCCAACCGTTCAATCTGCCCATTCCCTTTCTATCACCCCTCCATACTTCAGGTTCACCTACTAGTCTGCGACGGCTATCCGAGAGTGAGGCTGCAATCGTCAGGGGAACTGATTAGGTATTGAAAATGCCCCGACAGACTCTGGCTCGAAGTCTCCGCTGGACGCAGGCATCCAGAAAATACCATGCTGGTCGGACTCGGAGGGCGGGCATGGCCAGCGCTGTTCTCCATAGGACCCTCAGCTCGGACCCCTTACATCTTGTTTCGGCAAGCGGTACTCGTCTCAGGTTCTCCAATGGTCATGAGATTATAGATACCAGCTGCGGTGCCGGTGTGGCTTGCATCGGATACAACGACAAGAGGGTCAAGCAAGCCATGGTGGACCAGATCGACAACTTCTCGTACGCCAACTCGGTGTTTTTCAGTCATTCAGCAGGCGAACAGCTTGCTACAGATCTTATACAAGGGACCGACGGCCACATGTCAAAGGCTTACATTATGAGCTCTGGTGAGTAGAATAGGAGGTCCCTGTAAGTCTGACAAGTATCAATGCATTCCCGTTTTCTGATAGACCGCATCTGTATTGTACTTCCACAGGGTCGGAGGCGATGGAGTCGGCTATGAAAATGGCTCGCCAGTATTTCATGGAGTTGAACCCTAAGCAAGACAAGAGAGTCAATTTCATCTCCCGCGACTATTCCTACCACGGTACAACCCTTGGCTCGCTGTCGATGAGTGGACACGCCGGGAGACGTAAACTTTTCGAGGGTATGCTTCTTCCAAACATTTACAAGGTGTCGCCTTGCAATGCGTATCGGTTCCAGAAGCCAGGGCAGACGACGGAAGAGTATGTTGCTCAATTGGCCGACGAGCTGGACCACAAATTCCAAGATCTCGGCCCGGAATCAGTCATCGCCTTTGTGGCGGAACCGACAGTGGGAGCAGTAGGTTGAACACCCGATGCCCTCTTTCTCGAGACACAGTTAACTGGGCTAGACCACTGGGTGCGTCCCTTCTGTTCCTGGCTACTTCAAAGCCATGAAGCAGGTCTGCGACAGATATGGTGCTCTGCTTATCCTAGACGGTGCGGTCGTCCTTGAATCTGCATGCTCTTGGGGCCAGTGTTGATCGTTTCATAGAGGTCATGTCCGGCATGGGGCGCAGCGGAACACTACATGCCTGGGAGCAAGAAGGGGTAGTTCCCCATATTCAGACCATTGCCAAGGCTCTCGGCGGTGGCTACGCACCCATCGCTGGCATGCTAATCGATCACGAAGTCGCGGGGGCTCTAGAGAGTGGAAGCGGGTGAGTCTTTGCTGGGGGTAATTGTCCAGGGCAAAAGAATATTGAGGTCTGTGCGGGTGTTGACGTGTACTATCTCGCTTTCTCAGATCTTTCTCCCACGGGCATACATATCAGGGACACCCCCTGGCCTGCGCAGCGGCGCTCGAGGTGCAGCGCATCATCCGAGAGGAGAGGTTGGTGGATAACGTACGGGAGCAGGGAGTCCTTCTGGGTGAGCTTCTGCACGAGTACCTTGACGATCATCCGCGCGTCGGAAACGTAAGAGGAAAGGGGCTCTTCTATGGGGTAATCTATCAATCTTCCCTCTTCAACCACCTCAGATGCCGACGACTAAGGAGATTGGCAGATTGAATTCGTCCAGAACAAGGAAACAAAGGAGCCCTTCCCGGTCTCGGCCGGAGTTGCAAACGCTATTCATACCATAGGTCTCGAGGATATCGGCATCAGCCTATACCCGGGGACTGGAACCGTGGATGGTACTTTGGGAGATCATGTTCTTCTGGCGCCGGCTTACAACAGTACGCCGGAGGAAATCACAATGATGGCCAAGAAGGTACAGGAAACTGTTTACAGAACCTTTGAAAGGCTAGCTGTATAGATGTATGTAGCCTTGTTGAAGAAGTGCATTGAAGACCTGATTCTGTATAACTTGCATGTCGAGTCTTCCGCTACAGACATCACCATGTAATCCCAACACCCAAATTCTAACAACCGAGACCGGACGGGGGCTATTGTGGCATCTTGCCGCCGCAACCATCAAGCGGCCTCGGCATTTGCTGCCGAGCAAAGATGCAAGACAAAGGCATGTCAGCTACTTAGTATAGAACAAGAAAACAGCCTGAGTGTCATGTCCAAAAGAAAATCAAGTAGTCATCAATCTGTCATGATGGAATTAGAGGCGAGGGAAAAAAAGTATATGAAGCGTCGCATAAGCAGCCATCTTCCTTGATTAGAGTACAAACCAACTTCTACACATACGTCATGCATTTCACCAAGTATGAAAATCTCCTGCCAGCACCTTTGGTCTCCGCTGCATATCTTATTAGATTTTGTTGGATGATGAAACAAGCCAGGGCCCTTGATACATGCTTCACTATGAATACTCCATAGACTCGCATGTAAATTCATGGTAATGAGAACTCGTAGAGAGTAATACTCTACCGCCCTTATAGGCCCGGAGTTTCGACACCTCGACACAACTCCCTGTATTGTCTATCCGATTCCCCGAATGATAGAACCGTCCCGAACAAAGAAGACTAACGCCGTTCCAATGCCGAGAGCGTCTGTGTAGAGCTAGAACATTCAACGGGAGGCACCGAAGCTCGTCATACATCCTGCTTTGTGTGACGCATGGTGATTTTGAGTACACGACACGTAATACGGGACATGTCCTGTCACCTCGGCTTCACTGCACGGATCAAGTGGATATACTCGGCGCCGGATACGCGAGATGCGCCGGTGCACCGGCCCCACCTCTCCGATACAGTGGGGCCTGTTTCCTGAACGGGTACCAGAGTCTCGGGGGCCCTGATTCCGACACTCAACATCGCTCGAGTCGACCAAGTGGTAGCTCTTGGCCCTTTAAACCGGAGGATCAGATGAACAGAAAGTAACGCAATCTGGTAAGCAAGGTTGATGATATTCCCTCGCGGCTTCTCTTGCTTGGGAGGCGAGAACGTCCCTGAAATATCAGCTCTAAAGATGTAGAAGTCACACGTCCCTGCCGCCACATTGGTCTTATACAGACATATATTCGATTAGATGGTAAGGCCTGGGCTTCAGCCCGATATTGTTATCTCTTCTAAGAAATTTTAGTCAAGATTACAAGAGAAACGATCATAAGACATAGACCTAATGTACGACTTGAAATTAAGGAAAGAACTCACCGAAGCTTTCGCCCAGGGCGTAAATGCGTACACCGTAGGATGGACGGAATTAGCTGGCCTAACTTGGCGGATAAAATGCTTTCATCGCTCCAAAAGGACATGAGATGAGATGAGATAAAGTCTGATAAATCTTGTGATGATACCTAGTCCACAGAAGCTATTCAGCAGGAACCTCTGCCTGGGGAGCCAGACGTGCAATATATCTGTACAAGGCCCCGTCCCAGTCTACCATGCCCGAATGGGCCGTAACCCTGTTATCCCAGACGACAACCGAACGAGGACCCCAGGATACACGACACTGAAAGTCTTGGCCCAGTGCAATGTGCCGATAAAGGAAGTTGAGCAGGTTGTCGCTCTCCTCCCTCTTGTATCCGACAATGTATCTCGAGAACTGAGGGTTCACGAAGAGCGCCTTCTCGCCCGTGACAGGATGGGTGCGGACCAGAGGGTGCACCGTCGACACTGGCTCCCTTCTGACCTTGCGCCCGCGCTTGCGAGCCGCCTCAGCCTGCTCAACAGCAGAGTGCACGACCTTTAGTCCGGACAGACGCTCACGGAATTCAGGCGAGAGCCTCTCGTAGGCCTTGACCTGGTTGACGAAGATGGTGTCGCCGCCGACCTCGGGAACCTCGATGGCGTAGAGGAAGGTCGTCCCCGGCGGCTGCTTCTCGTAACTCACGTCGCTGTGCCACGATATGGACGTGGTCTTGGACTCGAATTCCCTCTGCGGCGTCAAGTCATCTGGTGCGCGGTGGACGAGATGAACGGCGGGAAAGCCCTTGGATGCACCGCTAAGACATTGGGTAAGAAGAAGAAGAGAGAAGATGCTGTCAGTCTAGGACTAGATCTGAACCGGATTCTGTCTTACACACCTGACGGGATGAACATGCAGCCTTCCAAAATAGCTTACAAAGTCGACGGCCTCTTGAATGGGGAGACTGGCAAAGTCCTGATCATGGAAAATCACCACCTGCATTTCTGGTTAGCCACGGAAAACTCGTCCTGTCCTTACTAGTGGATGTACCTTTTTCTGCGCGACCAAGAGCGCCAACTCGTCCTTTCCCTTGCCATCTAGCTGCGAGAGCTGGACGCCTTTCACCTCGGCGCCGATCGACTTTGTAACGTCTTTGATGGTACTGCCCTCTTTCAGGAGAGACGAGAATGTCGGATCGGCGTACTTTCCCCGCTCATCGTGGTCGTATAGCTCGAGCGGGGGCAGGCTAGTACAGGTCAATACGCATACACGCATACAGTGGTAACGCGAATGCACGGAGAACCCACGTTTGCCCATTCTCGTTGTCGAAATACGGGGCGCCATAGCTGGGGTATCATGTCAGTTCCCACACTCTACAAATAGCGAGGTAAGAGCGATGGGGCGCATGCGACACGCACATGTCTATGGGCTTGGGGAGTTGGCCATCTCTCTTGGTGGTCGGTGGTCCGGAAGCATCCAGCTTCACAGAGTCAGTAGATGTGGTAATGGTAGTAGTCGCCATGGTATCCCGGCGTCTTTCCGTGTCTTTCCGCGGTGTGAGCCTTGCAACTCTCTGTATACGGGGCCCTGTTTCTGGGTTGCTTCTTACATTGACATACCGGCTGTAGGTCAGTGAGGGGGGACGCATAGGCTATATTTAATACCGCGTGTGAGGGTAACACTTTTGCCGACACGGAGGGGATGGCGTCTTGAGAGGTGCAGGTTGCGTTGGTGATCGCGCCATACCATCCGTAGCATTGCATCAGGCAGGTTCTCCTCGCCACGTATGGCTTCAACAGCATGCTCTTCCCCGCAGTTGAATCAGATCATGTCATATGCCTATCTCCGTATCATCATTACAGATATCGACGTCAGCCCTTGAAGCCGTGACCCAAATATGCGGCTGTAACTCGCTTGTATACTATCATTCATAGTATACTAAGCCTTCCGATGTGACTCTGCCTCGCCTTGCATGTATATGCAGCCATGACGGACTTACCAGAGTTCAGAATCGACTTTATATTAGCGGGAACAAGTGCTGAGATGTGTTTGACGGCGGGGCTTCTGCCCGCGGTACGATAATGCCCCTAGTGTATGTAGCCAGGTCATCTTTATCCGTCGCACCCTGCAGCATACGATACATGTATTCGCCGCTCGATGGCACCACCACATTCACCAATGGTGACATACTAGCTGTGGAAGCGGTAGTTCAATCCGAGTATGTTAGGCTATTTATATTCGATAGGTAACGTCCAGTAGATGGATAACGGTGCTGAACCCGAGACGCCGGTTATGAGCAATGCTGGTCAATACGCGGGTGCACAAACGCCTGATGGGCCAGTGCTAGGGTCATGGGGTTAGGGTCACCGGGTTACTATCCATTACGCGCACACAGGATGAAATGAGATAGTGAGTAGCAGCAGCCCGGAACTTTCCTCGGTTGCCCTTGTCTACGACCAAGACGTTTGACAGCAACCAAGATGCGACCTTCGCAATAGAATTGCCGCAGTGCTCAGTCCCCACCGAATCCCATACCTCTGACCTGTGTAGCTAGATCGTCCATGTCTGTTGCGCGTCTAACACCCTGGGCGTTGGTATGATGCTGCCCTCCCATGGGCGCGCCACAGTCTGGGCACATCCGCTCTTCCATGGCACCACCACATTCGCCAATGGTAAAATAATGACCGTTGGCACACGTGTACCAGTGCCCTGTTCCGCTGAACTCGCGTTGCATGGCCCGAAAGACGTCCAGCTTTTCTTTCTGTGAGACAGGCGCGTAAAACGTGGCGTCCCGGAGCATCTTCTCTGTCGCGTCTACTTCGGCCAGCAGCGGCTGCAGAGATGCATTTCCCAGTACCATTTCCCTGGCCTCCTCGAGAGAAGCCTGGCCATCAGCTCGCAGGGACTCGTGCCGTTTCTCATCGTCGTCACCGCCCTGGGCATGCCCTTGCACATCCAGCAAGCGTCGTTCCAGGGAACACATCTGCGCGTGGTAGATGCATGCCTCGGCTGCCAGGTGCCTGCGTCGGGACTTTGTAGCCATGCTCTTCAGAGAAAGTGCGTCGTCTCTGTTGTCCGCAAAATCAAAGTCAATCTTCATCCCCTGGCTCTTGCACTGGATTGCAAACTCTGCAAACTCTTGCAGTATCGTTATGTCGCATCTCTGAAGTAGTGAAAGCGTCTGCATGTAGCCCTTCATCTGGATGATAGATTCGTCAAACACAAATGACCCTTGCGCCGAGCTGTTGTCCCGTCTCCGAGCGAGTTCCACCATGTCAGCAACCCGTTGAAACGGTTGCTCCTCCTGAGCAACCTTGGAAAGATGCCCGTGCATCTCTCGCCTGATGCGCAGCATGTTTTTCAGCTTGCCCATCCCGGCCGTGTACTTGCGTACGGAATTAATCTGTTGATCGCGCGAGCCGCGTAGGCTGATGGCTTTGGTGCTCTGATATGGGACACTCCAGGATGCACTTCCCGCCGCCAGCTTGTCCTGTTCCCGGATGTAATCCTGGCCCAGCTCCGCATACCGGCGCGTGGACCACGAGATGAATTTCTTGGTTGTCTCATCCAATATCGCTCGGCGGACTATCCGGCCGTACCGTGCGATGTTACGGAGCATCCCGCGACAGTTCGGACAGACTTTGACCTCGGAAGTGGAGAATGGCAAGGACGGTGATTTGATACTCGAAGGTATACCATCTGGCGTCGTGACGAAGTATTCAGACATACCCATCTGTCCGTCGAGCGTCTCACCCGTGAAGAAATGGCCGCACTCGAGGAAAATACACGGCATCTCATCGAGGTTGATAGACTCATATGGCTCTATGGAAATCATGTCGACGATGGCACCCTTGACGTCGTCGCCCGAGCAGAGCTGACAGTATTTCGAATCTGGGCATCGCTCTCCGCAGTATGAGGGACCTTGGCGGATTGTTAGTTGGACGCTCCAATCCTCTGCAGTCTTGGTAATACTTACATTTATGTCCGCAGGCCAATAATTCCTCACATCGCTTTGAACATGGAACCCAGTCGCAAGGAGCAGCACATCTGCGAAGATATTAGCTATACATCGACATGTCTCATCAAGTCAGCACCGTAGTTCGGATGAGGACACCTACGGCATTGTACATGCCCCATGTGGGCATTTGGATGCGCAGCTTGACTCCGCGCAGGGGGGGCAGGGCTCATGGCATAGCCTAGGGCACGTCGAATGGCTGCAATGAACCTCGCAGGGGAGATCGCAAGGGTCACAGTCTGTCCCGTCGTGACAGGGCTTGCGGCAGGCATGACGGCATGTTGTATACTTTCGACCGCAAACTTGGGTGCAAGTCCCATGCCTGTTCTCCTGGCCCGACTCGCTGTTTTCCGAATTGCATTCAAAACAGGGTTTCTTGCATGCGTGGCCGCAGAGAAGTAGTCCGCCACAGACTGCTCGACATCTCCATTTCTTGGCGTTCAAATCGACGCAACAATCTACGTCAACCTCGTGGCGACATCCCGGGACTATTTTCTTGACCTTGGCTCGACATTCAATGAGACTGGGGTCCTGGGCTTGCCAGCACTCGCATTGATTGATTGTGTGGCCGCAGTCCAGGTTGACGTCTCGTCCATCGATCAACGTCGTGCATTTTTGGCCACAATTCTGCCAACAGGGCAGTGGGCATCCATGTCCGCATTCGGGCCAAAGTGTCTGGCAGGGCTCCAGACATTTGGCTGATCGGTGTATCATATCTGAATGGCATCTCCCCGGGCAAGCGTGGCCGCAATCAAGACGCTTCTGGCAAGGCAAGATGCAACCGCCGTCGGGAGAGAATTGGAGGAAATGATCCTGTGTCGAGACGAGAATGTCTGTTTCAGAATGCCTGGGGCATTGAAGCGGTAGATTCGAACCAATGTTTCCCTCCTTTCGAAGGATTCCTATCACTTTATCCCACATTGGGACAGTAGCTGCCGTCTGGGCATCGCCGACAATGAACATTCCATGCCTGGCTCTGGACAGAAGGACGTTGATGCGATTCGGCGTCTTGAGGAACCCAACCTTATGCTCCTCGTTGCTACGCACCAAGGATATGAGGACAACTTTGGCTTCCTCTCCTTGGAAGTTGTCGATGGTAGCAACCCGAACGCTCTGAAGAAGATTGGCCTTGGCCATGATCTTGCTGGGGGATTGGACTTGGACTTCTTCTTCACCCTCTTCTTCGACCATGTCTTGATCCCTCTCGTTCAATACGATGTCACACACAGCGGCCAACTTCTGCCTGAGCAGTCGGAATTGAGATTTGTAAGGTGTGAGGACCGCAATATCATCTTGTTGATATACCCCTTGTCGGAAAAGATGCGATACCATGGAAGTAATCATATCGGCTTCAAAAGGGTTGGAATATGATGTCTCTATGCCGGAGTTTGAATCTCTTTTTGTTTCAGGGTTTTTGTGGTCCAGCCAGAATAAGCGCTTTCGAAACCCAGCAACCTCCGGGTAGGACCTAACACTCTCGTGGTCCTCAAGGTCAGGATACAGTGTGTTCCTTACTAGAGCGGAAATGGAGGGGTGCATTCTCCGCTGAGTCTGTAGAACCGTGAAAGGCAATGGGCCATCTTCTTCATCGAATGGCTTGACCAGCCTCTCGAACAGCGACACGTCCAATGAGTACTTCTTACCTCGCTCATGAGTTCCTTGGAGGTTGTAATTGTTTATCTGCGGACGGAGTTGAAGGTGGTCACCGCACAGGATGGCGTGTTCGATAGAGGGGAGGAAGGCCGTGAGGAGATGAGCTTCGAGAACCTCACCAGCCTCCTCGCAGACGAGTACCTTGGGACGTATCATCTTGAACAGGTCCATGTTACGGGCCAGTCCACTCGTGGTAATACCGACGACATCGGCCTTGAGCAAACATCGAGCGTCGATGTCCCGATGGACCCGGTCTTGCTGACGTTTTGCAGAAATGAACACCTCCTGATCTCGTTGAATTTCTCGGAAAAAAGACAGTTGGATCTTCTGGACCCAGCTGTCAACCATTGTACGTCGTTCCCTCCGACTGAGCTCGTGCATAGGAACAGCCGTGATCTCTTCGAGCGGCCGGTTAGTGGTCAACCCCGAGCCGCCTTTTTGCCAGCGGCTCAACGCATTGTGGGCCTTAGCCGTGACGGTCGTCCACTCTTCCTCATGATTCGCTTTTCCAAAGATTACATCATGATGAACCGGCGAGTTTCTCACCAAGAAATCCTTGATGCTCTGAGCCGACCCGGCCGTGCCCAGCTTCGATGTATGGGCCACGGCCTGGCTAGTGATGGTCTTCATGTCGCCGTAAGAGGCCCCAATCATGCCACGCTCAGTCCTAGTGCGGTCGGAGCTCTTGGAGATTACGCTGAGGTTGATATCACGTAGAGTCTCAGATTGCGACCGTGAGCCAACTCGTATCATGTTGGTCACACCATCCTCATGCAAGTGCTCCAAGACCTGGTCTAGTGCATGGTTGGTATAGGTGACACAAAGGATGGGCCCCAAGTCCGCGACCTTCTTGTGTTCTACAAGAACTCGAATGATGCTTGCTCCTGTAAAGCTCTTCCCAGTCCCTGGGGGCCCCTCGGTCAGCGCGAGCTCCCGTCGGAGGCAGTTTAGGAGGGCCTGGGATTGGGTAGGATCCAACATGGACACGCGCGCCAGTGCCTGGGCGTCGGGAATGTCGTTGGGCGAGTACCAAAAATCTTGGTTATTCTCGGTCAAGCATTTAAGATTGAAGCGGAAGCCAGGCCTCCGGGCATACTGGGGAGGCTCAATTTCCACCTCACGTCCACCAGTGTTCCTGGGTAGAAGCAGGGAGGAAAATGGCAGAAATTCCCGGCTCAATTTTTGTAGAGCCTTCAAGGTGTGCTCAAAAGCGGGAAGGAGAATGCCGGGGAACTCTAGGATGTTGTGCCGTGTTGGGCTTGTAGACAACCTCAGCCATGCAGCAGAAAAGCTGAGCAAGTCCTGGCTAACCTCCAGGGGCTTTAGGAGAGCAAAAGCCCGACTGCCATCAGACCAAAGGGTTTTATTCTTTTCTGAACCCTTTTCATGATGCTCTTCCCTTGGCTCAGACCGAGTGTCCGCCACAATTTGGAAGAAGACGACTCCCCCAGAGCTGCTAACTACGCAGACTAGGGCATCGTGTTGGAGCCGTCTGGAGGACTCCCACCATTCCCTCCTGGCTTTGCCTTGGGCGGGAATACCTCCGGGCTGTTGGAAGCTAACCTGGAGCAGAAGGCCCTCCCTATGGTAGAATTTGAGGGACTCGAGCCTTGTATTTTGATAACAGTATGTCCTCAGCGAACTGGCCTGGAGCTTCGATATCGATCTGTCCTTGCCCATATTCGAAGTGAGGTGATCACCGCACACATCGCGCAATTGCCCGATGGTGTCTTCGCGCATAAGACGGAAGCTGCGGTCAGTCAACCACGCCTGCCCGTGTACATGGGATGCTTCCATGCTTGTCGTTGGCCAGTACTCAGGCCGGGAAGATGCGATCTCTTGCTCTGTGGGCAATATTTTGATATTGCGGATTGATGCGTGGTCATTGTCATGACGTCTCCCCTCCTTTGAATGATGTCCTGGAAAATCCTGGGTGAGGATGAACTGAGCGCGGGAGACATTGCCCCCTGTAGTGGTGGTTTCGACAGATGGAATGTCTTGGCCGATGCCGAGACGGGCCTGGATATAGCTGATATGCTTGCGAGCCTGGATGAGAGAGGAGGCACCTTCCTCACCCCAAATTTGGGAAAGTTCGGCCAGGAGAGCGGCAACGGGAGGGAATTTGTCGTTTACCAGGTTGGTTGTGCTGCAGTCAACGAGAAGAAATAGCATTGAGGTAGCGAGTTCCAGTTCACTGTGGCATGTTTCCGCTGCCACGCCAGCCTCCAGCTCCTCCTGCAGAAAGTTGGTGACGAAACGGTAGAGGGCTTCGAAGCGGCGACCACCGGGGCCCACGGTGTAGCTGAGAATCATCTCTCTGGCAAGCTCCAAGACTGCCGAGTCCGCAACTGTACGGTTGCAGAGAGTCTGAAAGAATGGGCGTATGAGGTTCTCCCAACGGCTTGATTTGAGGGATCGTGTCACAGAGACAGAGGTGTACTTGTCGATAAGATATCCGACGATCTTGAGCCCCTCATCGCGGGCCAAAGATGTGACAACCTGCTGCGTCGTAGCGATATTCCGGGTCTCATCAACCAAGGAAGCACATAGTTCGAAGAATTGTTCCATTTCCGCTAGATCCAGTCGGTATAGTGTGCTCGCGTCGAGCAGTGTCCTCCATCGCGACAGATCGGGATCGGCGAACCTCGACGATCTCGAGTCGGGATTTTGGTCGCGCTGTTCTCTTGGAGAAGCAGATGCTCCGGTGACGTCGTGCGAGAACTTGCATGAAGCACCATACCTGCATCTCCCGCTCGAGATTTGTCTACAGAGGTTCTTCCTTCCAGAAGAGCCCCGTCTGTGTGGATTGTTAGCTACAATGAGAGCAATCATGCTTTAGGGTTCAGGACACTTACCGTGGTCCGGAAACCATGGTATGAGAAATAGGAAACCCGGGGCTCGGTAACGCGTAAGAGTATCCGAAAGTACGACCTGAGACTTATCGGGTGTTAAAGAGCGGAGAGTTGTTTTTTCCGGGGGGGGGACACCAGCGACAGTAGAATGGTTTCTGGAGGATTTGATTCTTTATTGCTAAGGATGCCTTCAAGTAACCATCGAGATTGAAAGAATAACACAATGATCTACTACGACTTAATCTAGGGGCACAAGCACTTATACGTCGGCATCGTGTCAAGCATGGTAATTGGGTAGGTCACGAAACGCAATCTCATCTCCCCTCATATAGGAGCGAGAACTCATACATTTTCTCGAGTAAGCCTCCCTTTTCTTCTTTTGTAGATTTGTTGGTCATGCTGACTGCATGTCCATACATATAGCTGCCGCCTCCCCCCCCTCTGAGAGTGATGGCTGCAGTCTTGGTCAAATATCTGTCCCACAAAGTTGCGGGTACCAACAGTCGGTTCTGGCAGGAAACTTGGAAGGGTGAGATGCAAATTCTCTCGCCAACACCCAGAAGAGTGACCCATTGGGGTTTCATGTTCTGATGTTCTGAGCTGACCGGTTGCAGCCACGTAGACCCAGAAGGTTAAGGACTGCATAAAGGAGGGGCGGGACATCAAGTGGAAGTTCAAAAGTTTGTATGCTACATAGATTTATGCATACAAGTAGATACATGGAGGTCTTTGGCTCTATGCCTTCTCGCTGCAACGGGCGCTGTGACGCACCACAGGTCCAGACACCGTTGACATTATACGTATATGTACATGTAGGATCTTTGGCACATGCACCTTTGGAAAACCTGTTCTAGCCGGACACCATACAGCCGTCAAATCAGCACCGGAACAAGGACGCAGACGTAGTAACCAGCCTAAAGGTTCTAAAGGCCCATAGAGACTCACCTGTATCGGGAGTTCTCTAATTTATGTTCTTCCTAGACGTGGGCAATTCCGTATATGCCGTAGTTAACAGCAGAGTTCCATTGGTAGAGCTGACTGTTGGAGATTCCATGTTTATGAGAAATCCAGGCGCATATATCGCCATCGACGGCGAGATAGAACGACGAGAAATCGGCCGGCATGCCCGTCATGGTCGAGTACAGGCCAGTGGACGTTGGGGTGGTGGTAATACCACGACTAGGGAGGGTGTCGTTGGCCGCGCTGCTGGGCCCCCCGCTAATAAAGGAGATGGGACGAGGTGTTGGTGTTCCTTTTGGGAGCGACGGGCCTGGTGGTCTTTCTGTCAGTGATGGTGCTCACGACACAGTACGTACCCGGACCGAGAATAAGACAGGTGGTCACGTCCAAGTGGATGGACTGGAAAGCTGTGGCACCGAGATTCTACTGATTAGCAAAGGCGGGCCGTGCCGTGTTTCCGTAGGACTCTACGGCCATTTTGCAGACAGCTGTGGTTACTATTTCTCTTCTTGTCGTTGCTTCACAATAGCACATTCCCTTATCGTGAAGCAATGCACGTATACGTGACTATAGCTCGTCAAGGAGACTAGAGTATGCGTGCTTCATATATCCCCAGCGCATCTTTCCTACACCAAACACGAAGTGGGATACCATCCCGTACTACATTGTCTGCTGTGCCCTCATAACCTTGTGATCTTGTCTCGTGTATGCAATATGTCTCTTAGAACTTCCAGAACTGAAGTTATCGACCTTCACCTCAACGTACAATCAACACGACACCCCATAGCCACTTCGCCTCGGCAATTGCCGGCTTTTGTTCTCTTGCAGCAGAACGTATACCGTGGAACGATGACCAAAGGTAGTGACGGTAAGGGCATTGCTACAGAGTCACCAGTCAAGACGGAATGTTACGATAGAATTGATGTATGGCACGCAGAAGGTTATCGTAGAGGGTAAAGGAATCCAGTGTGTGCGTGTTGTGTGTGTCTCCTCAGCAGACATCCGTCTAGTATAGGTCCTGAGTTGAGAGCTCGCAGCTTGACTCTCTACCCGTTCCTACTGTAGAGAATGGCAAAAAAGGAAGGAAAAAACTTGAAAAGAAAAAGAAATGCGTAATCTGGGAATCGAACCCAGGGCTCCCCGACGCTGCTCGGATGGCAACGGAGAATTTTACCACTAAACCAATTACGCTGCTTGGCTGTTGATGACGTACTGTGCACATTTTCTGTATTTGAATAGCCAAATGCACATTTTGTAGCTGGACCTAATGCTCTCAAACTTTTCCGCCGTCATGGTGAGCAGGAAAACAGAGCTATTCCGTGTTGTTTTCTAACAGGGACGATGTCGAGTCTGACAGTATAAGTGTCAGGATCGACACATAAGCAAGACCGTGTAAGAGGAATGGTGGGGATTGTCAACGGTGGGAAGGTATTGGAATGTAGTTATATAACACAATATCTTTACAAGAACAAACACTATAAACACTTCTAACTTACGTTTAAATAGTAGGTTGGGTGTTTTGTAGTGCTAAGGTTCTTCTCTTGTATTCTTGTTGCAGTGCTGGACTCGACGGTTTTATGGTCGAGTCCCGCTTACCTAAGCTATGAACTGATTTACTACGACAAATGCATCTAATGCAAGCCAGTGACGCAGATCAAATAGCACCGAACTGGAATAACGCCAGCCGATAAAGGTCATATGGGCGATTAAGATATATATCTTTTATAACCTCCTTAGCTAGCTATACTACACGCCTTTCTCTAATAGAATTTAGCATCTATCCTTATAGCTAAGAATAGGGTCACTTATTGTCGTACTCTTACTGTGTTTTCCTCTATAGCTTAGGTAAGCTGGACTCGTCAGATCCATCACTTCTAGCATAGACACAACACCAACCAATATATCATCACATCAACCGGCATACCACAAGACATACTAAGAAGAGACAGACATCCCTCTTTTTGTGTGACACTTATTGTGCATGTGTGTGCAGCTGATCCTCTATCCGTCAGGGCCTAACTAATCCCATCTAATGATGCTGGTAATCCGGACAAGGATACACAGACCATAGCAGTTATTCGGGTTTAGATGTAACAATATAGAAGAAGTCTGGTTTCCATTCCGACACAGCCACGAGCGTCCCTAACGACTCCCTATGGGCGATCATCAGGGCAGGAGAAGATAAGAGAGGCAATGCAAGCAATGGGCAGTAAGAGTGCTAGCAGGGACACTAATGGTGAAGCAAGCCTCCCACGAATGAAGAATTCCTTCTCCGGAATAGAAATCTTTCTCATATTGTGCATCAAAAATACAAGGGCTCGAATGTTACTGTGCGCAGTGAGGCGACTAGACCCGACCGTTGGGAAGAACACCACCAAGCTTAAGATGAAGGCAAGTGAACCGACAAACCCCCCGCCCCCCCCCCCCCCCCCCCCC